TCCCCTTCCTCCTATCATCCTTTACAAGAGTATGCTGACCGTCTAGAAACCTCACGAAACAATCGTTCGAGTGCCGGCCGTGCAAGAACAAGACGCGCATTGCGCAGGTGCAGATCCCCTACGCGGCCAAGCTGCTGTTCCAGGAGCTGGCATCGATGAACATTGCCGCGCGCATGTTTACCGACCGGTCGGGCGTGTCGATTCGTTGAGAAGCGCCGGCATGCGAAGCGCAGCAAACGTGACAAAGGTGCATGATATCACGCTGCGTCGTCTCATGCTGTCTTGTCTGGGGGGGGGGGTCAAAATGACATGCGGAAAAATTGCAATACCTTGTAGAATGCCTTTCCGATCTGCTGTTTTCTTCTTGCTTTGCTTTACTTGTCATTTCTGCCCTTTATCCCTCTTCTTTTTTTCTCACCTACTCTTCCCCCTTTTCGTTTTTATCCTCTTACTACAGCATTGACTGGATGGCGTTGCAATTTTTGTTCTTTCTTTTTACTTTTATTTGGTCGGAAGGGCAGGGAGTTGATATGTAAAAAAGAAGATAGGTTGGCGATTCACAGAAATATGCAAATGCGAAAGTGCAATATAGGTGATACTTACCATCTTGTGGCGATGCACTCAAAGAAGCATAACACAGCTTATAACAAACAACACACCGACATATTATGACATGTTCTAACAGGCATGTTCATCTTTACCGTAAAATATCAAAACTTTTGGAGATGTCTATCTGTTTCTATAGTGCGTTCAAAAAGCCCGTGATAAATGTCCAACCGCAACGCCAGTATATCGTACATTTCGTCATCCCATCGCACCCATTGAGTCCTTTTTTGGGTATCAACCACTTTCATTACACGACGCAACACCCCTCTCCTCGTCCTATGCCCCCTTTCCTTTCTCTTTTGCCTCTGCTGCGTCTGCCGCGGCAATGGCATCGTGCACCGACTGCTCCTGTTTGTACTGGAGCTCGAGTGCCCGCTGCATGTCAAAGTCCAGCTGCCGCTCCTGCTTGATGCGCTGCTGCTCCATGTCGCGCACGACACCTTGGTGCATGGCCTGTCCAGTTAGTGGCGGTCTTCTGGCATGTCCTGTTCGCATCGACGACGGTCTTACAGTCTTCTCGGCTTCTTGCTGGAAGTGGACAAAGGCCACAGTCGAGGCGGCAAAGAGGGACGTGCCCAGCAGCGTGAGCTTGGAAGCACGGGACATGTTTACCGCGCGGTGGACGGCTGTATGCAAAACGCCGTCGTTGTGGTGTGTCGACGTTGAAAAACAGGTGATTCGATGAAAAGCTTCAAAACCAAAGACCGCCAAACCCGCCAAAGACCGCTAAAAGCCGTTTCTGCGGGCACTGTTGCGCTGGCTCCATAGCTCTTCCCGTCTCTTTACACCCCCTCCAAATTCTGCCGCTTCTGACCGCCCGAAACGAGAGTGTGCAATGGCGTTTGTTGGTGGCCCGCCTGCTCCTGCCCTTTGTCCATGCTGTAGCAAGCTTCCACTTCTGGATCAAATAGGCAACTCCAATCTGCCCTTCTGTTATTTCAACATCCAACATCCAACATCCACTTCCGACGACCAACGATCAGCGTCAACCTCAGGACTGCCACGACGCAATTGATCCTCTCCTCAACAACAAGTAATCACACTCATACGACCATCTGTTAGCACCACACCACAGTCGCACCCTGGCCGATAGCTCTCCTCAACAGCTACCTCGACGCTCATCGATTCTCCCTCCGTCAAGACCGAAGATGGTGCGCAGCCTCTCCCTTCTTCCGTTGACGACGACTGCATGGCCGTGTTCCATTGGTCAGCGTCTTGTTGTGTCGTTTCAACCTTGCTAACAGGCCTCCGGCGACAGTCCGCCCAGAACTCCACAGGCATTCAGACCCTGCTCGAGGTATGACCCGCCCTGGTTCTCTTGTCCTGCTCGACGATTCATGCGATGGAGATGCGTTCTTTTATGCAATCAGAGTGCATATATGAAGATGGTCCATGGACAACCACTGACGACATTGTTCCCGAACTTCTAGGCCGAGCAAAAAGCCGCCCAGATTGTGCAGAAAGGTGCGTGATTTTGGCTGCCCAGGGACTTTCCTTTTTATGGCGAGACGACGAGGTCAGCAAGCTAACATCGTCTTCTTGTGCAGCGCGCGAGTGTATGTTTCGGACAGCAGCTGCCAGCAACCTCCCACTCCTCGTATTCCACCACTAACAACCACACACAGTCCGGACAAAGCGCGTAAGAGAGGCCCGCGACGAGGCCCGGAAAGAGATTGACGAGTACAAGGCCCAGAAGGAGGCCGAGTTCAAGAAGTTTGAGGCCGAGGTACGTCCAGTTCCTGTGTTGTTGTTCCGTATCCTATGCTATGGTGCGAGTGCTATCTCTAACCGTCTAGCACACCCAAGGAAACAAGGCGGCCGAGGAGGAGGCCAGCCGCGAGGCCGAGGCCAAGATCCAGGAGATCAAGGCCGCCGGCAAGAAGAGCCAGGACAAGGTCGTCAAGGACCTGCTGACTGCCGTCCTCAGCGCCAACCCCGTGCCGCCGTCCAAGGCATAGAGGGGCGGCGACCATGTGCAGTTACGTCGAGGGAGGGTGTCGGTAGATGCCGCTTGTCTTTGTTTATTGCTTTGTGTTCTTATTTTGCATATCCTATTTCGTTCTACATTCGTCTCATGGAGAAGGACAGATATTGTTCGACAGCCACTGCCACTGCTGCACTCGACCTGGCCGTGAGCTTCCATTTTGCATAGTTGTTCATTAAACCGATCCATCTTTCCAATGCTGTGCCACTGTGTCCCTAGATGCATGCGCTGTCCGTCTTGCTCGCCTCCCACCTACAGACACCCCAGCAAGGCCGTCAGCATCTCTTGCAAATCCTTGCCCTCGGGCGTCCGAAGATCCAGCTCGTCTCGCCGCTCCTGGAGCGACGTCCGCAGCACGGCAAATGCATCGTCCTTGCCGCCTGCTGCCGACAAGAGCGACCGGATCTTCTCTTGCGCGCCGTCGTCTTCGGCCACCAGCCACGCCAGGATAATGTCGAGCGTCTGCAGCGTAAACAGGCCCGCCTCCAGCCGCAGCGACAACCGCTCGGCGTCCGCCAGTGCCTTGCGCTCGTCCTCGGTCGCGTCGGCCTCGGCCGTGTACGTCGGCTCGCGTCCGGGCACGGCCAGCGCGCGGTCCACGGCGTCCACCCTGGTCGCGTACACCGCCCGCAGCGACAGCAGCTGGTCGACCTTCTCGTAGTCCTTTTCGACAAACTTGGCCAGCAGGCGGATGCGCTCGGGCGTGTCGGCGGGTAGAAGACGCAGCATCGCTGCGAAGATGGCCAGCAGGTGCTCCGCCATGGGCCCGGCATGCAGCCGGCTCTCCTTTTCCGTGTCCTTTTTGCTCTTCTTTTTCTTGTTCTTGCTGTGCTTGGCGTCCTCCTCGACCTTCATAAACAGCGTAAATGTCGGCTTGAGCCCGCCGGCGTCGACCAGCGTGCGGCAGACATCGCCGGCGTGCAGGCCGCTGGTGGCGTGGTCCAGCAGCTTCAGCGCGGGCGCACGGCTCTTGTGGCCCTCCTTGAGCATCAGCAGGCACAGCTCGACGCCCTCGGCCTCGACGAACTTGGCCTTGCCCTTGTGTGGCGGTGGGTCGTCCGACGTCGACCTGGGCTTGGATTTTGCTTGCGCTTGTGCTCGGGCATCGTCGTCGTCCACGGCCGCCTCGCCCACCAGGTACGTCAGCGCCTCAAACAGGTCCGCCATGTACTCCTCCTCGTTGCCGCGCTCGGGGTCGCGCCGGCGGTAGGCGGCCACGAGCTGCAGCAGAATGTCGACCGCGTCCAGGTCCACCAGCCGCTGGCAGTTGGCCGGCGACCGGTACGCCAGCGTCACCAGGGTCTCGGCCGCGTACTGCTTGTTTTGGCTGACCGTCTCCGTGTCGTTCTCGTTGCGCTGCACCCGCTGCAGCAGCCACTGGAGAAGCGCGGTATGGCGGCCCAAGGCGTCCGCCGCGCGCGTCGCCCGCAACGAGCACAGGTTCTCGGCAATGCCCAGCGCATAGTACACGCCGTTGCGGTCCACGCCGTCCGTGTCGACGGCCGGGTCCTCGTTGAGCCGCGCCAGGTTCGACACCAGCAGCCCCACCAGGTCTGCGTCCAGCAGCGCGTCGACCAGCGCAGTCCACTGCTCGTCCGTTGCGTCCACGTCCTCGTCCGTCAGCTCGCCGAGAATCTCAATCGCCGAGATGGCAATGTCCGTGTTGTCGTGCGCCAGCAGGCCCACGAGGCTGGCCGCGGTGCCGAGGCGCGCAAACTCCGGGTACAGCGCCGGGTGCTCGCCCAGGATCGACAGCGCCTTGATGTCGGCGTCGAGGTCGGCCTCGCTGGCGATAAAGCGCGTGGGGTCCGACGCATACCGCGCGCGCAGTTCGGCGTTGCGGTTGATGCGCTTTTCAAAGTTGAGCGCCGTCCGGCGCAGCCAGGCCGCGTCAAACGCCTCTGGCCCATCGGCGACGCCTGTTTCGCCCTGCTTCCGGCCTCCCTTGATCGCCCCTCCTGGCCCGTCTGCCCCGTTCTGGTCCCGGCCCTCGACGTAGTCTAGAATGCTCGCCTCAGCCCTTGTGATGCCGCCGCCAAAGAAACGGCCCTCCTCGTCGTCGCCATCGCCATCGTCCTCAGGAGGCGCTGCCGGACCGTAGTCGTCGCCGTTGCCGTCCTCGCCATCGGGTGGCAGCGACGGGCCGGCTTCAACGTCACCGGTGTCGTCGTCGACGCGCGCATGGCGCGAGCTGCTGCCGCCATTGGGTGTGAGCTTGACCGATTTATAGATTTCGTCTGCGAGACAACGCGTGTTAGTGAATGACAAGATTACTACCCCTAGCGTCATCATGGAGGAGGACAGCGGTTCGGAACATACTGGGATCGCGGACAGGCTCAAACTTGCGTTTGCTTGGAACGCCCGATTTCTGGCGACAGTTAGCAAGACAGACATACACAGTCGTGGTATGCATTAAGGGACTACCTTGAAGAGCTCGTCGATGCTCGTCATCGTGACAACCGGATGCGTGGGTGGGCCAAGTAGCGGGCGCAATTGAGAGTCGTTCACTTTGAAGTCGCAAAAAGTGTACAGATCGAAAGCAGAGCTTCTGGCCAGGGCCACTTTGAAGTGAGCTTGGCAGCCGCTCTGGACCTTTTATTGCTACATTACTGGTGTACATGTACTTGCAGGCCTCGCCCCGGCGTCCCCACTAAAATGTTTTTAGTGGGTGCTGGGTGGGCGCAGTTTGCGGTAGGACGGCTCGGCGGACACGACAATCGCGCTTGCCTGCCCCGAGACGGCGTCGATGCCCCCAAAACCGAGTCGTGCCTAACCGGCAGGAGCCAACGGCCGCCTCTTCAGGGTAGGAGCGAAGAGGTCGAACCTGCTTAGCGTACAAATACTATGACGAGGCCTCCGTACTTTGAAATTGCATCAAGACCATCTGCCCGTCTGTCAGCCTCGCTGCTTCACCAGTGGTTGAGCATTTAAAGAAGCCTCGGTCCCCCGCCTTTTCCCATACTATGGTAGTACACCTTGACTTCGCTCTCCAGTACCACCACCGCCCTCACCTGCGTCAACATGCCGCCGACCGTAATTCTTATCCGCCATGCCCAGGCCCTTCACAATGTTGCAGATACGTATTCAACCCATTCGTTCTCTGCTGCGTCACTCGTTCACACAGCTAACGTATCCAACGCGACTATCAGCTGCATGATCCGTCTCTCTCGGAGCTCGGCTTCGAGCAGTGCAAAAAGCTGCGCGAGGTCCTGCGCACCACCCTGCCGGGCCGCCTCGACCCGGATCTGGTCCTCGTCAGTCCGATGACCCGCACCCTCCAGACCGCCATGGCCTCGCTGGATTGGCTGCAGGCCAACGGCGTGCCCTTTGAGGCTCACGCCGGCTGGCAGGAGACCACGGACCACCCCTGCGACGTGGGCTCCGAGATCGACCAGGTGGCCCAGCAGTTCCCGCAGGTCGACTTTTCGCACGTCGATCCCATCTTCCCCGAAAAGACGACACCCCAGGCGCTGCTCTATGCCTACAACCGGCAGGCCCTCGTGACGCGGGCGCAGACCGTCCTGGCCGAGCTGTATGCGCGGCCCGAAAAGGTCGTGGCCGTGGTGTCGCACTCGGCGTTTTTGAGCAAAGCCGTGAGCGGCAGCTTGTATGCCAATGCCGATTTCCGCATTTTTTCCTTCAAGGCGCCCGTTGCGGCCGACTCCAAAGAGGCACGGAGCCCAGAACACCCGGACCTGCCACCACTCGTGTACCAGCTGCACGAGTGGGACGAGACACGGAACGGCCACGGCGGAATGGGCTGGAGCGAGGACCGTATCCGCAGCATTGGCGATGAGCTGGTAGATTGATCACGGAGATGATAGACAGGCGGTTTTGCTTTGTGTTATGTGCAACTGTGTACATTATATCATGACTAACTAGCATTTGTGGTTTGCCTACTATATACAAGACATTAGATCGCTTTACATCGCATCCAATGGCAATCTCGCCCCAATGTCATTTTTTGGTCATTTTGGTCATTGCATCATGCCTTGTTGGCAACACACCGTTTGCCAGGTTGCCTACATTTATTTCGTTAGATCCTCACTTCCAGAGCCATAGACCACAAAAAGACCAAGAAAAGAAAGAACAGAAACAAAACAAGAAAAAACAAGAAAAAAAAACACAACAGCATCACCTCTCACTCAACACCACCCAACTCACTGCAAAACAAACTGCTCCGCATGCTCCTTGTACAGCACAGAGCTGTCCAACACCCGGCCCGTCGACGACTGGTAGAAATCAATCTTGAGGTGCTTGCTGTCCTGGAACGTAATGGACGCATACGAAAAGTCGTCGGCGTACGCAAACACGTTCGTCGAGTAGTTGGCGCCCACCGCGCTCAGGCCCTCGACGTTGCCCGGACCGCCCGCCACAATGTACACGGGGCTCTTGGGGTTCTGCATCCCCGCCGGATCCGCCACGCTGTTGTTGACCGGCAGGAAGCGCTGCGAGTTGTGCACGTGGCCGAAAATGCCCACGTCCACGCCGTACTTGTAAAAGAGCGGCTCAAACGCCTTCTGACACGGCGAGCAGATGTTGCCGCTGCCGCCCGTCGAGTACCAAGGGCGGTGGCCGCCGACAACAACCCACGGCGTGACGGTGCGGTCGACGGACGCCAGGTCGGCCTCGAGGAACGCCAGCTGCTGCCCGAGCGAGCCAAAGGGACCGGCGCCGAGGTGCGCGCTGCCGCTCTGGCTGTCGGGCGCATTGGGGAAATCCGTCTCGGTGTCAATCATCACGACGTGCACCATGCCGTACTCGAACGAGTACCAGAACGGCGGGTTGGCCAGCTGGCGCGCCGTGTTGGCCGAGATCTTGGCGTCGCTGTTGGACGATGTCGAGGCAAACGCCGACGGCATCGTGCGGCCGAAGCGGTTCATGAAATCCGTAAAGTTGTGCTGCCCGGACGGGCACAGGGCCGACGTGTATGGGATCTCCTGGCAGGCGGCCTCATGGTTACCGGGGGACGCCAGGTACGGCTTGCGGGCGGCAATGGGGGCCAGCTGGTTGTAAAACTCCTCGAGAATGGCCTCGTACGCCTGGTGGCTGTCAAGGATGTTGGCGGCATTGTAGACCCAGTCGTCGGCATACGCCAGGTCGCCCGGATGGATGATGAACTCGTAGTCATTGATGGTCTCGGCGAGGGCACCAATGGTCGTGTGGTTGAGCGAGGGCTGGATAGTCGGAATGGTGTCGCGCTTGGACATGTCCATGCCGATCGTGTAGCCGTCCACACCGTACACGCCGAGGTCGATGACAATGTTCATCTGGAACGGCGTGGTGTCGCCGGGCAGGCGAGGGCTCAAGAAGTGCTCGACGGTCGAGTTGGTCGACACGATCTTGTAGTAGTAGGTGGTCGCCGGCGTGAGGCCAGTCAGGGACGCGGCGTTGGAGTAGGTGCGCGCCGTGTCGTACGTGACAGACGTACCGCAAGCCTGCGAGGTGAGCTTGTCGGGCGAGGTGCCGTAGTTGACGCAGGGCTTGTCGAGCTGCTCAAAGGTGTTCCAGCCAACAGACATGGCTGCATTGTTAGTCGGCGTTCCGTCCCACTCATATCTTGCATTTTAACAACATCCGTACGTACAGTTAGCACCATTGACGGCAATGCGCTGCTGCACCGGCGTCGTCTTGTCTGACGGGGTGGGCGGGAAGTTGGCAGCGCGGGCACACGCGGCGAGGACCGACAGGCCCCATGCGGCCGACGGGATGTTGCAGACCATGGTGAGATACGATGCTGCGATTGTGTCAGCACACCGCGATTCGGGAAACAGCAAGCACAAAATTGAATACACGATGGAACAAATAACCATAATGAGCAGGAAACGAGAAGGCTAATACGAAAGCAATAAAGACAACAGCAAGCCAATACTTACTGTATATAAGCTGGATGAGACGCAAGGATGTCTTGTCCGTTCTCGGGTCGTATTATCTGCACTGACGGACGATCTCTCAGATTCAGCCCATCAAGGAGGTGGACGTCATCCAGACTTTATCCTTCCCCAAATCTACCTGCTGTCTGTTCACCATCTGGTAGAGCACACCAGAGGGCCACTTCCATTCCGAAATCCTCCACGGCGGTTCGCGAAAGTAGCTGTCGGGATACCCCGTGCTATGGCTTTTGCAACCCTCCAAGGGTCTTCTCCGAGCCTCCGTAAACAAAAGAGAGGCGTAGCGTGGTTGTCTTTCCCTCTTCGTTCATTCGACCGCCCTGGTCTAAGTGCTGCGAGTGGCCCATTGGCGTATTTAGTGGAACTTGGTCGCAAGATCGGCCTTTCCTGTACCTGATTGGGTTGGCCAGGTCTGGAAAGAACATCGGTTGTCGACAGGGGGACAAACCGTGTCGCCGCGTGCCAGCCCATCCATGCCCCCCTGGTCTTTTGCCCCCAACAGCTGGAGCTAACGTCGACCATGTGCTGTCGATGATTGGGCGACGGTCTCGAAGAGACATCTTTTTAATGCCCAGTACATTCGTAAATGGAGGCACGGTTTAAATCCAAGGAGAAAGTGTCCACCTGATGCGCAGCGAGCGATGCATGTGAAAATCAAGTGATCCCCCACGCTAAAGGCGAAATAGAAGGAGCAAAAAGAGCCCAAACGAGGATAAAAGTGAACAAAATCAGGGCAAAATGCAGAAAAGGCGAGAACGACGGTGACGCCAGGTATGAAGAGGTGAGGGAAATATAGCGGCCAGTTCAACAATAAACGATCAGTTCCAAATAGTGTAGACAGACGACACCCGAATGAAAACGTGGTCGGACAAGAACACCACACTTTGCCACGCATTTGACCTATGAACGTTGCCGTGTGCCACAGTTAGTCTGGTGACAAAGGTGGCGAGTCGTTCAGGCACATTGTCGTGTAAGTCGAGTGTGAGCTAGCCGACCAAAGAAGCTTTTTGGTGCTCGGCACCTGCATCCTTCCTATGCGCGTACAGCCCAATGAAACAGCTGCAGTTTGTCAGTTTCGTTACTCGCATTTCTTGCCTTACTTTGCCCTGCCTTGCATTTTCTGCTGGCTGATTCGGTCGCCGTTTTGGGGATGATTTCCCGCAACCTGCTTGGAAGTGACATGCCTGGTCGATTGAGGCTTTTGGCGTCGTTTTCCAGTCTAGGTTTACTTCACCACGCCGTAGAAGCGTACATCAAAGGTCTTTGACATGTGTATGTCGGCATGCCGAGGACGACACGGACAGTGTGGCGGGTGTGCGATGTAGGGTCCAGGTAACATGCAGCCAGATCGCGACAACGACACCGCCGTCGACGGAAGAAAAAAAAAATAACCCCTGCGCCGGAGGCGTCTGAACGGAAGAAAATTAAAAACAATTCAATCCTACAAGGCCAGAATGTCTGCCAATGCCGCACGTTTCTCAATGCGGAGACCGACGCCTTGCAGCAATAGAAGAGAGGGCAGAGACCAAGGGTCGCTTTGCTTCACAAGAACCGCCAGATCCCATCGGCAATGCATGTCCAGCAGAGATGCAACGGTACATCGCCTTCTGATTTTGCTGGTTGGCCGCTACCATGTGGGTCGATGATATGTCGTACAGCCGACGAGGTCGAGCTGGAGCCGTGATCCTTGCCGTTGGCTTGCGCGTTCAGATGATTAGGTCGTCTTCTGGGGCAGACGCTGTGTAAATACTATTTACGGAGTAAGGGACTCCACCCCGTCAGATCTGCAACAACCTGTTAGTTATGCCTCCGACTACTTCGATTGAGATATATCTTCCGTGTAGAGTTACACTGGGAAGCGACACTGCATACTTGTACCTGTGCATCTTCTCTGTTTTGCAAGCACATTTGGAGCTCGGTGACGACACTGGGAAATGTGCCATAGATTCAAGTCCAGGTGGCTGACGTGCATCGGCGCAAACGCTATTAGAGACGCAAAGATTATTGAGCGGAACACATTCTATTCGGGAGCTGCCGTCGTCAGAACGCGGGGCCGGTACTTCGTAAGGACCGGTGAATCTGGAAATGTCGGCATCAAGGGCGTGGGCAAATGTTGGTATGTGATTGCTGCAAAAGATGAAAGGAAGAAAAGGAGAGATGGAGAGGACCGACGGCTTGACATGCGTAAGGATCGTGCCTTCTTTGACGGAATCTCAATGTCCAAAACGGAAGGCGCAAAAAGCACCTTCCTCGAAAACTACTTCCGGCTAGAACGGAAAGAACGTTCACGAGATGCATATGCACGGACAGAAGGCAGCTTCCTTGAAAGGAAGGACTAAGCTTTGGCTGGCTGAACGGGCCAACGAGTTCTGCTATTCCTGTGCCCACAACATAGTAAACGAGGGGATTCTGTAGAAGTGCAAAACAAAGGATCGTCACCAACATACACGTTCTGATGCTCGCATCCTATTGTCCACCCTCAGCCGCTACATTGGAACTCAGACCATCTTGGCATTAGAGGTTCTGGCTCCTCACGTTGCCAACTCAGCGTTACGGTGCCTCTCTGAACACCATCCGACAGTCCCCAAACAACATTTCCTGCCATGGCATACTCACACTCCATTCCGTCCCCAAGGACATCGATGCTTCACGCGGAGTTCCAGCCATCGGCATCCAGCTTCCGGCAGAGCGTCGGATCCTCCCAAAGGAGCGCCGAGAGCTCACACCCCGCCGGCCCGCGCCACGCGGCTGACAGCAGCTAGGTCCGCTCGTCATCCGGCTCGCAGAGATCCACCAACCCGTTTTTCCCATTCATCGAGACGCGGAAAGAAGTCCTAAACGAGGAAAAAAAGGAGGCTCGCAAGGCTCGCAGGGTCCAGGCAAACACTACTATTCGTGACCTGCTCCGGGGCGAGCGTTTGGCCAAAGAGAATCATCGTGGGATCCACTCAGGCTGCGCGTCGTGTAAGTCAATACTGAGAGTCATGTTTGCCGCTGTTTACACGCCACCAACTAATACACCTTGCCAAAGCAGTGAACGACTGTGCAACCGTGTTTGTGCCCCTTGCAGATGCACAAAAGCCTGTCCATTGGCAGCCTGCGAGGAACTCCACGTGGGAAGCACGTCAAGACCCTTTTGCGGATGAAAAGAAAACACAATGCGTTGCGCACTCGCACGTCGAGGTCACCACTCCAATCAGAAAGCGGTGCTCTGCTGTGGATGTGGCTCCTTTGAACCAGCCTCTTGCCAAGACGAAGCCTGCTTCACCACAAAGGACGAGCACGACAGGGCTTTATGCATTGAACGATGCCCAGAGCGGCCTGCGCACTTCGCCCAACGTCAAAAGTGCAGCCAAAAGCTTGGTCTCAACGAGACGAGCCAGCAACGGCTTCCAAGGAAATGGGGCTTCTCGAAAGTCTCACTCAGTCGCCATTGTTAGACTCATGGCACCCATTGAGCCGGCACCTCTCTCAAAGTCAACACTCTACACTCCTTTCCCCGTGAGTGTATGGGCAGTCTCAAGATCACCAGCTGCCAAGGCATCGAGTCTCAAAACAAAGTCAGTCACCAGCATCGAGGAGTCTCCGCAGATAGACATTGAGACTACTTCGGCAGACACCGTCAAAGTCGTCAAGAGCCACGGCAAGGTCGCATCTGGAAACGACAACTTTAATTTGTCCCCGGAAGCAACTCCACGCAAAAGCCTGCCTCCTCAAGCCAGCCATGAACCGACTACACCTGTTCGCCGGGAGCCACCTCGGGTCCACGAATCAGTTATGAAGCCGGTCAAAAAGAAACACGGAGCAGGAAATGAAGCAGTACACGAAACGTCAACGTCTGTAGCAAGCCATCCTACTATCGGCCACAAAGCCGCATCTGTTGCCGACCTCAGAAAATTCTTTGACCGTCCGGGCCCGAGCAACATGTCTACCCACTCGATGCCGAAACTGTCACCTGCAAAGCAATGTGAAGGTAACAGCTTCAGGCCGCCTAGAGTTTCCAAAACGATGATATGTGCCGGGACCACAAAGTCACCATCACTTTCCGAGCTTACGAAGACCAGTAACCACAGCCCAGGGCCCGAAAAGACAGACGCTGTTCGACCAAGGCTTATGGGCGGCCCTTCAGCGCAGTCTCGCCCTGTGCAGGAAAATCAAATTGGGGCCCTTTCAAGGTCCAGACTACGGGCATTTCTTCATTCAAATCGCAGCTCGGGATCATGGAGGCGGCTGTCGTCGCACCTGCGCCGCCGGGGCTCACACGAACAAAGCTCATCCACTGGTGATGCTACTTGCCCTAGTCAAGCATTTGCAGGCTCTGCATCGCATGAAGCCACTCGTAGTCCTTCTGCCCGGAACTCAACTACTGAAAACAAATACCCTGCTAGTGCCGGGTCAGGCAATCGCAACGGCGGACAACTTCTTGCTAAGTTGGAGCCTTTGGCACCACTGACTACGACGCAAAATGCGTTGAACGGATCAAAGCGATCCTGGGTCTGGGGCCATGTTCATAGAGCCAAGGAACAGTCGGGTGCTGCATTCCATGCCAGTGAGGCAGCCGCCAGCGTTGAAGAAAACAAACTGTTCCGGCGCGTCTCGAAAGAGAGCCGTTTTCGAAGCTGGAGTTGGGGGCGTCGAAGCGGCACCAAAGCATCCCTCAATGATGCTAAGAGCAATTCTGTAAATGTGTCTTCGTCAACAAGAGACACGCAAGGCAGCAGTACGAGCACATTTAACGGCCCCTTTGAGGATCTGGAGCATTCGGAAACCGATGCCGCTGTTTTGTCGAACACAGATATGACCTCTGTCACGGCCTCCTCCCCAATGGTCGATGCCGAAGCAAGTTGCGAGCTGCAACACCCAATTCCGGTCCACGTCGACGATATCCAGCGCCTAGTCAGCCTCTGCAAGAAGAGAGAAAAGAGCCCGAGCTTATCGTACCTTTTCCAGCCTTGAATAGTGCCATGCTTATGGAAGACTGCAGTCAATTGCTATTGCTACAGCATCGTTTTGAGACCTCTCTTATGTTTGATTATCGCCTGGCAGCGAAATTATTATATGGTTATCTGGGTCTATGTGCAAAGAAAAGCGAGAAAGTGAGGAAGAGAGAAACAGAGAAATAAAACTGGTATCCGCTACTACGTCTTCCATGTATGTATTGCCCAAGCCATTATAAATCAACTTAATCTTGCAAAAACGAGGTCCATGCATAAAAAAAAACACAACGAACATGATAAATAAAATAAATAAAACAAAATGAATGGAAGGATGTACATGCTATTGAAAAAACCGTAATCTACGCAACAAAGCAAATAAGCTGAGCCTTTTACATTCTTCTTCTCCATACGACCACGTCTTTTCTATGCCGATGCGAGGCCCATGCCTCGGCCGACCTTGCGCACAAGGGCCTTCTTCAGGTACCACTCGCGGGCGAGCGACCGCGTCATCTTGGCGAAAACGGCCGGGCTGACGCGCCCGCGCTCGACGGCACGGCCCAGCATAAACACCGCGTCGGCCAGCGCGCGCTCCTCGGCCACCAGGTCGTACAGCTGGTTCGCCACCACCGTGGGGCCCACCAGCAGGTCGTCCACGGCCGGCGCCTGGGTCTGCTGGCTGCTCGCCACCAGCCCGTCGGCCGCGGCCAACGTCTCGTGCAGAATGTCCGTGTTGCTCGTCAGCAGCGCCGACAGCTGCGCCACGTCCGACATGTCCTGCTGCAGGCGCTGGGCCGCCGTCAGCATGGCCGCCCGCTGCGCACGCAGACCGGCCAGGGACAGGTCGTTCTTGTCACGAATCTGCTGGCGTTGGGCCGCGAGGGTCTGTGCGAGTTGGTGGAGGAGGGCGTCCTTTTCCGGGTTGCGCGGCACGGGCGGCGGCTGCACGGATCCAGCTTGTGCGCGGCCGGACTGGCTGTCGCCGAGGTGGGCACCGTCGGCGGGGCCGTTAGGGTCGTCGTTGGTCGCGGGTTCGTCCATAAGATCGGGCGGAGGGGGTTGCCGCGGCCGTGACTGAACTTGCTGAAGGAACTGCTGCTGTGGTGGATACTGCTGTTGCTGTTGCTGGGGGTTATACTGCTGGAACTGTTGTTGCTGCTGCTGCTGCTGCTGCCATGGTGGCGGGACTTGTTGCGGCTGTTGAGAATATGCCTGCTGGGCCGGCGGAGGCTGCTGCTGTTGTTGGTACTGGTAGTAGGCATTTGAGGACTGATGGCCGTAAGGCACGGAGAGCGGTGGCGGAGACGACTTGGATGGTTGTAGAGGCTGCGGCTGTCCATAGGAGGAGGTATATGGCAGTTGCTGGTGCTGCTGGCTCGGGCTCATGGGTGGCTGGCCGAGAGGGGATTGCTGGTATGCAGGTCGGTCGGGTCGGTCAGGGCGGCCTGGGACCGGTGGCCCTCCGCTAGCACTCCGTGCAGACGGTCCTGCTTCGACGGCTTGCGGCGGTGGGGGACTTGCGCCATACCACGAGCTTCGGACGCCGCCAGCTCCTGCGGATGACGGATGAGGAGGTGGTGGAGGGGGGCTCGGTGTCGCTTGCGATGCTGGGTAGGCATTGTTGCCGTTGGTATACGAGGGATGCGGCGGGACGGGTGGCGGCGATGGGGTGTGATGTGCCAGCGCGACGGCGCTGTGCTGTGGCTGTCCGTTTGCCTTTGGTGGTGGTGGTGGCGGTGGTGGGTCCTGTTGTTGCTGCTGGTGCTGCTGTTGCTGCTGGTGCTGCTGTTGCTGCTGGTGCTGCTGTTGCTGCTGCTGTTGTCGTGAAGCGGTTGCCTTTGGTGACAGCGGGGGTGGGTGTGGCGGCGAGGCCAGCTCTTGTGGCGGTGGAGGGACGGGCGGAGGTGTTGGTGATGCAGCTGGTGCTTGTAATGGCGCTGCTCTCGGGGCCTGGCGTGCAATGACGGGCGGTTCTTTTGCGAAGACATCGCGCAATATGGTCAGAAAGTCACATATCGTCGACTTCTAGAGGACACGGAATCAGGTTAGCTGTCAACATCGCAAGATCCTATCCCAGCTGCCCTTGCTTCAGTCGCTCAACGTACATCCCAAAACTCGGCCCAGCCGGCAAGATACGGATGATATACCTGCCCCTGGGGATCGACGTGCTGGCCAGGGCGGACCATCATATTCTCGGTCGGTGTGACGTAGACGAGCGGCGCCTCGCGCGGGTAGTTGTGCGGCACCCAGAGCGAGATGGGGTAGCGGTAGGTGGCGCCGCGGAAGACAGCCGGTATTGTGCCGGACAGGTGAAGAAGGAGAGCAGATGCGCCATTGGGGAAGGCTGCCAGGGTCAGCAGGGAAACAAAAGTTGCAAAGTATCAGAGGCAAAGGCCATGTACTCACTGTGAACGTCGGTCCGCGGCGACAGCGAGGGGAAGTAGGAGAGCGCCTGCGACACGTCATTGTATGTCCGATTGACGTCTTGGTATTCCTAGAGACGCAGTGACAGTCAGTAAACGGCGCCGCAGGTCAGGACACATCCGCAACTACCACATCGTTGTAGTCTCAGACTCACGCTCGTCAGAACGCTGTAGAGCCAATTCAGCACATGCTGCTGGACAGCCATGGCGGGCGGCTCGCGAGGCGACGTCGGATAGTGCAGCAGAGAGGTTATAGGAGTTTAGTAGCGCATGCAGGGCGGTCGTGCTGTGAGGTCTGACCCTGCATGGGGAGTTGGTATGAAGGGGAGAGTGGTGACGATGTTGGACAATATTACGTGCAACAGTGCTTAGGTGGGGTTGTAACGAGGTATCCTGGGCAAGCTTGGCTGGAACCGTTGTGGACATGCACAGCTGGGGCCTAATGCTGTGGCTGAAGTGTGGCGTCGATTTAAGGAAAGTCCACCTACCATATCTGTACGACTTACGTACCCTGGGACTTACTTCGTATAAAGTGCTGGCCACAACCAACACTGCACCCCGTCGCCAATTTGTAAAGTCATCTTTGACAGCGATACAGACGTCACTCGATGTGGGCCACTCCGCTGACAGGTAATATTCGGTATCGCACAATCGGCGAAAGGGTGCTTCATAGACGGCCTATGGTTATGTGGCGTGCGTTTGAACGTTTCGTTTGATTATTGAATATGACAGGACAAGTGCGACTCGGTGCCTGCCGTGAAATCGTATTCGCACTTGCCTTATGCGCTGGTCTGGTCTGTGGCCCATTTCTCCGGTGTTCACTTCGGAGAAATACAGGCCCCCTCCTTCCAAACAGCGAAGGCACCTGACGGCCAATACGGAAACAGCGCTTGTACCGCAGCAAAACAAATCTGCAGCTTCCCAAGGCGGCGGGGTGTATGTAGAAAATGAATATGGCAATCACGCCTTGCAGCTCAAAAGGGCAGGGGCGCGACTGTGTGGCGAGCGATCCCGTGCTCGTCCTTGCCTGCATGAGAAAACGTGGAAAGAGCGAAGCATGTGCAAATCATGTCACACGACAGCGTTAAACACGATTCACATTCAAAACGCGTCACGGTTTATAAGACGGTACGATAATTGCAATGAAGTCCGAGGTCTGCCCCTAGGGCGGGGGACGATTTGTGAGCATATGTGAGAGGGAGTCACGGCTGAAATTTTGCATTTGTAAATGAAAATCGAGGCCGCTGTCGGAGAGCGACGGCCCAACGCAAAAGCAGCGCAGCTCGGTTCCGCCGGACCAAGGGTGGACTTAGGGGGAAGGTTAGAATACGGCAGGCGCTATGGAGCACCATACAGACAGATTATGAGCCACGCACTCGGAGGGACGACATGCACAAAACAGAAGCGATGAATCGTGCAAGTTTGGCAGGAGCATTGGGAAAAACAGAAACAACAAGAAAAGAGATTCCGCACACTGCGCCCTTGCCTTTTTCGCAAATGCTGGCATCCCCTGGTTCCTTCCCACCTATTGCGTAGGCTTCTTCGTTAGTGCCATACAACGCAAAAAGACGCACATCTGCTGCGCCGAGTCGGACCATCTGAATTTGCCTCTCGCACCCCGGGACACTGGATTCGCCTCGAGACTCTGGAGGGCGGGATGGCGCGGAGCAGTGCGAGAATGGTCCTGCCCTGCCCTGTCCTGTCCCATGGCTATGGGCAGCCTGGAATTTTCAAGCTATTTTCCTTAGCGGCATAGCCTGGTGAAAGAACCCGGAAGAAGGCGCGATCGAGACAACCCGGGGGCGGCGCTTGCCTGCAAATTATAAAGCGCCGTTAGTTTCCCGTCTTTTCTCGGGCGCCTTCCGTTGTCTCGCCTTTTCTCCTTTTTCTCTTCTTCTTTTCTCCTTTTCTCCTTTCTTCCTCAACCCCAGACAAACTCCCTCAAACCCATGGTCACGCATCCAGAAACTCGCACGGCTGAGGAGTATCACAGAATCAATTCTGTATACTCCTTGCGTCAGGACCTCTCGAGCACTTGAAACATCACGACCGCTTACATTGCCGAATCCAGCAATTGCTTCCCTCCCAAGCCTTGCAAGCAATCTCGGCATAACAGATACTAAACTGCATTTCGCTCTGTCGGCTGACGGCTTACACTTTGGACCAAAGAGCATCGTAACGTCAAACAATCACGAGCGACGACATCGTTCCAAAAGACAAGAACAGACAAATCCAAACCGCTGTCCTCGTGACCACAGTCTGCGGCTTCACACGCTATCGAAAAACGACTCTTGCTTCTCGGTTTCTTGAAACATAGGGCCAACAAGAGCTAGACAAGCCTCTGGCCTGCTACCAAATATGCTTCCCAAAATCCCCGTCCTTGCCGACTATGGCATCTCCCCCAAGCACGGCTTCCTCCCTAATGAGCTGCCCCTTGCTCGGCTGCCGGATCCGTACTACAACAAGTGGGAGGCCGTCGTGGCCAACCTGCAGGCCCTGATCCTCAGCCGTCGCGTGCGCGGCGTGGTCGACCGTCTGCCTGTGCTCTCCACGGTCGGCCTGGAACACGACGCGGAGTGGCGGCGGGCTTACAGCATCCTCTGCTTCATTGCGCACGGCTACATCTGGGGTGGTGACAGCCCCAGCGACCGCCTCCCGCCGCCCATCACCGTGCCGCTGCTGGCTATTTCGGCGCGCCTCGAGGTGCCGCCCGTGGCTACGTACGCCGCGGTGTGCCTCTGGAACTTCAAGCCGCTCTTTGTCGATGAAGGCGTCGACCAGCTCGAGAACCTGGCCACGCTCAACACGCTGACCGGCTCCATTGACGAGTCGTGGTTCTACCTTGTCTCTGTGGCCATGGAGGCCCGCGGCGGGCCCATGATTGCCATCATGCTCAAGGCCATGACGGCCGTGCGCGAAGACGACGCCGACACGGTCACGGCATGCCTGTGCGCCTTTGCCGAGCGCCTCAACGACCTCGGCGAGCTGCTGCAGCGCCTGCACGAGCAGTGCGACCCCACCGTCTTTTACCACCGCATCCGGCCGTTTTTGGCCGGCAGCAAGAACATGGCCGACGCGGGCCTGCCGCTCGGCGTCATCTACGACGAGGGCCGCGGCGACGGCGAGGACCAGGTGTACCGCCAGTACAGCGGGGGTAGCAATGCGCAGAGCAGCCTGATCCAGTTCTTTGATATTGTCCTGGGCGTGGAACACCGCCCGACGGGCGTCAAGGCGGGCGACGGTGCCAATGCTGGCGGGGCCGACGGCGACGATGCGGCCGCCAAGGCGGCCGCCGCATCCCGCCACAACTTTATTCTGGAGATGCGCAAGTACATGCCGGGCGCGCACGCGCGTTTCCTGCAGGACGTCACGGATGTGGCCAACATCCGCCCGTACGTGCTTGCCAACCAGGCTGCGGGTACCAACCGACCGCTGTCGATTGCCTACGACTCGTGTCTGGCCATGCTCCGCGCCCTGCGCGACAAGCACATTGCCGTGGTCACACGCTACATTGTGATTCCGTCGCGTGACGTGGCACGTGCCCGCAGCCGCTCGCGCAGCCCCGAGGCTCTGCGCCGTGCCGCGCCCACGACGCACCGGCCCAAGACGATGAACCTGGCGATGGCGGCCGTGAAGACGGACGACAACGGCACCAAGAAATCGCTCAAGGGCACGGGCGGCACGGCACTGATTTCGTTCCTCAAGCAGGCACGCGACGAGACGGGCGAGCCGGCCGTCGAAGAGTGGACGCAGCGTTTCATGAACCGGCAGGGCCGCGTGCCGGGCAAGAACGACTTCTTCTTTGGCAAGCCCGCCGAGCCAGCGACGCCGGGGGTGGCAGCGGCTGTGACGGGGGATGAGGAGGTCGAGGTCGGCGGGCTGGCCGGCATGTGGACGCTGGACGAAGATGTCGGCGGTCTCTGCTTGTACTAGTCCTTGATTGGGTCTCGGTCCAGTTTTTGATCCATTCCATGGCGAGCGTGCATGCACAGTACGCTTTGTCATGGCCCCGGCCTTGGAACGATGGGATCCTCAACGATTCACTCGTCTTTTATCATTCTTCACCGTTTCCCGGTGGCTACAGGTACACCTTTGCCGTCGAAGCCAGTCAGCTCGATGCAGGCGGGCCTGTGTTATTGAACTTTTTTTTTTTCCTTTTTACCTACATACATAAGCAATGACATCTTATATTTTGAATCTCTTCATTCTTGGTGAAGACCACATCGAAGCTTTCCCGTTTCTGTGTCTGCATTATGGACCAACATCAGTCCATCCAGGGAGAAGATGAACTGCGTCCCTCAGCCTACAGTTTGGCTCGCTGACTCCGTCAAACCACTAGCTGTTGTTGGACGATGGCCAACGGTACGTCACTATACAATGTCCAACGAGTGACGCTCACTAAGTTGGCAACTATTGCATCACCAGTGTAAGCTGCAAGCGTTGAACTCCTTCCATCTGTCAACCAATGAGGAGCAACATCGAGATTTGTTTACACACCCTTTTCTGCGGCAGCACGAACCCATGGATCTTTTCATCGGCCCTTTATCTGGCCCCTTCTCCTTCCTTGGTCCCTTTCTTGACAAGGTTGTCGTCTCTCTCTTCTTTTTTTCTTTCTACTTTTGTTACATTGTATCTCATGTCATGCTTAAATCATTAATTTTTAATTTCTGTGGATCAGTTACAACACATTCATCACCATTTGCATCACCTCGATTTTTTTTGGTATCATCGTCATTTTCATCATGGATTACAAGGACGAGAAGCCAATTGTCACCGTCCATGACATTGTGGACGACTACAAGGTGGCCCACTCCAAGATTGTCACGGCCAACCCCATTATATCGCCGATTCTCTTTTGTCGGCAGCTGGTGAAGCGCCGGCGTGAGGCCAAGAATGAGAAGGCGCGTCAGGAGGGCGAGACCAAAATCGCAAAGAGCCTGTCCGGCATCCGGGAGGCCATCTTTGAATCGGAGCAAAAGTGCCACATTCTCGTCAGGCGCCTAGAAGACCTCTGCGGCAACATCGGCATGCGGACCCAATACCTGCATTTCGCCGTCGTGAGTCTGCTCCCACCGTCCGACGACGCCGGCTACCGGGGCAGCAGTACGGCCGAGTACCAGGCCTTGAAGGCGGCCAGGTTCCGCAGCATGGCTGAGCAGACCCAGGTCGCCTTCAACGCAGTCGAGACGGCCGTCAGGTTCATCCGTGCGCAAATGAACGGAGTCATTGTCCTGGTCGACGAGGCCTGCGCCGGTAAGCTGTTTGTGTCGCCTTTTGGCGACCAGAACCCGCCGAGCTTGTACCCAAACGGGCGGACGCGGCCGCGGATGGTGCGCCGGGACCCGTCCAAAGACGGCTGCCCGTCCCAGTTTGTCAAATTGCGCGAGGCCGTGCTTGCCACGGCGACGACCAACAGCGACTGGAGCATTCCGGACGCGCAGTATGACTTGTTCCACGCCGTCCACAGGCAGCTGAAGAAGGTGCAAGACGCGCACGGCTCCGCATACGGGGAGAGCATGGCCAAGCGGACCGTCCACGGCGGGTTCCGGCCGCCCCCCGGTGGTTGGTGGCGCCGCGAGTACATGCGGTCGGCCGCGACCGTGCTGAACAATCTGGCCACGCGGATGGTCTCCCTGCAAGCGAAAGCAGACGGCGTCCGCGAGGCGCTGGTCACCGCCAACCTCGTGCGCGAGGCCACCGCGGCGGTGATCAAGCAAGAGTTGGCGTCGCTGGGTCCGGCCTGCACCGTCATCCCCAAGCAGTTGGAGCCGGTTGACATGAGAATGTACAACATCTGGTACGACAGCATGCAATCGGTGAAATCGACAAAGGGCAGGACGCACAGCGTCCTGCAGACGGCAGAGGCCATGCCTCTTGTCCACACCATCAGCTACAAGCCGCACCAGCGCGGCGTAACGAAGTAGAGGAGGACGTCCATGTGATACCCACTCTTGGAGACGTGCATTTGTGCATTTTTGTGTGTTGGTTGTGACTATGATTTCGTTCTACCTTTCATTCGGGTTTGGATATGTTTGGGGTTGCTTTGGGGGTGTTTTGTTATTTGATGTGTTTTACTTGCAATCAATCAATGATGCATGAATTAAGCTTAAATTTAAACTTTTCCGGTTGAAGCAGCACAATGTGATTAGCGAAATGTGCCGGATCATTCTACGTCAGTCTTTTAGGAACCAAACAACACTAACACGACACAAGAAAGGTGCTATTATTTCCTTACCATTTTCAACCAGCGTACGAACAGTATAGATCTACGAAATGCGATGCACGTCTAACGAAATGTGGCATTTGCTGTGTATACGTCGCTTACTTGACTTATACAACAATTATATGGCACTTATGCAATTAAACAGAAATCGGGCAACGGCGAGCAAGCGTCGCAGCACGAATTTGGTGCAGTCGTATCCCAGGCAAAGATATAGTTTGTCTCACAGAATGCTCAGAAAGCTCGCTTTTCTCCTCAGCCCTTGCCGTAATTACTCCACAAGTCAACGTTGGGACAAAACACAAAACCAGTCCAGGGTGCAAAACACAATTGAAGAATGGTAAAGTGAAGTCGGAAAAGTGGAGCAGATGCAAGGCTCGACAGATGTGGGAAGGTACGGAGTCCAGATCAGAAGTACCCGGTACTTCCTGCTGCGAACTCCAGGGTCACGGGCAACGCGCTAGATCCATTTGAGGAGAGGGGTGTGTCTATCACTATGAATCATTTCGCATCACTTTGCATCAACGTCGCATCATTTGCAGGCGGGCAGCAGACTTGTTGGTCTCTTGCTTCTTCCCGTTTGGTGGAAGGATTCTTGGCGGGCTGTCACTGTAAGGAACCGAGTGCAGCAACACAGGGTGAGCAGGGCGAGCAGATTGGCCTGGGCTTCGGAAAGACTCGCGGTGAAAGACAGAGGCGATACTGTTTGGAAAGCCGTGAACGAGGAGAGAATGTCGAGAGCTTTCAAGGGAAAGGGGCAACTAAAGAGCGCTGTCGGTGTCTATATTGCTGCCAGTTGTCCATTGAGAGCCAGGTTACTCCAAGGCTTCGTCCAGGTGACCTTGCTCCCACCTAGCACAAAATGCGGTCTATGTGCTTTTGGCAGCGTGCATTCCGATTCTTTCTCTTTTCGTAGACGCTCACAAGAAGATGTGACTTGCGATCTGTGGTAGACCTTCCGCTGGTCGTCATAAGACAAGATAATACTGCTTGCCAAAAGGGAGCTGGGTAGAGGCCATCAGACATTTGCTTCCGCCAGAGCGAATTTGACCGCGACCTAGAGGATAAGAGGATAAGAGGATATAAAGACTGGTATGTCAATGAATGATGGAGCTGAGAAAAGGTGAAAGACGGTGGATGACTTCACATTGCCCTATCCTGCCGAGCACGATTCCATACATCCACGGTTTGTGTATAGTCGAGCCAAGCCAGTTATAGAGCAGCACCACAACAAGCAGCCATTTCGCCAGATGCTTTCGTGATGCGTCCGGAGTCATCGAAAGAGCGAGTACAGGTACATCCGTCCGAGAGTTGCAGATGAGGAGAAGAACAGTGTGAAGCGAGACGTGGCCTATATATGAAGCGTCGCAGATGACGAGATATGAATCATTCTCCCTCACAATCCGACACGCCTCGACTCGACAGTATACCAAAATCACCCCAAAGTTACCCAAAGCAGCATACGCACCTCTCGTAGATGCTCATTTGTCTGGTGCTTGGCACTGCAGAGCCCTTCTACCCCCTCGTCCGTCGTTTCCCTTGCGACGTCTCCGGAAAAACGAGAGGGTATGGAGAACTGGCAGCGTATATAAAGAACAGTTGCTGGTATCTGAATCGACCTTTTTCTTTCCTTTTTTTTGTCCTTTTCTTCATTTATCTTTTATATTTCCCTTGCCAAAATTGATTTTCTCTTGTTCCTCTATCCTTCTGACCTTGTATCAACATGTCCTGCTGGCATCGATATCCCAATGATCGATATCCAAATGTCGCCATCATGGCACCGACAAATACGCAGGTAAGCTCTCGCTCTTTTTGGCCCACCCGAAAGGCACAAAACCACACAATGTTGCACGCCTCTCTGCATGAAGAAAAACCATCGTTCCCTATGTTGAGAACAAAACCACTGCACACAACATGGCACGAAGGGACCGAGGATTTGACGGAGTCGGACACCTGCAGGATGGAACAGGAACTATCAGGCGACAATAGAGGGCGACAAGGTGGGATGGGAGTAGAAGAGCCGGTGCCAAGAGAGTTTACTTTCAGCACTGTTCCTACGTTCCTACTTCAGCGGCTTCTCTTCGTTTGAGGATGATTTCCGCTGTCTCGTTTTGGTTTCTTGCCCTCCCGTCACATCTTGTCCTCCTCTTTTTGTTTGTGGTGGGACTGTGTCTTCGTTCTCGCAGTGGCCTTCTTCTCTCCTCGGCTCATGCGTGGTTGTGCCTTGCCGTGTTCATGAAAGCAACTATATTCTATATATGTCACCTAAGAGCCGACATCGTCTGACAGCAGACTTCACAAGGCACATTTGTTGCTTTGTTTTGGGCGTGCAATTAAGCTTTGATTCTTCAGTTTGCATAAGATACATAAAAGTGCAAAACTCGCTAACTTGGCAATGCAAAGGACATAGAAAAGGAGAAACGCAAGAATAGAGGTAAGTAGACATAGAAATAGACAATATAAAAACAACTCAGCCGATCCTTTTGTACTTTTGTCCTTTGGAAATTTTGTCCTTTTGTGCGAAAAGAAAAAAGTAACTTTTAAAAACAAATCCTCTCTACTGTGACTGCTACTTCTTTTTCCGCCGCTTGCTGCCTCCATCGTTTTCGCGGTCCCGGCTCTGCACAAGAAGCATCTCCCGCAGTGCCGCCGTCTCCGCCTCCTGTCGTGCCAGCTGAATGCGCAGCGCGTCGCGCTCGCCTTGCAGCTGCCCGACTTCCACCTCCAGCTCCGAGATGCGGTCCAGCTTCTTCTGGCGGTACTTGCGCGCCGCCAGGCTGTTGCGCTGTCTCTTGAGGAGGAGATCCTCGTCGTCCGCAGCCGCCGTCGTCGTGGACGTCCGGACACGCGCACCGCCGGCACCCGACTTTTTGTGGATGCCGCGCGCAGCACAACTGAGCGTCAGGCCAGGGACGTTGGGTGCCGAGGACGACGAAGAAGAAAAGGAGGAACGAGACGGAGGCGGGGGCGCGGCCACAGCCGAAACCGACGTGCCAGACGCAGACGATGACGAAACGGACGGTGCCATGGCCACAGACGCGGCTGGTGCCGCGATGCTAGGTGACGTCGACCCAAGCGAAGACAAGTCCAAGAACGAAAGAAACTGAAGATTGTTGCTGCTGCTGCTGCTGTTGTTGTTGTCGTTGTCGTTGTCTTCTCCAATAGCTACACTCGCGCTGCAGCCGCCGTCGACCGCCTGCGCAATAGGCGACGTCTCCGACGAGTAGGCCGGCGACAGAGACAGCGGTGGTGTGCGCGATTGGGTGGCCGTTGACGTGGCCATGGTCGCGCCCACCGATGACGAGGGCGAATGGTGGTGCGATGTCATGCCAAGGCCAGACGACGGAAACATGATGGGGTCCGCGTACGGCATCGTCAAGGTCGACGACCAATCAAGAATATCGAGCGGGGGTTGTTGCAGCTGCTGGTCTTGTTGAGGGAAAGAGGAGGTTGCCAAAGAACAGGACAGCTGCTGGGATCCGTACGAGTCCAGCAGTGGTGTGGACAGCGAAGAAAGGAGAGAGGCGGGCGTGGTCGACAGTGCTGTGGTCGGCGGCGTGTCCGCACACGAGACGGCGGGCGTCGACTGGGCTGCCGGGAACAGAGGCCAATTGGAAAGCTCCGATGGGGTGGGAGCCGTTGAAGGAAGAGAACTGGAGGGAACAGAAGTCGAAGTTGAAACAGAATAAGGCGCAAAAACAAATGCAGGTGAAGAATCAAAACAGAGGCTGCTGCCGCTTTCGTGGTTCGCCCAATTAAGGAACAGATCACCAACGTCGCCGTCGTCGGGGTCCTCGTGCGGCTGCTGTTGGCAATCTGTCGAGGGTGCTTGTCGGTGGTTGTCGCACTGCCGCCCGTCTCGACAACTAAGACATGTTGTGGGCGACAGGTGCCTGGGCGGGCTGGAACCAGTGGAAAGCGGAGTTGCGGACGCACGCTGCTGATGATGAAGCGCCGGCACCCATTCTTGCAGAGTTAACGGTCGGCCTCCTTAGGTCGAGGCCGTGACAAGGGGAGAAACTTGGAGGATGTCAAAAGCAAGGAACACCGACTGCAAAATAGGTGGTGCCTTGTAAAGGGAAATCAAAATGAAAAAAAAAAAAAAAGTGACAGAAAAGACTGTGGAAAGGGGTGGAAATTGAACGAGAGAAAGGAGAGAAGACAAGAATTGAGGCAAAAGAGGGGTGGGCGTTGGAGGTTTATAATGAGATCTGGTGAGATGTGGTTTGGTACCAAGTTCACAAAGGGAAAGGACCATAAAACTTGTCCGTTTACCCTGGCACAGGTCGCTTGGAGCACTGCCAGCCACGGTGTATTGTCTGCGGCGGCAAGTCCGTCTTGCCTCCAGCCCTTATTTGGATGGTTTGGGGAGGCTTTGAGTGATCGTCGTTGTCTTAGCCACACGCCCCCAAGAAGCCGCTTCTGAGTCACCGCAAGTACCTCTGACTTCCTCGGCACAGCCGTCCCGGCGTCTTTGTCGCTAATCAGTCCCACCCTGCTCTGAATGGTCCAGGGTGCAGCAAAGGATGATGCGCGCCGTTGATCGACAATCGAATTTGGGTTTTTCAGGCTTATCAGATTGAAAACCTCATTCAAAGGTTGACTTTCTTGTGATGTTAGCGACGTTAGAAAAATGGGAAGGACGAGGCAGTGCAAAAAATGAGAACAAATGTCGCGAGACGCTAGAACAGCATGAATCCACAACAAGATGCATACATACACTTCCTGCATAAACAGGGAAATGGGGAAAACAAGCACAAACCAGACGAGAAGAGAAATGGGGTTCTCAAACTGACGCGCAACGTCTCTTGTTCTTTATGTTTGCGTGCCACAACAGCAAAAACTGCACACCCACCGCTCGTTCTGTTTTCGTGAAACTGACAAAAGTATGTTGTATATCGTACAAGACTCGTGTGAAGCCACACCAATACATTCAAAAAGTCTGGACACAACAGCCTGCCCGGAAAAAGCGTGCAGGAGATAAGCTGCAGCAACAAACACACTTGACATTATATAAAACAACAAAGGGTGCTGCGGTCCAACTGAAAGAATCCAAAAAAAGTTTTGTTTTCAAAAGGTATAAATAGAGAGAAAGAAAAAGTAAGGCAATGCAATATGCTGTGTTAAAACCACCTGTACAGGGAAAGCCAAGACCAGACAAAAGAAAAAAAAAGCCCGAAACCCAGAAAAGACGCAGTCCATCATTGCAAGCAATCAAGACAAGATTGGAGCCTTTTTATTGACCGCTTTACAGCATCATCATAACACCGGCGACGAACAGGGCGGCCAGACCCATCTGGGTCGACACCTTGCGAGCGCCAGCAGTGACGACGCTGCTGCTGGGCGAGGAGGGAAGGCGCGAGGCGCTGGCCGTGGCACCAGAGCCAGCACCGTTGCCGTTGCCGTTCCCGTTCCCGTTGCCACTGCCCGTACCGGCACCACCGGTCGTAGGCTTGACCTTGGTAACAGTCGAGGCCGTCGAGTTGCTGTAGTGCACCGCAATAAGCGTCGTCGTGGGAACAGCGACGTTGCCAACAATGATCGGCGATGAGTTGGCACCCGAGCCCGAGCCAGGGTAGACAGTGATGGTGCTGACAGCAACCGTGTGGGTGTTGACGCGGGCCGGGCAGTTGGTGACCTCGGGAGCGCACGAGGTGATGGTCTCGTAGCTGGTGCTGTAGATGGTGCTGACAACAGGGGCACCGCCAGCACCACCGTTACCGCCGGCAGGGATGCTGGTGGTGGGCTTCTCGGTGGCAGTCACGGGGCAGATGGTGGTGTACAGATCGACGACGACCGTGGTGACCTTGCCGTAAGGGCAGTTGGTCACCGTCGGAGCGCAAGACAGGATGGTGCTCGTGTAGGTCGAGCGGACAGTCGAGGTGATCAGCGAGGCGGAAGGCGAAACAGCCGGGCTGGAGATGGGACCGGTAGAGGCCGAAGCACTGGCAGAGCCGCCGGCAGAGCCACTGGTCGAGCTAGGGACAGCTGAGGTACTAGAGTTGGAATAATGAGTGGAGCTGAAAGCAGCGGAGCTGGAGGCCGAGCTGGAAGCAGAAGCCGAAGCAGAGGCAGACGACGAAGGGACGGAGCTGGAAGCCGAGCTAGAGGCCGAGACAGAGCTGGAGGCAGAAGCGGACGACGAAGCGGATGAAGAAGCCGAGCTGGAAGAGACGACGCTCGAGGTCGAGATAATCGACGGGACGGGGTCAGCAGGGTTGGCAAGCTCGACAGCCAGGCCAATATAGTTGGTCTTGCCCTGCTGCTTGGTCTCGACTGGGTTGTTGAGACCGAAGAACTCGTCCCACAGCATGATGCCACCGAAGTGGCTGTTGCCGCGGTACTTGACAATCAGGTTCTCAAACTGCTTGGGGTTAAGGTAGCCGGTCCCGGCCGCCTCGGGACTAGCGGGCAGACCAATGAACAGCGGGGTGTTTGCGTTGAGGGAGCCGGCGAGGTGGGTGACCCAGGCATTGAAGTTGAAACCCGCTCCCAGGCCATCACAGACCGGGTTGTTGTAGAACTGGATGAAGAGGAGGTCAAACTTGGACCCGGCCAGGATACCAGTCATCTGGAAGTTCTTGTCGGAGAAGGGGCACTGGGGAGCAGCAGTGACAAGGTAGTCGCCGCCCTTGAAGTTGGTGCGCAGCCGCGAGACAAGGGTGTTCCAGGGACCCTGGTCGGCGAACTTCTCCTCGATGTCCAGGTCGAAGCCGTCGACGGAGTTGTGGGTGGTGCCGACATCGAAAGGACGGGGATACTTGTCGGTGCCGTCGTACGGACCAAAGGCACCCCACAGGAAGTCGGCAAACTTGGTGGCCTCGGCATCGGAGGACACGGTGTAGTTGGCGTCCTTCGTGAAGACACCGCCAATGGACAGGAGGATCTTGACGCCGTTGTCCTTGCACGTCTGCCAGCCATCGGTGATGTCCGGGCAGTCCTTCAGCAGGAACGAGTCGGGGTAAAAGCCAGCAAAGCAGTGGTTGGCGAAGTTGTCACCAGGGTAGCCGGACTTGCCGCCGTTCTCGGGCGAGATGTTGACGAAGGCCAGCGTCACGTAGTCGATGCCGGTCTGGCAGACAGTGGACAGCTCATTGCTGCCCTGCTGACCGTAGTAGACGTTGACCTGGGCGGACTTGGCGGCCACTACAGCGGCGGAAGCCGCAGCCAGGAGCGTGTTCTTGATAGAAGGCATTGTTGCGTTCTTTGTTTATATAAATGAGTGTTGGTGATATGAAAAAAGTAGTGCCAAAAGAGAACGGGACGAGGCCGTTGAAGAACGAGAGACTATATAAAAATGAGTGACTATGATCCAAAGATCAAAACGAAAGGACGCAAACCAGAAGGAATGCAAAAACGACTCAGTAAACAGAGTCGGTTGGTGAACGAAGTTGGCGATGGAGAGAAAACAAAAAGAGGAAAAAGGGGAAAGGGAGAAAAAGAAGGAAAACGTCCAAAGCTGGACAAGCGGCGAGCCATCGTAGCCATATATTGCTCGAGGAAAAGTCCCGAGAACGACCATGCCACACGCGCGTATGGGGGTGGTGGGCAAGCCACAAGGAGGAGGAGGAGGTGAAGGGGGGCTGCTCTCTGCGAGTTTGTATCTTGAGTGTGAAAAGGGGCACGATACCCAGATTGGGCAAGTCTGCCGTTCCATGCGTATGTCGACCCTTGCCCTGCCTTGGGCTGGCCTCAGTCCACTTTCCATCAAAGGGTTTTGCCTGGTACCTTTTGGCATTGCCATTTGCTTGCTGCTTGCCCTTTTGAACTCTAGCTCCGCCTCTTCCCTAGCAACATCTCTCTAGCACTGCACCAGAATGAAGGAAGGGCGCGGCAGGGCGTGCCGAACATGTCGACCTGCCAGGAACAGAACTGGCAAAGTGGATAAGATCAGGAACAATAGAAAAAGCCTCCAGTGGAAAGACCGGGGAGAGACGTCGTGATTGGCCTGGGAGGCACACCTCATGCAGGTACAAGTGGATGGCCCTGAAAGTTAAGATGACTGACGATGCCCGTCCTGAGGTGCTTCTGAAGAGTCTCCAAGGCTGAGGGGGTGACGAAAAAACCGCCAACGGAATGCTTGCCGACGACATCGAACGAACATCAGGCGTTGAAACACGTCTTGTCGAAATCAACCTTTTTCAACGGTTTATGGAAGGCTCGACTTTAGCAGTAAGCTGCTTTGCATTCATTTTCTCTTCTTCGTCGCATTCCTCGGACAGGTCGGCACAGTGGCAAACAGAAGACACCGGGTTTACCTCCACCGTTTTGCTTAATTCCAGACTTGCCCGGACGGCGGAAGCAGAGAATGGGCCGCCATGTCTTCGAGATCCCAGCGTGCCTCTTTTGCGTCTCATTGTGCCCCCTTGCGCTGGGCCTGTGTATGTCAGTTAATATACGGTGGGAGCATGATAGTGGTAGGGGATGCATAGGCATGGTAGGGCTTTGTCACCTAACACACTCGCAACGTATGTTGGCCTTCACGATGTGTTTTTCCTTTTTCCTTTTTTTCTTCTTTTTTTTTCTTTTTTTCTTTTTCCCCATCTCGCCAGTCCAGCTTGGCGCGCTGGGGACTGGGTGTCAATGGAAAAGCGGCACGCCAGGTACGACACCCATTCATAACCGTCTGCAGTGTTGTCGATGTAGCAGACGAGTTGCCCGAAGCAGAATTCCAAAACCCAATAAAGTCAACAGCACAAGCCGCATCCCTTAGCGTGGGCCGAGAACCCACTGGCCATCCATCACCAACAGATAGAGGACCAGGATTGGCTGCTTCTTGGTAAATGGGACCTGGTAAGGGGGGTTTGGTGGAAACGGTGTGACGGCTCGTCTGAAAGTTTCGCCGGGCTGGCGCGCTTGGAACGAAGCGTTACCGATTTGAGCTTTGAGGCAAAAGAAGATGGAAAGGAATAAGATTAGCACCAAGCGCCTTGTCCGTTGAAGTCAGGGGGTGCCACCTGCGATGGAGAGGAAGGTGCAGAAAGACTGGGGGCACACGTAACTACGGTCCCGAGGAGAAAGAAAGTACAAAATTGCCAGTGGAGGAAAGCGCAAGCGGAAAGGAGTGCGAAAAAAAGTGGACAAACGCGGCAGGCAAACCTTACAGGGAATAGCAGGGGGAAGGTGTAAGGGACAGAATTGACATCTAGGCCTTGGCTAGGGGACATACGGAGTAGGCTTAGAAGCTGCCCAGGCTGTGGCAACGAGATTGTCGTGAAGAGCACCAAAATTAGCAGCGGCTCGCTTCATCGTTCTTGCCATGAATGTGGACATGCTGTTGACCCACAGCCGGAGCGGCCGCCAGCAACACAGCAGGAAAGTGCGAAGGAGGCTGTTGCGTCCCCCACAGCAGAACATTCTTCAGTGGAAAACTCAACGGGTTTCCCTTTACCTGACTGAGCATGTCGTACTTGTCAGCAAGTTGCGGCTCTCGTGAGATGGGATCGGTATTCATTGGCATACCGGAGTAAACAAGACAAAAAATCAAGTTCCTCGCCGAAATACCTTAAAATGTCCCTGGCCTCCACTGCTTTTACATATGCCTCAAGGACAGGAGGAGGTTTGAAAAGAATCCGCTCCAGCAGCAGGTGGAAAAAGCGCTGGGAAGGTGCGATTCTCTGCGACAACAGAGTACTTTCGATGTGCTGCAACTACGTCGGGCACACCTTCCTCGCTACAACATCCCTTCCGCACCTCCACCAGCCATGCCAATTTCCGGGCGTTTAGGAAGGAACAGAGGACTACGAACATATTTTGTGGCCGGGCAGGAAAGGACTGAAGCCGAAAAATAGGAAAGAGCCAAGTCGTTCTTTCTCATACTGTTGTGGACTCTGCTGCTGGACGAATTCCAAGATTGTCTTCCGAGCAACAGGCAGTTACTCTCTTATTTATCATCACCACTCCCCGCCGCCAAGAAGCTCCAGTCTTTTCAGTGCCCGGCTCTCGGCCTTTCTCCAAGACCCTTATGGCTCGATGGACCACCGCTTGGTACGCGCCCGATATCACCAGCACTGCGAGCGGATAAATTGGCCAACAAGAAGACAGCAGGCCCAAAACGGCATGGAGCACGAGTGGCACAAGGCAACCCTCTTCGTCAGGGGCAGAATTCTTGACACGATTCCAGTTGAAGGCCCTGTTGGAGAATATGTCCCCTTTGTCGTCCCGGTGTTCTGTTTGTCCTGTTTGTCTGTCATGCGTCTCCTCGTCAGATGGTCAGGCACAACAGAGTTGCCGTGCAATAACGAATCTCCGTGCCAGTTTGCCAGCGCCTATTAGGGAGAACGACAAAAGGGTCCTGTTTGAATCCGAGACAAGACTCAATGAAGCTACTGTCGTCTCGCTCCAGCGCATGGCGAGACAACATGCGTGCGAAAAAAGGTCGCTATTCCACACTACAGGGGGCCTTGTCTTTGCGATCGCTCCGCGCCGCGGATGATCCGCTCTGGAGAGGGCGATGACCAGAAAACGTATTGACTTGGCCCACGGATGTCGGCAATGGCTTGAAGAGGATGCGATCGACGGAACAGTGGCTGCCAGCGATATGCACCGCATTTCCCGTCCACCATAAGATATTGCCGTTTTCATCGTTTTACAACCCCTGGAACCAGCGCCAATTTTCTTGGAGACGACGGCACACTCACACGACAAGCCACTCCCGTCGCGCGTGTTGATATTTGCCTTCGGGATCTACGACGTACGACAGCATCAACCTGACATGACGGCTTACAAGCCTCGAAACAAAGGCGGACAATTCAAGTCAATTTCTAGGCGGGAATAACGGCGACATGCCAGCTCGACCTGGTTTTCCTGCCAATAACTGAAGCAGTGGACACATTTGTTTAATGAAAACTACAGCAGGCGAAGCGAAGATTCTTCAAGCAAGCCCCCCTCCTCCCCCCTCTTAAAAATAAACTGACTCGACAACCCGCCAGTGCCCAACCAAAAGGTCCAGAACGATGCAGCATGGTAATTACACATCTTCTACAGGGGTGCGCAGTATTACTGCAGGGGCATGTGCGACTCAATTCCATAGCCAAGACCAAAAAGGGCCAGACATCCCAGTTGGGATTGTCCCCGAGCACGTTTCTGCCAAGCACAGCAGGGCTGACCGGGGTGTCTCTTGACGCCACATTAACAGACAATAAACAGCATATTTTTCCCGCGATACTATTTTACACAAAATTTCAGTGCGAATAACACGGTTTGGTGACAACAAACAGAAACCAGAATTCGACCAACTTTAATCATTCTCCCTTCGCACAATGCGCACGTTTCGTGGTATTATTTCCTTGCTCCGCAGACGCGTGCAAAATGGTCACAGTGGATACAGATGTTTACTTAGTCTCTGTCGTTTCCCCCGTATACGCTACGACGAAAAGGGGCGAGGGTGGCAGGGGGTTTGAGCCCCATCAGAGGTTGCATCCGAAGGATCTGGTCAGAGATTTGTTAATACCAATGCAACAAGCAAAACAGCTCACTGACGGTCAATGGTGGTCTGTTCAATGGGCTGCACATTTGTCGCGCCATGGCGACAATTGGCCGCCTCCGGAATAAGTGTCGACAAAACAACAGAAGTCGACCAAGCATCGGAGTGAGAGTGCATGCACGGTCAACCAAATTCCAGCCGCCGGGACAAAACAGCAAGGGGACATTGTAGTGGGAAAAAAATCAAGCGTCGTCGCTAAGCTCTGGGCATCATCGATTTGTCACCATCTCCTCCTCGTTGATCTGGCTCCTCTTCTCCCTGTTTCCTTTCCTATTTTGACGGTGGCAAGAGTGCGCGTTTACAGGAGGAAGGGTCATTGCAGGCTAATTTCAAAAACAGCTGGTGTGGTGCGTGCGCCGAAAGGCGATGGGCACGACAGCGACATACGACAATCGCTGTCAATACGGCGAATACAGACTGGGTCAACATCCACAGCTGACTGCCGCTTACTTACGGCGTATTCACCGTACCAGCAAGTCCGTGGCATGCACAGCGCACGGCACATAATTTCGTACGTTCCGTACGTTGCGTACGTTGCATATGCCTGGTGTCAAAACGTCGTGTGCGCTGTAATTACCTTCAACAGACGGCGGGCGAACTGGAGCATCACTCGACGGTACCCTCGTATGCTGGTCGCAAGTGGTGTCATGAATGGTTGGATACGGATACTAATGTTAAGGGGAAATAATATACAAGAAAATGAAGATACGCAGTCTGAACATACGACCACGCCGGCATTCCAACGCCTGAGGCCTATGTCCTCAACGGCAAGAGACTTAGGTGACCGGAAGTGACAGGAACGGAAACAAAACTACCGGCAACACCAATACAATCCAGAGGTCTCCCTGCCACCTCACTACGACGGCGCCAGCACATCCTTGTCGGCCGCCCGCCAGGTGACGTTGGCAATGGGCACGTTCCAGGACGCGGTCTCGTCCGTCAGGCACTGTGTCTGGCCACCTGCTGTCGAGCAACTAAACGGCTTTGAGATGGCCGTCGTCGCGGTACCGCTGAAGAGAACCGGGCGCTCTCTGTCCAGGTCGCTGCAGATCCAGTCGGCCGCCAGTGTCAGCTGCTTGGCCGCAGCATCGTACGTATACGTGCAGTTGTACGGCGCTAGCGGGATCTCGTCGGCACCAAACGTGCAGTGGAACCACTGCGGCTTGCCCTCGACAGCCCTGCCCTGATAGACGCTGATCGGATAGGTGGCCTCGTTGGTGCCAGTGGCAAGCCGGAGATCGAAGCCGACGGAGGTGATGTTCGCCGTCCTGTTTCCCTTAGGATCCCTGGGATCCGTGTCAATCTCGAAGCTGCTCAGCGTCCAGGCCGGCCCGACAATCGACGACACCGTGCAGCCGTCGGGCGTGGGCAGCGGATCGGTTACGGAGTACGGCGGCAGCGACGCTACCGTGCCGGGGTGCTGGGCCTGCAGTACAATGTCGCCATTGGACAGGCACGTCGTCTTGTTGCCCGCATTGTCGCCCGCGCCGACAGCGACGCTCGTGCAGTTGAGCGGCAGGACCGTGCTGCCACTGGCTGTGATGCTGACCCTACATGTTGTTAGTCTCGACGTGCGCCGTTCCATACCACTCCCCCCCTTCCCTCGATTCGAATTTTACAGCACTCACGGTTTCCCCTCGTCCGTGTCGTCGCAGTACCATGTCTGGTTCACGGTAAAGTTGAACGTTGCCGGCTCAAAGAGCGCCTGTGTCTGGATCCGGTACCGGTCCCTGCCGAGAAAGTCGTAGCCCTGTCCGGCGCAGGTAAAGGACACCGGTTTGGTCGACAGGTCGTCGGACAAGAAGCCCGTGCAGCCGGCCTGGTACCCAATCGCGTGGTTGATGACCTGCAGCATCAGCGTCTGCGATGAGATCGCGGTCGCCCCGTTGTCGCCCGTCTGGTTGAGATAGTAGACGCTCTGCAGCGACCACGAGGGTGGTTTGCTGGCCGCCGCCGAGCAGCCGGCCTTGCTGTGGCCAATGGGGCCCTCGGCGGGAGCCGAGTGGATGGCCACGGGCGCGGCGAGGTTGCCCCGGACGAGCAGGGGCGAGTCGACCGCTACACAGCCGCCGGCGGCGTCGCACGTGAGCACCGTGGAACTGCTGCCGGCTGCCGAGAAGTTGATTGGCTTGACCGCCGCCGTCGTGCGGTCGCTGCAGGCCCACCTCTGCCGAAGCAGCACATTCGCCGCCGTGCCTTTGGCCGTCACGCGCACGAGCGCCAGCAGCGAGTCGTCGCTGGGCGCAGGATCCGTCTGCACATCACAGTGCGCATACACGTTGGGCTTGCTCTCGTCGGCCGTGGCGTTGGCGCAGCCAATGAAGGCGGTGTAGTTGGTGGCGCGATTGAGGAGGTCGAACGTGACGCTGTCGTCGGTGCGGTTGAAGGTCAAATCGCGGACGAACCAGCTCGGCGTCGAAAAGGAGCTGGTGGTGCAGCCGAGAATGGGCGCCGCAGCAGCAGTAGTGTCGCCATTTTGTGCATTTATTTTGGCAACAGTCGTGGCCGACGCGAGGGCGTGGCCCGGCAGCTCGATGGTGAAGCCGGCGGCGTCCTGGAGGTGGTCGGTGGCCATGAGAATGACCGCCTCGGCCGTGGCGGCCAACAGGGCAAGATGGAGACGCATCTGGGAGAGGGTTGACAGACGACTGGAACGAATGAGCGACAATGTTGGTTTGTATCAAAAGGAATGGCGGTGCAAGTGCTGCGGCCGTTGGGTATTAAAGGAGTGTACGTGGTCGGTGTGTTTACTGATTTCGAAGATCGTGAGATTGTCAACCTTGCCTCGCGAGAGACCCAGGAACAAAAATCAACAAGGGCAGATCTCTTCTGCACAACGTGGTAGCAGCTCATGTGCCATGTTGTTCCCCAGACCTCCTGCCCCTTTCCCTTCCCTTTTCCCCCTATTGTCCCTTTTTGCCCTCTGCACCCACAATGTCGGCTTCATTTAGCCACCATGTGCTCAAGGCCGGACGTTGGAAGCCTGCGGAAATTTTGGAGGGGCTGGAATGAGCAGTCTGACTCGCCTATCCGCGCGCCCAAGCGAATATAGCCATATTAAAGATTTTAAACAACCTTCGACTGTCTTACACGCATCCCGTTTTTCGATGCCGACCAAACGAAACAAAACGAAGTAGACAGGGCGGCCGGCTAAACTCCTGTTTATCTACTATCCGGCAGTCAGACTAGGTCAATATCAAAATTACGAAAGAACAATTATGTTTGGCCATAACCGTATATGCTCTGTTTCCCGTTTTTCATGAATGTAATTTGACCAGGGTGGATGTCGTTGGTGGCGGTGCCTTCTTTTCAGCCACCACGACTGATGCAGCAATTGCCCCAGAATCCGTCAACAACGGTCAATAGATTGAAGACTCAAACACGAATACAATTGTAAAGGTGCGAGGGCCTATTTGGCGGCGGTGACGCTAGGAGAGCGTTGCTCAAAGCACCTTGAAGCGTACGCTTCACAACTCCCACATCAAACGAATTCACAGAACATATGGCACAGCACTTGGAGAGGAAATTATGCGAATTTGTATTTTGTTGCGCCACAGGAGTACCCAACGCATACATATAGCAGATTCAATATTGTCGCGGGTACGGTGCCGCCCTGCTATCATTTTTGTCGTTTTGATGTGCTTGTGGGATGTTTTTGTGTTTTGTGTTTGGTGCCGTTATTCATCCTCGTTGTCCATTTCTGTATCCCACTGGAGCTTCCAAGGCCTGCCTCTCCCAGTCTATGCGTCGTAACCTTGCTGTCGTACAAATACATCACCGACGCGTATACTTCCGGACAAGTGTCGTTCAGCTGGTCATTGGTATATACAAAGAAGGAGATATTTCGGCCGATCAGTGATGCGTCTTCACAGTCTCGGTATCCGCAGATGCTATTGTGCGCTCATCTTCTGGCCGTACCATCCCTTTGCAGTTCATCTGTCCGCTCGTCTGTTCGTTCGCCGTGTGTCGCTTATTGCCTGTGGAATGTCAGCGTCCAGCCCTCACCACATCTTCATTCGCCTCCGTCTCGGCATGCACTTACGGCGGCAGCAGGAACTCGCCCCAGGAGCTGGCCAAGAAGGCAGTGCCGACAGCAAAGGCGGCAATGCCCTTGACAAACGAAGCGTTCTCGGCCGCCGTCAGGCTGTCGTAGGTCGACCGGAAGAAGCCCTTGGGCTGCAGCGTCTGGCCGCCGGCCTTTTCGACCTGCACGATCTGTCTTGGCTGGTACATTTTGTGTGTGTGTGTGTGTGTGTTGACGTGAGAAATATCGTGTATCGTCGTTGTTCGTGTCGTGCGCGTCGTGTCGTCTCAGTCGTCTGTCGTCGTCTGTCGTCGCCGTTGACGTCAAAGTCGCAAACCAGAATGCGAATTTTTTTGGTGGCGCTAATGGAGTCGACGCCACACTCCGGCTACCAATTGTGGCTGGTGAACCCGCTTCTGAGGAAATGTAAGCTAATACCGTTAGCGACCAATCACGCCCCAATTCAGCGGCGATGCACTGTAAGACAGCTTCACCATCCCCAGACGAACAATGATCACCAAGCACTCATAACACACCTTATTCTATGCTTACATATTCCGACATATTTGCCAGAGCATTAAACAGTTATACAAAGCTCATTTTTAGGAATTTTTGCTAAAGCCAGCCATCATCTGACTGAAAAAGACAGGCCAACGGGAGCTCTCTCTCAGGCATCTGTTCCCTCATCTCATCTTCGTCCCACATTCAACTCAAAAGTCCTGTATCGGACCTCACATTCTCAGCACACCTCAGCACGTCTCGGCCAGCCATGGCTGACCCAGCACGAACTCCGGCTTCGTCTGGGGTCTCACCGGGCCCTGGCGGATTTGTTCCGGGTAGCTCTGGTCTCATGTCACCCACGCCCAGCCATGCCTCCTCGGCACGCAGCACCAGCTCCGCCCTCGGTCTGCCACACCCCCGCAGCCATCCATTGCGGCCGGGCTCTTCCAAGGAGGAGATTGTGCGCCGTTTCGTCAGCGATCGTCTCTTGCACATTAGTCGGCGGTTTGTAAAACGAAGTGGTATTGTCGAGGCGGGCAGCGGCGACGACGTTGACGACGACGACGACGACGACATCAACAACAACCTCGACAACAACAACGGTGGCAGCAGCCACCATGACACAGCCGGCTATGCATCCATGGGTGAGCTGTGCCGCGACCTCGACGCGCTGCTCAACAACCTGTGGCGGTCCGGCACCCCCTCTTTGCAGGTGCAGTACCTTTTGAGCATCGCGAGCGAGCTCATTGCATGGATGGAGGGCTTTCCGCCGTCGCCGCGCGCGACACTCGCCCTGCTGCGCAAACTCGACTATTGCTTTGCAAGCTTGGTGGTGGGCGAGGACCTCGAGACGCGCGAGACGCTGCCCGGGTTCGAGGGCGGCAGCACCAACAGCTACCGCCGGGTGGGCCTGTCGCGGACGGACATGGTGCGGTGCCGAAGCATTGCCGAGCAGACGCGCATGGTCGTGGTGGATGTGTTCCGACGCGGCCCGCCCGACCCTCTGGACGAGAGGAATGCGAACACTACGAATCCTTCGCGTAGCGGCCGGTCTCGGGCAGCACAGGGACCGAGCCAGCGTCGCCGCGAAGACAGAGAAGGGACCGTCGGCACAGAGGCGTCCTCGACTGTCCAAGGCGAGGAAACAGACGCAGAGCGGGAGACAACAGCCGAGCCGACCGACGACGATGCCACTACGCTGGCCGATGAAGGCGACGACGACGACGACGCCAGCGACGACGACGTCAGTGACGTTCAGATGAGCGTAGCACGCGTCTACGAGTTCACACTCGTCAAGTTGGGCCAGGCGCTTGGCGACCAGCCGGCTCGTATCGGCGATTTCGAGCCGCCCGGCGACCGCATGGTGCTGGAAGACGAGAACGACGATGAGTACTAGATGTCAGTAGCCAGGTTGAATGATGTATGTCGTAATGAATGTATGATAACGAAGCACGAACAACCTTTTACTGAAAAGCAACGAAGAACACAACCCCATATGGAAATCAAATATGGGGTATAAATGATTGTGACACTTGCCATATAGAAGTAGCATCTTGCCTCTCGATTAAGTGTCGAAAATCCGACTCGCAATATTAAAAGTGCAGACCCTTGTCTGTCCAAGTAGCTACCAACAGAAAGAAACAACATGACGTCCTTCGCCGATCAACATGCATCAACGTTGTAGTGAAGAATCTCCAGTGCTTATATCCCTACCCCCTCAACAACAGCTCCGTCAAACTTCCTTAGTGTAGGCCCGTTACCCAGGCAGCTCCGAGTAATTGTTGTGCTCCATGGTGGGCACACCGTGGTATGCAGCCATGCGCCGGTCATCATACGGAATCTCGGGGATGGGCTCGCTCGTCACGCTCGGGCCACTGCCTTGGTGGCCCCAAGCAACCGGCGGTGTCCGTCGCAGGTCGTGCATGGCCACTGCGTCTGAGCTAAAGCGGGCTTGTGCATAGCTGTAGTGTCGCTGGGGGTGCGGTTGGTGCAGATGAAGCGGCGCCTGTGGCTGTTGCTGGAAGAGCGGCTGCTGCTGTTGCTGTTGCTGTTGCTGTTGGCTTTGCTGGTACTGCTGGAATGAGCTCAGCATGCTCCCTGAACGGAGACTTTCGGCACACGGGCCACTTAGTACAGATCTAGTGTCCGGCATCGGTGCGGCTGGACCGCCGTCGCCAGCACCCATGTTGCTCAGTAGTGTTTTGCTCGGACGTCGACTGAGAAGGCTTCCAGATCGAAACATGGACCCCTCCAGCACCGAATTCAGGATAACGTCGTCGGGCACATCACGCGGTGGCGGCGACTCGGCCGGGGCCGGTTCGTCCCGTTTCCGGCGGCGCCAGAGAAAGTACCCTATGACGGCGGCAGCAATAATAGAAGCACCTCCGATGGTGACGCCCACGGCCAGAGGGACGTTCGAGCCAGAGTTTGACGAAGGTGAGGATGTGGGCGGAGGATCCATCGTCGACAATGGATTGCCCGATGTTGTCGACGCCACAGACGGTCCAGACACACCGCTTGAGAAACCTGTAGGTGCAGTGGTTCCAGGTGCGGTAACAAGCCCGGTGGTTGCATTCCCGCCACTTGGAGAGGATGTCATCGAGGTTGCCGTCGAGGTGGATGCTGAGGTAGGTGCTACAGTATGAGCAGTTTTGGACGGCGAGATGCCAATTGTGGTAAACGAAACAGGTCCTATCACGTTAGAAACGACCGCTTGATGAAAATCCGCAACGAGGATCAAGAGAACTCACTCGGCAGCGAAACAATAAAAGCACCCGTGGAACAGTTGGCCTTGTGCATGTTGCCATCAGCGCAGTACCAGTCTGTGTTAGACCCAGGGCACGGGATGATGCCCACGTCCGTGTGCGGCGAGATTCCGGAGCCCTTGATGCACACCGTCGGGCAGTTCTTGTCCTGGCTCCAGTCCTTGAACGTGCAGCTGCCGCGGTAGTAGACACTGGTGTCCAGGTTGCTTGCGTACGCGCTGTCAATCATATCAGTCGAGCCACCCGCGGACGAGCGACTCATGCACACGCCGTTCGACAAACAAACATCGCCCGTGCCGCAGCAGAGTCCGATGGCGCCACCATTGGGCGAGTAGCAAGGTTGATGCTCGTCGTTCTCGGTCCCGTCGGGCCAGTAGCAGTCGGCACGCACACCGCTTGCCAGAATGGCGGCGGCTATGACGACGGTGAAATATGTCCAGAAATGGCGAGACGGTGATAATGGTGTACAAAATCCCAACGGCGAGATGACGGCCATAGTTTCAGGGTGGTCGAGGTCGTGATGAATATCTGAGAAACGCAACGATGCGTCTCTTTGTATCAACCTCTTCAATGATGAATAGAGCTCAGACTCTGATGTCCCGCTTCTTTGTATGTTCTCTTGTAATCAAGCAGCCGAGTTTGGTTATCGTTCCATGGGCCGCTTTGCCCGTTTGATGCGAGTGATGGCGGCGGTGATGATAATGACAAGATGTGGAAGAGCAAAATTGAAACGGCAAAATAAAATTCTTCCAAGGAAAAGGCAGGATAAGAAACCGCGGGCAGGTGTCAATCATAACAGTGAAAGGCAGGAGCCACCGAGACAAGCAAGTTGTGGGTGGAAGGTGGGCGTGTACCCAAAAAGGAAAGAGCAGTCGACAAGAACTTCCCTTCGTTCCTTCCTCAACTCTGTCCCTCCCACCCCCCTCGCCCTGGTCTCTTTCCCTTATCGTCCGTATTAGACCAGGAACAAAAGGCCGAAAGAAGGCAAAAGCACAGAGCCATTGTGAGCCGTTCTATCTCCAGTCGCAACGTGACAGTCGCTTCCTTTGCGCAACGTCCAAAGCTCTCTGCACAACGGCATCTCATGGGTAGACAAGACTGGAACACAAGCATTGCATTGACAAAGGCTCGTAAACGAGCACGGGTGTACCCCTCTTGGGAGTGTTTGCAAGACCCGGACCGTCGGAAAATGGAACAACCTCGTTTCGTTTCGATCCAGTGGCCGCCCCAGTGACACCTTGACGTTGTGCTCTTTTTGCGGGACGGCAAGGTAAGGAAATGGGAAAAGAAGAGCCAGCAACGGAACGAGTGCTGCAAGTAGTGCAGCGGCTGGAGAGGTGTGGCCGGTGGACATATGTTGACTCAGGGGAGTTACTCAGAAAGGCTGAAATTGAGCTGGACATAACATATATTTTGTTCCTACTAGGATATCATACCTCTTTTTTCCGGCCGTCATGTAGTTAGATACAGAAATATGTGGCTCAAGACTATTACAAAACTTGAATGCCAAGCTAGTTCTCCATTCGTATTGGCAGGGAAGAGAGAGGGTTAGAATAAGCCACGAACGTCACAAGGCACAAAATGATGTGGGAGGAACAATTGACAACGTTGAAATAGATATATCGACCAAACAAAGTGATAGACAAGCAAACAACTCGACGAAAACAAACACAAAAACACACCAACTTCCGCCCGAGTCCTCCCTTCCCTTTTGAAGAATCCCTTTCCCCCGATTCCATCGTCCCAAGAGACATATAATAAAAGAGGTGGACGAAAACGAAAACGACAAGCCAATAAAAAAGTGCGGGAAACAAAGATGAAGAAACGAGAGCAAACTCGAGGACAGAGAGGTGCAAAGGAAAGGATAACAGTGGGGAAGCTCTCGAGAAGGAGAGAGATTTAGGTGAGAAAAGGGGTGAAGGATGAAGAGAAAAAGAGGACGAGAACGCGGAGAGTAAAAGCACACAGGCTCTAATAGATACATATACACGAACAAAGGGGAAGGGCCAATCAAGCCTAATATTTCCTGCCCACACATCTGCTCGTCTCATCTCGTTCCTCTTTCGTATATTTCCGCGCACGCAAACATTGCCGACAGAAATGTGTGGCTTCCTGGTGGAACAAGAAAGAACTGCCGCAGATGCAGAAGCGTCAAAGTGCAGTAAGCGGCGCACGAGTCAGACGCTGTTTCGAAGGGTCGGTTTCGTCATAGAGACGGCCTGGAAAGGATAAAAGTCTAGCCAGGTCGACGGCCAGAAATGGCCCGCATAAGAACAGAGTAGAAAACGTCATTTTGTAGTAATTGTGTATCAAGTCGTGGGCAAAATCCCACCGGATGCCGAGGCGTTGTCGCGTAGTGACCATGGGAGCAAAAACGTTGACGAGTGCAAACAGTCGGTGAATTTTGGAGAGAGCAAAAAATGGTCGCAAAATATCGACGGAAGACAGGAGATAAGAACGACGAACGCATCACAATCAACAAGATAATGACGGCGGAAAGACGATCAATGACAAAAGAAAAAGGTCCCAGGAAAACGCCTCAAGAAAGAAATGCTGCCCGGATTAAAAGCGCACAAAACAAAATTGCAAAGTCAAAAAGAACAACGGAACAACACGCATCATAGGCGAGATAGTGTCAAAGAGAAAATGTTGTCCAGATGCGAGATGTAGGGGATAATATCGACAGCAAGCAAAGTAAGTCGGTTGCAGAGTGCGGAGATCGGCTCCACAATTGGCGAACAAAAGGTCTGTATCACCAGGCCAAGAACCAGTGCTCCATCTAGTCAGCACCGATCTCGCCCGTGCCTTCAATACCAAAAGTGGCCGAGCCAAAGTCAAAGCCGCTGCCGTCTTCGTTGGTCTCGTGCAGGAACGTATCGAAGTCGAAGTCGTTGAGCACGTCTCCTGACGCCATAGGGTCGGCAAACTCGAGGCCAAACGTCTATAAAAAAAATGTTAGAGATCAAACCTGACACCACATCGCTCGGTTCAAAAAGCAAAAGAGCACGCACCATCGATGTGTTGTCCATGCCAAACGCCGAGTTCTGGTTGGGGTCAGCCGCGGCCGGTGCCGGTGGCGGGACAGGGGTCACGCCAGGCGCCGTAACAGCAGTCGGCTGGCCATTCGGAACATTGGCGCCAGCGGGAGGCGCTGACACGGCAGGGCCTGCCGGCTTGCCGTTGAAACCTGCCGCGTTGCCGGGCGTGATTGGCGTTGCCGGTGTCGGTGGCTCGGCATCGGTAGTCGAGGGTTCGCCGGCCGGTGTTGCTGCGGCGTTGAGGTTCGACGCGGACTTTTTCTGCGCGGCAGTCTGCGGTTTCTATAAGTTAGCGGGAGTGCACAACCAAATGACAGAAGCAGAGACCAAATCGATCTCCGCAGAACACAGCATAGATCCTTGTTCTGTACCTTCTTCGTAGCCTTGCCGTCCTTCTTCTTCGGGTTGGCCTTGGCGGCCGTCTGTGGCGTCGGGGGCGCCGCAGTACTTGTCTGGGGCGAGGCCGTTGTCCGCTGGTTGGCGCTGGCGGCAGCAGCACCAGGTGCGGACGGTGGCGGCATCGCTCTCTGCTGAGGTGTGCCCTGCGGCTGCGGGGCTTGCGGAGCACCGCCCTGCGGGCCGTTCATCGGACCGCCGTTGGGTGCACCCTGCTGCCACTGGATCGGAGGACCACCCTGGCCTGCAGCACCGGCCGCAGCGGCAGCCTGTTGCTGTTGCTGCTGCTGCTGACGAGCAGCAGCCATCATCTGCGGGTTCATGGGGCCGTTGAAAGGCATACCGGGGTGGGCGCCAGGGGTCCGCATGCCGTTCATTTGCTGAGCAGCCATGTTGCCGTCGACCTTGAAGAAGTTGGGCGCCATGGACGGGTCCATGTGCGTGTTCATAAAGTTCGCGGCGTTCGGTGAGCCGCGGGACTGCGTGTTGTCAGGCAGCGGTGAGCCCATGCCGTTGCCAGCCATCTGCTGGTTGTTGCGCTTCATCTGATCAGCAGGGCTAGGCGAGGCACCAGGGCGGCCACCCTGGGGCGACGAGCCAGGGAATTGCTGGCCGACGTTGGGCGCGCCGGGGCCGCCGGGGCCACCAGGAACGCCGGGCTGGCCAGGAGCACCAGGAACGCCCGGGGTGCCGACCGTGCCAACAGGGGTGCCGTCAGGGCGGCCCATGCCGACATTGCCGTCCTGCTCCTGGCGAGCCATCATCAAACGCTTCTTGTTCTGCTGTTCAAGGAGCATCAGCTGCATCTGATAGTCCTGCAGGGCGTGGTTGCTCCCACCGCCTGCCGGTGGAACGCCAGGCCCACCGCGCATAGCAGCGGGGCCGGCCAGCTCACCAGCATTGTAGAACGCATTCAGCGAAGCACCATCCGGGATCATAGGCGAGCCCTGGCCGGGAGGACCTGACACATTGGGCATGACCTTGTTTGGTAGTTGAGCGTTGTGATGCTGTTGCAGGTTTTGTGAGTAAGCCTGAATACTCTTGGCCTGGGCGGCGGGGGATTGCTGGGAGAACTGCTGGAGCTGCTCGGTGCTCAGACTAGCGGGGTTCACACCGTTGGCGAGAAACATCTGGTGAACCTGAGGGTTTATAGGACCGGTTCCTACCTGTTGGCCAGGCATGCCCTGAGCAACCGGACGACCGTTTTGCATCAGAGCCGCTTGGTTGGGGTTAAATGGCACACTGTCCAGGCGGGGTCTCTTGGAGGGCGACGGAGCATTGTCACCCGAGCCAGGAGACGAGGGGCGCGCGCGGTTGCCGTCAAGATCCGACGGGTCCCGCTGCATCTGGCCCTGTTTTGCCTGAAGCATATTCATACCTTGCGGGCTGTGGGGACGAGGAAAAACAAGAATTAGCGACGGCCTATGAGTTGTGGCGCTAGGAGCGGAAGGAAAGTAAAAACGAACATGTTCTGGCTATTCGCCATGGCCGTACGCGGGAGATTGTTCCCCTGCTTCATGGCGAGCATGCCGCCATTCTGCATATTGCGCATCATCATCTGCTGCTGCTGCTGCTGAAAATCGGGTCGAATTTGACGGAGCATGTCCTGTTGTTGGGCTTGACGAAGGCGAGACTGTGCATCAGAGAAGGAAACATTTTGTCAGCAACACGAAGACTTCGACAAGACAGGTGAAAGATCAAAGGAGATGAGAGACATACCTGCATGTGCTGCGTGTATTGGTTCACGCCAGAATGGTGACCCTTGCCCTTTTGTGCGTTGAACATTTCCCAGAAGAGGCAGAACCAGTCGAAGAGGAAACTACTATCCGACGGCATGGGTAAGTTCGGGGTCGGCAGGTCCTCGACGGTCTTTGCGTCGGCAAAGTCCTTGGAGTCGGTGTCCATAGCATCGTCGCCGACGCCATTGATAATGTTGCCGTTCTCGTCGCGGCGGCCGTCAGGGCCATCCTTCTGCAAGTTCACCTGCTGGCCAAGGATCGCGCGGGCGCAGTCCAGCATCTCATAGCGGAGGAAGTACTCGTAAATGTAGGTGTTGAGCAACGTGCGGTTGCCAATCTCCTGCATGGGGAGGCCCGGGGCCGGGCCCTGGGGTTGGCCGTGGGGCTGCCCTTGCGGAAGGCCCTGCTGTTGCTGCTGCTGTTGAAGTTGGAGTTGTGCCTGCTGCTGTTGCTGTTGCTGCTGAAGCTGCTGCTGCTGCTGGGCCTGCTGCTGTTGTTGTGCTTGCTGCTGGTTCTGCGGAGGCTGGGGCCGGTTTGCCGCGCCGGGCGGGACACCGACATTGTTCATCATACCCATCGGAGCGCCGACGGCACCAGTCATGGCGGCCATGTTGGCCATGTTGATGTTATTCATGATGCTCGGGGTAACGAGAACCAAGCGTTCAATAATGTGAACGCGATTGTAAGGAGGAGAAGGCCTTGAACTAGGGGGCGCGAAGAAACGCGGCGATCAGGTTGACGGAAAGCCAAGTCCCGACCACAGAAATCCAAGCGTGCCCCAAAAACAAGGCACGAGGAGCGAAAGAAAAGAACGAACAAAGAAAAGACACGCGTATTGGTGCCTATCCGATGCAGTTCCAAAGTCGCGATCCCCTGACAAGAAATCAAGTTGCAGGTGTGCAACCCTTTTTCTTTACTTTGAACTCGATGCTTCCAAGCCAGCAAGCGAACCACTTCATGCGGAGGAGAAACACAGAAAATAGGCCAGGGTTGCGACGCTAACGGCGAAGCAGAAATATAGCCCTTGATGGTGAGAAAGGAGGACTCGGCCGACACAGGTCTTGCTTATCCAGCTACTCCGGCGGAGCAACAGTTGATAGCGCAGAAGGCGTGTTTGAGTGGTGTGTTGCGGTTGAGAAAGCGGAAAATAGATAGACGAGCGTCACAGTGTGCAACGAATGCGATGCACAAAGAAGCAGCAACGACAAAAAGATAGGGAGGGGGAGAGGTACGGCAAAAAAGTCGCGGGAAGTTGCGTGTTACTATTCGATTCGGAGGGAGGCGGATTTTGACAAAGGTCGAAGCTGCTGACGAGAGAATCCGCCGGAATAAAGAGGAAAATGGTGGTCGAATCGAAATGCGAAGTATGGCGACGGGATGTGGCGATAAAATGGAAGGGCGGGTTTTCCCCCTTTGCGACAGGCGAAGGGGAGAGCAGCTCGCCGAGAAGCGTGGTGAGTGTTGTATGGAGACACGCTGTTGGTGTGCTAGCGAAACCAAAAAGCGGCCTCTGCAACCGTGGTCGGTGACAGCAAGAATGCAGAAATGAGCAAAGCGGCGATGATGCTGCCGGGAACAACAAAATGGGTTCTCCGTCAGCTCATTCGCGATGCCGGTGGCCTCGCCTGAGCCTCTGCTGCGTTGGATTGGGGCCACGCCCACAACTCGATCTCTAAGCGGATCGGTCGATTGCGAACAGAACCGCGCGGGCGAACGAAGGCGAACACATTAATAGGGGGAGGAAAGGCGACGTCGTCAATCAAAGCAAGTGTCGGCACGGTGAGGAAAAAGAAGAGAAACAAAAGAGAGGAGGAAACCAAAAGGAAAGGAAGAAGCGAATCGATACCAGGAAGGAGAAACAGGGCAGTCGCGAAGGGGAAAACAGAAAAGGGAAGGTCGAGATGTGCGAGAGGAATTTGGAACGGAGGGAAGGAGCAAACGGGGGTTGGGAGGCGCTGGGTGGAAGCAGCGAAGGACTGCATAGCGAAAGCGTGCAGCGGACAGCAGACAGCAGACAGCACATGGAGGGCTCTTGCCTGGGAACAATGTAAAGGGAAAACGTTGCAAATGGCAGGCGCAGTGGGCGACACCGCTAGCGGCCGCTGAGAAAGCTGCTAAAGGGCTGCTGTACGGTAGCTTTTGGTCCCTGTTTTTCTACAGCCGATTTTTAATTTTCGGGTGTTGCTGTTCTATCTCTCCAATCCTGCAGGGGGTAGTATGGCTTGCTGCTAGGGGTTGACGGGGCGCTGGGAGAGAACAAGGAGGAGGGGGGACTGCGATGGGCTAATGTGCGAAAACCCTCGCGCGGGCGCAGATTAAGGAATGGAGGAGTGGGGATGGCATGCGTAGATCCAGTACCGATGCCTGGATTGTAAGGCCGTATTGTCCAAATAGGGACTAGCGCTGTCCATTTACATGTATAGATGCCTCAGGCCAAAAGGAGTGTGTAAATTGGCCACGCCGTGACTGTTTCGGCGCTGGCAACGATGGCGACCGCGCCGAAATTACAATGCAAGAATTGATATCTGCACGTGTGTGTTTTGTGCTTCTTTGTCTACGTCCGGTGTATTTCTGAGAATTCGAGTTTTTTGTGCGTGTTTGTGTGATGTTGGCGTTGTGATCTGTGGCCCGGCTGTTGCAGCCTCGTTGGTTCCTTCCTCATAAAGTCGACTATGCATTAGCTGCCCCTACCCGTAGACAATAGAACGACAATAGATCGGTTGACTAAAGCACCTCAATAGCACCTTATGTCGCACAAACGTATACAGCCACTGGGTCCTATTTTCGACAGCAACGTCGCCAACGGACGAGTCTCTCTAGCAGTGCATTCCTTGTGAGGAGTTGCGGACGCCCGCAAAAGCCGACCATCCCCGTTGGTAGCAAAGGCAAGCAAACAAGTTGACTGCCCAAAGTCACCGGGGCCGGCAAACAACGAGAAACAAGAGCAGGAAAACATCTGGTGGAGAAAGCCTGGCACAGCAAACGCAGGGACGGGTTGTGCAGCATGCGCCGAGCCATTGTCGGACCAATTGGGGCGAAACGGGGTGCACGTTGTGCTGCGCTGGCGGACACGGGGGATCGATTCGCCGGCGGCGGAGGACAACACTGAGGGATAACCCGCATCTACGGCCGAAACGCGACACATGGTTGCTTGTCCACAGCGGTGCTTGGCGTTACAAAAGAACTTGTAAGTGCTATTGTCAGCTGAGCAGCAGTGACGCACTGCTTCCATTCGAGATAAGATACGAAGTGAAGTCAGCAGCCAGTTTGGTGAAGATCAGGTCCAGGAGCTTGCTGTGAAGCACGAATTGACAAAAGCTTTTGGGTAGCAAATATGGGGGGCAGGCCAATAAGGCTCAAAGGCCAGCCTTGGCTTGGCCAGTTGGCCGTGGGCTGGGAGGTTGGTCAACCAACATTGATCGACCGCCGCCTGCAGGTCTTCGCTGCTTCAGGCCTAGACTACCCGGCAATGCGAGCAAAAGAAGGGGCCATCAGCAGCCTGGCACACCAAAACAACAAAAAATGCTTGTGCCAAAGACGGCGTAGTTAAGGCTCCAGACGTTAGAGGCTGCTGTCACACTATTTTAACGGGTGGCAGAGCTCAGGGATCAAAGTCTGGGCGGAGCGCGCTTGCATTCGGAGCTGTCATCGCGGCAAGAAGTATACCAGGTGAATGATATGCTTCATCAGTGCCCAACATGAGAGGGCTGGAGAGGAGCTTGAGAACCAGTGAGGGGTTGTAAATAGTTGAATGGGTGTTGAACACTTCGTTCGTTTTGTTAACATATTTTCAAAAGCATGCCAACTCATCCATGGACTTTATTTCCGCGCTTTGTGCAGTCCGTTTATTTTAGGCATAAAACGGCTCATACGATGGCCTCGTCTTTATTTCGTTGTCTTGGTTCTTTGTTGGCTATAAACTTTGAGACGACCATCGAGAGAATGCCGGTTGAGGCTGCGTCGGAACGGCCCCCATTGCCGCCATATTGCCTCCTACGCCTGCTTGGCCCCACGGCCGGACCTGACCAGCGTAAGTCGAGCTCTCACTTCACTTGCCATGTATTTCGTACCTTGCATTAGCTCATATCGCCCGATCAGTTTTCACCTAGGGCGTCCCGCAAAGACAATAATTTGAAACCAACAAAAGCTGGAAATGTCACCAAAATGCAGACGGCTATTGAAGTATCTTAGACAACTTCTGCAGCCTCGGCTTTGGAACCCAGAGCTGCCCTATCGTTACGTAACATTTGCGAGGTTTACGCGACAATCTGTTCCCTTTTCAGCTAAACAAGATGCCTTCTGCTCTGGTTCGCTTCGAGAAACAAAAAAGGCAGTGACCTTTCATGCTAGTCATGGAGCAAACGCAACAGAGTTCCGGATAAGGATCTGAAGTCTGGGGCCATACGCTGTAAGTTGCCATCTGACAGGATTTAAACCTTTTTTTGCTTTACCACTATCTCATTTTCAGTTTTTTGAAATATCAAAATAAAATTCGAACCGGCATAACGTCCTAGCATTATTTATTTATTTAGCAACAAGGATTACTTTTATTTGAACATAATTTCCCTAAACAATCAAAAAACGAAATATTTAAAGAGCACTTTTCTGTCTCTTTTTCTCCTATCTGCCCTTTATTTCTCTTCTATATATATAATAAACACAAACAACAGGAAATTGCTGTTCATTTTTAGGTATTACGATTGGAATGCTACACCTCTTAAACGGCCATGTGCCATATCTTCAACACTGTTAACGTCACGAGTTTGCCACGCTATGCTTTGCCCTTCGTAGATTCAACGATTAAAGCTCATAGTACATACGCAAAAAAAATAAAATAAAGATTGGTTGGCCAGTAACCAACGGTGTCTGCATGAATTGACTTCTCCTTCTTCCACTTCTTCCACTTCTTCCGTTCCCTCTGTACCCGCCATGCAACATAGGATGCATTTGGAGTGCGATTATTCGTGGAGGCTCAGGAACCGGTTAAACACTGCCTTTGCTACCACAGAGTCCGATACCTGTTTGCTTGTATCATGCTTGCCATGGTTGTACTTGTCCGCATGGGTCCTCCCCCACTTCTAGTCATCTTCTGGTGGTAGCTCGTCGTCAATGTAGCGGATCAGGGATATCCGCATCTCGGTGGTGTCGTTGCCGCGCAGGACATCACTGATGAAATGGGCCTCGACCTGGACCTGGACCATTTCGAGGGCGCCCCGAAGGACGCCGCACAGGATGTTGGAGTACCACAGCTCGTCCTGGGCGCGGCCGTCGTCGGGCAGCTCGACAAAGTCGGCAAGGGGGAGCTCGTCAAAGACGAGGGAGAACTGCTTGCCGTCGGAGGTCCAGTTGGTGATGATGGGCGTGGTGTTGAGGAAGATTTTGAAACCGACCTAGGCGCGAGGTGGCGTCAGCGGGGGAGGAGAGGGAGAACAAAATGGCAAAATGGCAAAAGGGACAAGGGCAAAAGGGAGAGAAGGATGTAGGATACATATAAGGGAAGGAATGCACCTTTGAAATCATATCGGCCGTCTCGCGAAAGTTGTTGCAGCGCTTCATGGACACCGACTTTGCGAGGTAGTCCTCTATTAAGCGCAGGCCAATGTTGTAGCCCATCTTGTCGAGCTGCTTGTTGACCTCAATGTAGTCATTGTCGTAGTCCTTGCATAGCTGAGCGACGATGGTGCCGTAGGTGAGGGTCACCAGCTCGGCATTGACCTTGTCTATCCGCGTCTTCCAGATTCTGGCGAGGTTAGCCCGGTATCCATTTCCACACAGGCAACATGCGCAGTACCCACTCCTCGCCCACGCGGGCAGCCTTTGCGGCAGACATTGTGCTCCTCCGTATGCGGCGGCCAACACCAGAGGCCCTGGAGTCTGGCGCGGTGCAGTTGTGCCGGACGACGCAGGGTTGGGCGCGGCTGTGTTACGGATGCGATAGGGATGGTTCGTCAAAGAAAGGTACAGTGCCGTCGTTCGCAGGGGTATCGTCGTCAACGTCGCGGGCGCTGTGGTCGTTGTCGGTCGTCGATGTTGCAATGGGGGAGCTCTCGGCAGCCGATTGTCTCGCTGGCGGTGTAATGCGTGCCTGCCTTGTCCAGTGGGCTCGAGTGCTCCTGCCATCTGGCGGGGAGGGCGATAAGGAACACGACCCACTTTTATTCACCGATAAGGCCTTGCTCCTTTTTGGCGCAACGCGAAAGTTGAGGACGGCCAAAGGAAAATTGGATTTTGCGGAGCTTCAACCAGGCACGACGTGAACCAAACAAACGACAACCAACGTTCGCTACTACGACACGACCCGACTACGTCCACAACCACGCTCGCGTCTCCAGAGGACATTACCCGTTTGTTTGGCCGACACGCTACGCTTCGCCTGTTTCGCGCTCTCGCACTTGCATGCCCCACAATGTCGGAAAAGAGACGAGCATCGGCGACGCAGCCCGGCAGCCAGCTGGTGAAGCGGCCGAACCTGGGCGGCAGCTCTAGCGGGCCGGGCAGCACTGCATTGATCCAGGCACAGCCCCGCACGAGCGGGCTGCAGGCGCCCGTGATGCAGCTGACGGGCCACGGCGACGAGGTGTTTTGTGCCAAGTTCGACCCGGCGGGCCACCTGCTGGCGTCGGGGTCCATGGACCGGTCGATTCTGCTGTGGCGCACGTACGGCGACTGCGAAAACTACGGCGTGCTGACGGGCCACCGCAGCGCCGTGCTGGACCTGCAATGGTCGCGCGACGCGGACATATTGTTTTCGGCGTCGGCGGACACGCACCTGGCGAGCTGGGACCTGATGACGGGCGCGCGCATCCGGCGGTACGTGGGCCACGAGGAGGCGGTGAACGCGCTGGACATTAGCAAGCGCGGCGAGGAGATCCTGTACAGCGGCAGCGACGACGGGTCGCTGGGCATCTGGGACCCGCGCACCAAGAACGCGGCCGACTACATCCAGACGGACTTCCCGATCACCGCGGTGGCGATTGCCGAGGCGGGCCACGAGCTGTACGCAGGCGGCATCGACAACGACATAAAGGTGTGGGACGTGCGCAAGCAGGCGGTGGTGTACACACTGCACGGGCACCAGGACACCGTCACAAGTCTGCGGGTGTCGCCCGACAGCCAGTCGCTGCTGTCGTTTTCCATGGACGCGACGGCGCGCACATGGGACATTCGGCCGTTTGCGCCGACAGAGCGGCATATACGGACGTTTGACGGCGCGCAGCCGGGGGTGGACAAAAATCTGACGCACGCCAGCTGGGACCCGCAGGGCAAGCGGATTGCCGCCGGGTCGGGCGACGGAACAGTGGTGGTGTGGTCGAGCGACAATGGCAAGCTGCTGTATAAGCTGCCGGGCCACAAGGGCAGTGTCAACGCGGCGGAGTTTTCGCCTTCGGACGAGCCGATCAGTGAGTTGATGGCCCCCGCCCCCGTTGCCGAATGTACAAATGGTTATGTTTACTTCATAGCGACTAACCAGCTCTAGTTCTCTCTGCGTCGTCTGACCGGACGCTGATGCTCGGCGAGCTGAAATAAGGCACCACCGTCACGTCTCCTGGCCGACCGACATGCCGCGCGGCAAGAACGATGACGTAGCGACACGCAGCCAAGTCTGGGTCTGCGTTGACCTGATCGAGATGGTTTGGCAATGTCTACATATGATCCGGCGCCAGGTGACCTGGTCTAGACGAGGCTGCCAAGGAACAAGCAAGGCCGCGGATCGAGAACAGCACCAGGCTCTCCTCGGTGGGAGTCCGTGCCGCTATATACAAGTGACGGCTGCGCAGCCAAGCAGGACAAGTTGCCGTGTATGGATCTTGTCTACAAGAAACCTCGCCATGACAGTTGTTGACGACGTCAACCACCAACAAGGGAAACGAGTGACATCTTGGTTGGTACATGTTGTTGCCAGTTCAGGCTGCGTGTGCGATCTTCAGTACATTATGGCCCGGCTTTGTTTCTGCTTAATAGGCACAGACGGCACATCCATTATGCCTTGGCAAGTGGCGAGTGCAGAAGATATGTCTGGTCGAACAACGGAACGGCACTGGTGCATGTGATTTCATGGCGAGGCATCTTCTTTCCACCAAGCTGCATGACGCCTGCAACGTGTCGCCTTCAGATACAAAGAGGGTGTACGGGATACGTGGACATGGGCAGAGCCGCGTTCGAACCAGTTGGGAGCGGTCTACCCGACCTGGCACTGGTGGCCGAGCCCTCTGGAGAGCACTTCAAGGGTACAATGTGCTGTATGTAATTTGTGGCGTTTTCTGGCATATCGTGATGATATATTTGGTTCATAGAGCGTGCATGTCTTTCCTAATCACACGTTTATTTGAGACGCGATGTCCCTGTTGTCTCCCAATTCATCGGTGTACGACATTGTCAATGTTGGTTTGTCGTGCTTGGCGCGGGCATCAATCGTTTTTCTTCCTTCTTCCCCCCTCTTTACGACTCTAGGACTCTATCAGCGTCAAACCGTCGAGAAACCAGTAGCTGTCACACTGCGTAAACACACCTGTTACGTGAGGCGCAGTCGACATGAAGCACTGGCATGAGAGTGTTGGCAACGGTATTCGTATCGTTTCCGGACATCTCCCTCGTCTTTAGAGCTCAGGTTCATTGCTGCATGTTGATTGGCTGGCAGGTCTCCATTTCCAAAGGAAGGGTCTTAGCGCCCACGGGCAGAGGCTCAAGCCCAGTCCCGTTCCTTCCCCCAAAGAGAACCCGAAACACACGACAAACGCCCACACTCCGCGGACCCCTGCATCAATTAGGCAAGAGCATCGACATGGCCACCCTCACTTCAGAAGAACGTCCAAGCCGCACCGTTCAATTTGTGTGCCCTTGTATGTTGTGCGCAGTATTTCGTACTCTCACTCTGTTTCCGATTCCGATCCCCAGTTTTCCCTGTTGTCGTTGCCCTTTCGTTCCTGATTTCCTGATCCATGCTGCGACAGCCCCCAAACCATAAGCCGTGTCGCAGAAACCAACTCATCCCCCCCTTTCGAGGCCCCCTTTTCTGGTTGTATTTTGCGACTCACTTGGATCTTGGTCTCCCCTCCCGTCTTCAGTCTTTCAGAGTCTTTGTGGTCTTTCGTCTTTATTGGCTGTCCGTTGTCCGTCCTCCGCGGCCTCAGGAGTGATCGTCCTTTGCTCCTGCCGTTGTTGTGCTTCCCCTGACTTTGAACGTGGTCGTGCTTTCCCTTAAATGTCTAGTGCTCAGCAGGCTTCTCACATGCATGGAGAAGGCGCCATGGGCAGTTCAGCCCTGTGTCGCAGCCAGTCCAGTTGAAGGAAGCAGCCACGACGATAGCGGCGGTTACCCTGTCAGCTTGTATCTTACAAAGCTTATGCAGGATAAAACTAGCAACTTTCATACTGCAACAGTGCTACGTATGACAGGCATTTTTCATATTCTCACATGCCAAACACCGCAGCAAAAGATCGCAGTGGAATTACGACATACACTGGGATGAATTCCAAAGCCAGCGCCATGAACCGGCGGACGAAAATTGGAAGTGGTGATGTTAAAAAAAGACAAAAAAAGAAAAGGCAAAAATGGACAAAGAGACATACAGGAGATAGAGTGCAGAGATACAGTGGAAGAAAGCACGGTACAGAGCTGTCTTTCTCACTCACTCTCGCCGTTGCTTGCCGTCTTCGAGTCTCCTGCCAAAGCCTATTCCTTTTCCGGGTTTGTGACGCTGTTGGCCCCCTACTGCGACGTTGCTCACCCCTGTCTCAGTCTGCATTCCTGGCGTCCCTCACGCATCGTACACTTTATTTCCCAATTTTGCACTTCTTTTTCGTGCTCTATCACGGACTACTGCGACACCTCCCTCTCTGCTGTCCGTATTCTGTATTCGTGACTCTTTCTACACTCACGACGTACTGTTCCTCACATTCCCCTGCTTGCCGATTGCCGTTTTCGTCCTCGCATACATCGTCTCGCCGACCGCAGCCCACACCCATCCGAGTACGTTGTATTGAAAGGGTCCCGTAGTATCTCTGTCGAAGCCGTGTTTCCGTCACAGCTGCTTTGGCGTCTTTTGTGTTCTTCGTCTAGTGCAGATCCGAACCCAAAACAGGAGACGGCGCGAGCGGGCGCAACCTCAGACTGCGGTAGTAAGCAGTGTTCTGTGTTCTCCTTACGTTTTCATGTGCAAGTTGGTGTGTTGTATTGGATATGTTCGTATTAGTCTCGCCGTGTGTGTGCGTACCTGCATACATTGTTTCGCCTGCTTCCCAAAGCATAATCCATTGGCAAAAGGCCTCTGTTTGTTCCTACCCATTTTCGGCCTTTTTTCTTTCCAATTCTTTGGTTGTCGTTGCTCCCCTTCTCATTATTTTCTTTTTCTCAGTTCCTGTGTACTGCGGCAGTCCAGTGTCTTTTCCGAAACGAGGCTCCCACCCCTTCTCCTTTCGTACCCTGTTTCTCACTTTCCCTCACTATTTCCTGACACTTCCAGACGCACGCTCTCTTTTCACTCTCTCTGTCTCTTTTTTTCCTGGATGACAACTCCGTCTTGAGGACAGACCTTGTCACAGGTTTTTGGCCTCCTGGTATTCATTGGCCCTCATCACTCATTCTCTTACTCCCTTGCCCTCCCACATTCTACAAACGACTCTCAAGTCTTGGCCTTTTTGTTTCTTTTGTTTTCTTTCTATCCTCACCTCCAAGAACCTCTCCGATCTCTCTTTCCCTCTTTTTTCTTTCCTCTTCTTCCTCGGTTACCACTTGTAGAAAACCGCTTTACGACTCGCTGTTCGTGAGACTCGACAAAGTACGTTCGACACGCCTCGTGGTTGACGACTGACAACATCACGACAGCCTGGCAGCTCGAGGAGGCATTGGCGTTAAGAACAGTCGAACACCGCAAGAGAACGACAGCAAGGCGTGCAGGACACCTCAAAAAAGCATGAAAGTCTCGAATTAGGACGCCCATAGCCGCTCTTCTCTCCCCGCCTCCGTCACTCTTTCTCTATCTCTCTCACTGGTGCCTGTACAGCCTCACATCATTCCACTCTCGCTATGGACATCTTCCGCAATGCACGCCAGAACTTCCTGCGGCGGCAGGCCGAGGCCGAACAGGCCGACCTAGAACGGCAACAAGCTCGTGGACAGGAGTTGCGGCAACAAGAGCGGCAGCAGCCACAGCAGCCCGAAATGCGGCAGCAAAACATGGCACAACCCCAGACAGCCCGCTCGTCACCAGTGAGTGCCGTCCTGCGCCGCTTCGCCGATCTGCCACGGCCGTCGATGCCGTCGATGCCTTCAATGCCATCGATGCCCTCCTTTGGCCGCGCGGCGCCCCGCCCGACGAGCAGCCACTACACCACAAACAGTCACGCCGGCAGCGCCACGACGGACAATGACGAAATCGTCTCGCCCAAAACACCACAATTTGGCTCTCTGGGGATGCCGTCCTTGCCCTCGACTCGCCTGCACTTGCCAAACCTGCAACGAACCTGGACACGAGGCTCGAGTGGCCCGCCGTCCCGGCCGGGCACGGCCAATGGTACTACCACCTCCACGACCACAACGGCAGCGACACCAGCTGTGCCTCCCACAGGCATTTCCGAGCCTGGGCCCATCGTGCCGGCCCAGCACGTTGCCACCAGTCGGCACCGCAGCGGCAGCAGCCTGAGCGAAGGGAGGATCGAGGACGACCGCCGACGAGGCCGGCGGCGGCGCTTCGAGGGGGCGGATCCGGCCGAGATGCACCTGGCGAACATGGCCGACGACGGCCGGCGGCGGCGGCGACAGAACCGGCAAAACAGCGACGGAATTGGAAGCGGAAGCCGAAGCCACAGTGGCAGCGGGAACCGGTCGGGCCGGCGGCAGCGACACCAGCGACAGTATGTCGTCGACATGGGCGTCTCGCCGCCCTACCCAGGACGCGGGCCGGCCGACCCAAACGCCCCACCAAAGCGGTTCCTGTTCTGCTTCCCCTACATCAAGTCCCGCCGCATGCGCGCCCAGATCCTCCGCCTGTTCGTCTCGGGCACCTTTCTCACGCTCATGGTCGGCGTCTTCTTGGCCCTCTACATGACGAAGAACATTTACAACACCGAATTTGCCGTCCTCCTCATCCTCATTCTCTTGTGCACCACCATCTTCTTTGCCCACGGCCTCATCCGGCTGTGCTTCATCGTACTCCACCCAATGTCGCCCGCCGAGGAAGAGGCCGCCGAGGAGCAGTACCGTCGCCGCCGCCGTGGTGGTCCCGCGGGCCTGCCGGACATGTACGGCCCGGGCGGCTACGCCATCCCCAACCAGCCCATCCGCGTGGTGCTGGCACGCGACGAAGAGGCAGCGGGCCTCGAGAGCGTCACCGCCAAGATGCAGCCACCAGCGTACGGCTTGTGGCGGGAGAGCGTGCGTGTGGATCCGAACCGCATCTATTGGCAGCGCAACGAACAGCCGTCGGCGGCAACGACAACCACCGGAGGCAGCGAGACGACGCGCTCAACAGAGGCGAGCAGCAGCAATAGCAGCAATAGCAGCAACAGCAGCAGGAGCAGCCGCAGCAGCCGTAGTCGAAGTGCCACAATGCGTGGCGGCGCCGCCAGCAGTGTTTCCGATAGCAGCAGCAGGACAAGCAGCACCCACCACCACCAATCTCGTGACGACAGCGATGGTGCCAGCACACGCGGCCGCCAGAGTCCACGGCCACCGTCGTACATGTCGGATGACGGCGTGCAGTATGTTGTCGAGGCCCAGCCACGCTCCATGGCACCAACGACCGAGATCCCGCTGCCTCAGCACCCGTCCGAGGCGGGGCGTACGGCACCGCGACCGGCGTGGTGAAGGCGAGAGACGAGAATTGACGAGCACCTTGCTGTGTAGTTATACATCTGTAACAAATTGAGCGTTCATTGTTTTGTCTTAACTTATTTTGATTTTTCTGTCGTTTTTGTTAGGGAGCGGGACGGGGGCACGGGACATGATTTGGGTTTGATTTTTATACCTGTTTGACACAGCATAGAGCGGTTAGCACATGGCGTTTTGACAAAGATGGCCACGATTTGGGTCACAAAATAAGTGAAGACGACTAGTTTATATCCCTCTCGCTGTCCTTTGAAATGAACAATGCATCGGCACCGGGGATTGCCTACCACTTGTAGCATGCGATCAAAATACATCGCCGTTCCTTATTTTTGATGTATTTGTTCAGAGGTAAGGTATTGACGGCTTCGACCTCTTCACACGTCTTCGTGCACAAGGTTGGCAACGGATATTTGCTGCCACCGGATGTCTGACAGACTACCCAAGCCAACCGAAGAATAAGAGAAGTCAGTGTTTGGCTATGTGATCCGCGGCGCACCGGCGAGTTTCAGTCTCGTTCTTCCCTTGGAACGGTCGGCTGGTTGTCAAGAGACCTCATTTCTCAAAGAAAAAAGTGGACACTGACATCGCCTACATCGGCGTCTGGTGTCAGGAAGCAAAACGTGGAAACGAGAGCTGCCCGAAGCTGATAGCACTGCTTCTGTTAACGGACCAAAATAGGACACTCATGTCTTACTACAACGTAGACTCATTTTGAGAGTCACGATACTCAAATCTGCCTCATCTGGTACTCTCGAGCCGGCGCGGCACGTTTGGCTGCAGAATCGAATAGAACGCTTTGTTTCAACTCGTGCTGGTGCTTACAACCGTCTCGGTACCATCAAGTCGATATTCCCATATTCCGTTCGTCCCGTGTGCTATGAGTGGTGGGGAGACAAGACTCGACAAGAGATCGGGACTAGCGCCAAAACCAGCAGGTATGGAGTAAACAAAGGTGCTGCCCTGCGACCCTATTGAATGCATCGTCAAACACTCGTTCGGTGACGATCCTCTTTTCTTGCACTTTCGTCCTATTGCCTCTTTTCGGCGGTGAGCAGAAACGTGCCGTGGGAAGGGGGGCCACGCATTGAGTCCGTTAGCCCAAAGCGGGCCAATACCGCTTCTTCTATCATGGTGAAGTGTTTCGATACACGAAGCAGACCAATAACCGTGGCCATGTATGGCTGTCCTGAGAAGGGGCGGGGGCTAATTTGAAAGAACTGAAGTGAGCTTGCTGTGTGCTGGTATGATGGTCAGCTCCTTTCGATCAACTGATTCACTTGGTGGCTGTTTTTGTATATCACAATGTCGGAGAGCTATGCCGTGTCAGTGTGTGTGCTGAACTTTCGCGCTTGCGACCCAACGATGCCCTCCAACTCTGCTTTCAGTCAGTGCTTTTCTTGTATCGTTCACTTCTCTCCCCTGTCCCGTCCACCTGTCGCCTTCAAACATACTGTGCAGGCGGCCTGACAGGGCCTGGCCACACCTCATCCTCTAGACTAGCCCCAATAAAACAGTAGACCGGTGACAGCGCAGACGCTCCTGGTTAAAAAACAAACCAAAAAAAAGAGCCCACGCGCGCTCCGACCCACTGGGATGTATTCCGTCTCAACTTTACCACAAAGCTCAGCGAATCCCCTTTGCCGGTTCGTCCCACAGTCGATGGAGTGTTCTGTCAACCAACGTTCTCGGAGCATGGGTGGTGTGTGGGTTGATGAGAATGAGGGGGAAGAGAGGCACGGCACCTGACAAGAGACAGGAGACACCCCCATGTTGCTTTCTCGTCTTTCGTGTTCTGTTTCCCTTGCATGATATGTCTTTTGGCCTCAACTTGGCCTTTCCATAGCAACATCACAGCGCACTAGACCAAGTCGGCTGCCAAGCTACTCCGAATGTAGCGGCGACAGGGCGCTTGGGCGGGCGCACGCAGAGGTGGGGAGAGGTGCATGTTGGCAATTGTTTGGTTGAAGAGATCAAAACGGGGGCAGAACTTCTCCATGAAAAAGTACTGAACAGGCACAAGAGACCATCGGCCAGGCTCGAAGGACAAAGATGGCAGGTGCGTTGTAGTCCAGTTGCAAAGACACAGTGGGCAAGAAACGCGCAACGCAACGAGCGCATGAAGAGGGAAAGTGCAGTCTCTCGGCTTGGATCAGTACTTGCCCGTTGTGAGTCCCTCGGCTACAACACGATAGTCGAGGCAAGTGCATCCCAGCTTTGAGGGCCTGTCCTTTCCGCATCGGCGGCGCTTCGCCACAGCAGACTAGGTGTTTAAGGCAAGGGCAATGGGCGACGGGCAATGGCACCCATACAATCGTGACCCGCACGGTACCTCGACTATGGGCTGAACTTAGCGCCAATATTTCGCGAGGCCGCGGTACCCGCTGGGTATCTCAAATTGAGCACTCCTTCCAGTTGCTCCTTCCACTTTTGTGTTTGTGGGTTCTCTTCCCTCGTCCTAGATTCTCCCCTGCCACTGGCGCACCTGCTGCCCGCCTTTCACGTCTCGCCCCTTCCGTTCCTCACCTTTTGCTCCGTAGTCGCGGATGCCCGCGCAACTGAGACTTACCAGCTCTTTCCTATTCGCCTGCCGCCGCCATACTACTGGTCGCCTCCTTCCTCAACTTTCCCCCATAGGCGGTGGCCATCCCCACAAAAAACCCAAAACCTGTCGTCTTAGTCGCTCGTCGCCTCTTTCCCATAATTTTTTATTCATTTTTCTAAACTGCTGTTTTAGTGTCGTTTTTATTTTTTTATATCCCTTCCTGCCTTTTCCCCCTCCTCTTTCCCTCTCCTACGTCTTCCTCCTCCTTTCCCTCTCTTCCTTTCTCTTTTTCTCGACATCCACATCTCCATCATTTTGCTCTTCACCATACATTACATCCTTATCTGGGTTGTTGTCGGTGTTGCTGTCGGAAGAAGTTGACGAAGAAGCCGAAGTTTTTGGAAGGAATAGTTTTTTGCAGGGTATTTTGTCCTCAGGTTTGTCGCGCCCTCTTCTCAGTTTGTTGTCCTGTTCCTTTTGTTCCTTTTGATCCTTTGTTCTCCGTCCGTCTCCGATCTCTCCGATCTCTCTGATCTCTCCATATCCCCCTCCTCTCTCGTCCTTGAGTATCTTCTCTCCCCCCGTCACTGCATATACTCTCGCCGTCGCTTCTCTCTCGATCTACCTCGCACCACTTCTGCGCCCACCACATCACCGTCGTCTTCCTTGCGATAGCTGTTGGCCTGGAGCGCGTCATGTTTCGCCTCCCGCATCTGGATCTGCGTATCCTCGTCACGACGCACAGTCGACAGCCTCGCACTCAACGCGCCTATTCTCCGACCGTGTGACCATGCCGGCGTGGCTTCCTCGCCCGTCTCACGCCCGCTTGGGAACGCGGCCGCTTCGGTACCGACAAGCTTTGACTTGAGCCTCAACTGCCTGGGATTGCAGACGCGCACTCACAGTCACAAACAACGTATGCGATTCACCACTGTCTCTATCTTCGACTGCGTCAGCAAATACACTGGACTTGGCACCGCCGTGTCGTCGTTTTGGTCATCGCCACTACAATGTCGCGCCACGTTGTCTGCCAAAAGGATGCAGCCAACCAATCTATCGGGACTTTGGACTGGGGTTCCAGCCGCATTCTGCACGTCTTGCATCCATCCCTCTTTCTCTGTGCTCCCACTATGCACCGTCTTCCCGCCTCCCTGTGAACGCGCTCTACCGAGGTCCTTCCACTTCATCTCATATGGCTCTCATCTCCGTTGAAACGGAGACTCTTGCGCTGAGAGCGCTTTCTCGCTACACGTTTTCAAGACGCCTCCGACTTCGGTCTTCTCTCAATGCCACAATGGCAGCTGGCAGAGCAGCGGCAGAGAATTGCAGTGCGAGGCGATGTCGTACAGGCTCATGCGCCTCATGCATCCTGAAAGTCGTGGGTGGACAAGGCAAGCCGTGTGCGACGAGTTGTGCTGATCGGGACAACTTAATCTACACAACGAAGTTCGGGCTGTTGATCGGGATCGCACGTCACTGCACTGCACAGCACCTCTTTAATTTGAACACTGCCCTTTACATTACACATCGCCACAAGCTTGGATCACACGGATGGGACTCTCTGGATTCTGACGGAGAACATTGGTGCACCTCACTTTTTTATTTGCCACTAACATGAAAATGCAGACCTCTCACACCCACATACATCATGTCTTCTCTCTCTCGTCGTGCCTGCTACAAGTGCGGCAACGTCGGCCACTACGCCGAGGTTTGCTCTTCCGCTGAGCGTCTTTGCTACAACTGTAAGTGGATGAAACGAGAAAGCGAAATACCAATTCGCGCTTGCGCCGTTACAGAAGCAATTGTTGACATTACGTTCCTTTTCAGGCAAGCAGCCCGGCCACGAGTCCAACGGCTGCCCCCTGCCCCGCACGACCGATGCCAAGCAGTGCTACCACTGCCAGGGCCTCGGCCATGTCCAGGCGGACTGCCCGACCTTGCGCCTGACCGGCGCCTCCACCGGCGGCCGCTGCTACAACTGCGGCCAGCCCGGCCATCTGGCCCGTGCTTGCCAGGCTCCCAACGCTGCCGGCGTTGGCCGTGGCGTGCCTATGATTCCCCGTGGCGGCTACGGCGGCTACGGCCGCGGAGGCTTCGTGTCCGGTGGCCCGCGCCCTGCCACGTGCTACAAGTGCGGCGGACCTAACCATTTCGCCCGCGACTGCCAGGCTCAGGCCATGAAGTGCTACGCCTGCGGCAAGTTGGGCCACATCTCGCGTGACTGCACTGCCCCTAACGGGGGCCCCCTCAACACTGCCGGCAAGACCTGCTACCAGTGCGGCGAGGCTGGTCACATCTCGCGTGACTGCCCGCAGAAGAACCAGGCCAACAACACCACTACCGACATCCCTAGCACCGCCGAAGTGCCGATCGCCCAGATCCCGGTTGATGCCAACAACGTTGCGGCCCCTGCCCCCGTCGCACCCATTGCCCCTGTTGCTTAGGTGGCAATATCTGAACAAGCAGTTTTGATGGAGAGGAATTCGGCGCCTGGCAACAGCGATGACATTCAACGCAAGCGCAGCGGAAGTCCTTTGATTTCCGTACGCCATTGGAGGCGTCGTACATGAACAACAAAAAAACATGTTGCGTCGCACTTCCTGTTGTCGCCGAATTCGTTTTGTCGATTCTCGCTCGCCTAAGGGCTGTCTGTTTCTGTTCGGGGTTTCGACTCTTTTTGTGCGCTGCTTGTGATCGTTTCGCCGTCTTTTTTCAAAGACAACCCCAATACCTCGTTCTTTGCTTTGTTTTGCCACGCCCTTTTTGTCGGGATTTCGCACGTCTCTCCCCTTTCTCGCCCTTTTTATGTCTCTTTTGACATCGTCTCGTTTTCGGTATTGGCATAATATCCTTTTTCTTTTCGACGTGATCCTGCGATTTTCAACGGCGTCAACGGTTTTTTTTTCCACCCTCTCTTTTTTGATTTGATTCTCTGAACGAACGCGAAACGAAAAGTACACGACGCAGTGAACAACTTTTTTAAATTTTTCTCGGGTCCAACAAACGGAATATCACGATTGGGGGAAACAAGAAAAAGGAGAAGAGGGGAGGCCAAGAGAAACGAAAGTGGAAAGTGTAGTATGGGGAGAGGGAAGAGAAAAAGAGAGGAGAAAGAAGAGAAAACAACAAAAAAGACTGTCCGACGTTTCGTCTTTTGAAGAAGCAAGCCCTGGCGGAAGAAGACTAAAAAAACATGCAATTTTTTTTTTGCTCATGAATGTTGTGTTGATGCTGTTGATGCTGTTGATTGAAGATGACGATGACTGATGCTGGTGCAAGTGAGGAGGGAGTTGGAAACCAAAAGTACCAAAGAAAGGGACGAAGAAACGAACATAAGCGTCATTGCTCACCTTTGATGCTGGATTTGGGCCATATTGCATCCGCCATGATACCCCTTCTCGCATTTGTTTGATTGTTCGGCTCGGATTTGACTGAGGAACTTGGAGTTGAAATGTTGCATTCTTGACAAAGGTCGAGTGTTGGTGACGATGAAATAATGAAATATCCAACCATTTAAAACGTGAAATTCACCCAAGTGAGTCCGTCGTGAACTGAAATGAAAGAAACAGGAGAACCCATGCAGTGCAAACAAAATGTCGCGGTGTAGTGTATTTGTGAGAACAATGTGCATTATAGTATTCAAGAGAAGCGAAAGAAAGAATCAAAAAAATAAAGATAAAAAAAAACGAAACCAAATATTAGGGGAAAACAGTTTTGATTTCACACACCGTAAAAAATGGATTTTCACGTATTTCCACAGACAGGATATACCAAAAAAAAAAGAAAAAAAAAGAAAAAAAGAAAACAAGAGACGCCTTTTGGCCAGTCCATCAATTTGTCGCGTAGACGGCCACGTACTGCACCTCCATTTGGCTGGCGGCGCCGCCTTGGGTCGCGCTGTTGGGCGCACCTGGAAAATCGCCGCCCACGGCCACGTTCATGACAATGTAGAAGCCACTCGCCGCCAGCGTCCGCCACGTCGCCTCGTCGAGCTGCACCCCCGCGAGGGTAAAGTAGACCGTCTGGTCCAGCGCCCACTGGATGGTCTGCGCCTTGTAGTCGCTGCTCGTGCGGTCCCACGTCATCGTCCACGTGTGAAACGCCGCTGGGTCGGGAACGGCGACGGTCGCGCCGCGGCCCGAGGGCTCGTTGCACACGCCGCCGTTGGCCGTGGTGCCGCAGTGGGCCGTGCCAAAGCCCGTGGCCACGCCGTTGCGCAGCTCCAGAATGTCGAGCTCGCCGCACTGCGGCCAGTTGGTGCCCGTGCGGATGGCCTCGCCCAGCAGCCAAAAGGCGGGCCAGATGCCCTGCTTGGTCCCGGCGGGCCCGTCCCCCATGCGGATGCGGCCTTCGACCCGCGTCTTTTGGCCGGCCGCGGGCAGCCAGCCGCCGACAGACTCGACGCGGCCCGAGGTCCAGCCGCTGCCCGGCCCGGACGACTGGGGGTCCTTGAGGGGCACAATCTGAAGGGAGCCGCTGCCACTCAACTGGAGGTTCTTGGTGCTGCTTGAGTAGACCTCGGCCTCGCTGTTCTGGTTGAGGTAGCCGGTAACGGTCCTCCAGTTGTTGGCATTGGGCGGTGTGCCTGCCGCGCCGGCAAACGTGTCGTTCCAGATGAGTGTGAACCCGGGATAGCTGGGCGGCGCAGTGGCGGAGACAAGCAGGTTGGGGAGAACGGCCGCGGCCGCGAGGAGAGACGCGGTGTACATGTTGAAAGGAGTGAATCGAAAAAGTGTGAAGAGCAAAAAGACACGGTGATAATGGTAAAGAAAGACTGCCGCTGAAAATGAGAGACGGATCTACAGATGCCAGATCTGCAGTGGAAACCAAAAAGAAGAAGAAATGTCGCCGGCGTTTATATGTATTGACGTCGAGTCGAGGCGCGTTAGGGGTATATTACAGAGACGGGAGATGGGTATCATGACATAACCCTGGACCAGCCGCTTCCAAGCGACGCTCTTGGAGATCTTGCGGGAGTAGAAACTGAATGGGCAAGGAGAGCGAGAAGGAAGGCAGGCAAAACAGACGAGTAATTAAAAGAAACGTGGGAGAGGCAAAGAGGATGAAAACGACACAACCAACAACGCTGCATTTAATTTGCAAAAAACGCGACAAACGTGAGAAATCAATAACAGGCAAAAGGAACAAAACACAAGCGAGAGAGTAGGGGAAGCAAAGACGCAGGAACAAGACCAAAAAGGAATAGAAAAACAGGCCCAGCCGGGAGGCAAAGGGGCAAACGGCATGACAGCGAGCTCATATATAGTCGTTGAAGTGAGGGAAACAATGATATGGGGGGGGGGGGGGGAGCAGGCATGACGAAAAGGTGTATGGTCACCTCCGTCAAGGCGCTCGAAGCGCACCACTAACACGACATGCAGGGCGGAAGAAGGGTGGATGCTTTGGGCGGGTCATGGAGAGGGGGAGAGAGGGATACTCGGACAGTCAGAGAGATATGAGATTTGGTTAGACATAATGGGAGGCTAGACTTTCCTTTTGATAAAGACGGCTCGACCAAGAGGTCCGAGAGGCAAATAAGAGGTGTAGAAATACGACATATATGGTCAGGACAGTTTATTAGAGCGCGGACTGTTGCGGACATGAAAATGGACAAAAAAGATCTTGTTTTCATTTCAGGAATGCTGGACAGGGAAAGACAAATACTGTCGTTTGAATTCTTTCTTCCTTTCCCTCACAAAGGGACAGATGGCCCGTCCATAATGTGTTTAGTTCAGAGATACGGAAACACAGGAAGTCCGTCGACCAGAAAATTGTGCGCATTGCCATATGTCGTATTTCTGTTATGTCTGCCGGCTTTTGGCGCTTTGAGTGAACTAGCCATGCACCTCTATGGTCAACCGCCTCGTTTGTTGTCTTCCGCAGCTCCTGCATCTTCTCTACACAATTCTATTTTCTCGTTGAAGTTTCGTGGTTGATATTTTAGTAAACTGCATTCACCGGATCGATTCAGCGGGAACAGTTCTATGCAAGTTGTGGCCCCGATCCCGGTTCGTGAGAAGGACACGATTGTTGGTTATTTGACAATTCGCAGAACCAGGCAGCGGCATATGCAAAGCCACACCACACTTGGCAACTCTGCCCTCTACTTATTGTCTTATCTTGTACCGGTCTCTGGGTATTCAGAAAACCAGTTTTGCCAACAAATGCCATGCTGGCCGACTTTGGTCAATGGAGCGCCGAGGATAAAGTCAAATAAAGAATGACAAGCGCTAGGCACAACAATCAAATCCTGACTGTTGCCTCCCAGGATCTGCAAACTACGCTCCGTGCTTGGACGCGGAGCTTGCGCCTCTTCTGCAGCACCGGAACGTCACCCGTTGGAGAGCATTTCTCATATATCCAATGCCTGCTCCATTTACCCAAAACGCCCGCCTTTGGCACGCTCCTCGCTGTGCCGCCACCCGCCGTTGTTAGTATCGGTTATATCAACCTGAGTACCAGACGCAAGACGTAAGTTTAGGAGAGAACAAAACGAATATACGGTTGCCAAACTGGAGTCCTAGAGTTTATGCTACTTTCTTGATCTGCCATTAGTTTTCATAAGACTTCTATTTTCGAGGCGAAAACCGGTCTGCTAAATATGAAACAAAAAATGCAAGGAAAATTTGCGAAAAATGTTTTAAATTCCAAGTTATTTGCAAAGCCTACCTATTATACCTCTGTCTACATCAACCTCCAGATTTCCACATCAAAAGCGTTCTCTCGAGAGAGGCGGTGATTCTCAGATGCCACCGAATGTGACCGGATTTGGGTATTGTGAATTGGATTCTGTCGGAAAACAGCCAGCAGACATATGAATTATCGAAATATGGCTGCCACATGCTTTTCTCTCTTCCAAATGAGTACATAGACCTTCGCCGTCAACATCGCCGCCGTCTTCGCATAACCCCTATATATGCATATTATATAGCTATAGTTGCATATACCACCCCGTAAGAGAGTATTACTAAGCACTGTTGAAGGCCCATAATTCAACCAATCACAGTCTCCCAATTTGATCTGGCAAGGGCCCGACAAAGCAAAGCTAGTGTCCCGGCCGCTTCCAAACCGTAGTCGAATGGGAAAATCGACAGACGAGGCTCACGACCTGGAGCGCTGGTAGATTTCCATATCCTCCACGACCACAAGCGCGCACCAAAGGTCCACCTGGTATCCGGCGACGGATCCAATTGTCTTGTTTTGGCAGTCGGCCCTAAACGTGCGACTTCAATTCCTCGGCCCCCGGCGTCTCTCGTTCGCTTGAGCCTTTTTCCAGAACGTTTCAACGACCCTCGACGGCCATCAGTTATACCCCCCCTCTCCGACTTTACACACCACCGCTCCAATGGCCGCCAAGCGTATCTCCTCGACCGCCCTGCGGCTCGCCGTCCGCTCCGCATGCGGCACCGTCGCTCCCCACCCGGCACTGGCGGCTGCTGCCGCCACTGCCGCAAAGCCCATGCAGATCCGTGCCCTCTCCGCCTCTGCCCGGAGGGCCAGTGATACCCTCATGGTGGTGAGTCTACATTAAGGAGGCTTCTCTTGATCGATTCCTTGCTTTGTTGGTATACTAACGTTTGTCAGCACCGCCACACCCCCGACAACAACCCCGACCTGCCGTTCAAGTTCTCGGCCGAAAACGAGCAGGTCATTGCAGAGATCCTCAAGCGCTACCCGCCCCAGTACAAGAAGGCCGCGGTCATGCCGCTGCTCGATGTCGGCCAGCGGCAGCACGGCTTCACGAGCATCAGCGTCATGAACGAGGTGGCGCGTCTGCTGGAGATGCCGCCCATGCGCGTCTACGAGGTGGCGTCGTTTTACACAATGTACAACCGGACGCCGGTGGGCAAGTTCTTTGTCCAGGCATGCACGACGGTAAGTCAGCGCCAACGAGAGAAACGAGTGAGCGAAGCGAGCGAGGAAAGAAAATAAGCGAGTGAGCGAAGCGAGCGAGGAAAACAACAGAAGAAGCGAGCGAGCGAAGCGAGCGAGGACAGAAGAAGAGGAGATGCGAGTGAGCAAAGCGATAAAAGACAAAAGAAGAGGAAGATGAGTGAGTACAAGCTGACTTTTCTTTTATAGACTCCGTGCCAGCTCGGAGGCTGCGGCAGCGACGCTGTGGTCAAGGCGATCACAGAGCACCTGGGCATCACGGCGGGCCACACGACGGCGGACGGCCTGTTTACGTTCATCGAGGTGGAGTGCCTGGGCGCGTGCGTCAACGCGCCGATGATCCAGATCAACGACGACTACTACGAGGACCTGACGCCCGAGACGGTCAAGGCGCTGCTGGACGGCCTCAAGGCGTCGGCGCTCGACACGACGGGCAAGACGCCCTTGCCAAAGGCGGGCCCGCTGTCCGGCCGCGACACCTGCGAGAACAGCGCAGGCCTGACGTCGCTGACAAGCAAGCCGTGGGGCACGGAGACGACCCGGAGTGACCTGTAGGGGACGAAGATGGCCGAAAATAGGGGATATGCACTGTGGAATACAGACTATGGCAGTTGGCCATGCGTGTGAGGTGTACTTTTCTGGATGCTACTGCAAAGGCAGCGTGAGTGAACAGTCACAGAGCACGAGGACAGATCAGATGGGCGCCAGGAAGTAGCGAGCTGTCTTGTATATAACCAAATGCTAAAAATCATGTATTGCATTTTATGCCATCACTGCGTCATCCATCGGTGTCGAACGTTCATATTCAATTTACGACCCAAACGATGTCATAGATATCAAGCTAAAATCGGTCCAACAGAGCAAAACACGCCAAATCGTAATAAAAGTAAAATTCCAAGTCATCGTTACTCGCGCGTATCGGCACCCAGGCGGAAAATCCAGGCATCGCCCAGGCGCTGGTTCTTCTCGTTCAGGCCGCCAAAGATGACAATGCCGTTCTCCTCCAGCTCGCCAATCCGCGAGCTCGCGATCCAGCCGCGCGCCTCCGGGCCAAACTCTGGGCCCTCGCCCGCCGTGTCGTCATCCGCGTCGTAGGGCGCCGTCACCACGCGCGACCAGCGGCCCTCGCCGGCGCCCGAGGCGCCGCCAAACAGCCGCCGCGGCAGCACGTAGCGCACGGCATTGGACACGCTGGCCGCGCTAAAGTTGTCCGAGGGCACCTGGAAGGCCCAGACGTCGCGCCAAAACGTGCCGGCGGCCTCGTGGCCCGTGCCGCTCGGCGTGCGCTCACCCAGTGCCAGCACCAGATACTCCCAGCCGCCGCCCGCAGAGATGGTCTCGAGGCTCGAGACGGAGCGGTCGCCGGGCCAGGTGGCGCCCGAAACCAGTGGCGCAGCATCGCTGCCACGCCCGGCCGTCGCCTCTTCGGCCGCGGCCGAGTCGGCGGCGACCGACGCCGTGTTGGACACGACGGGGTTGGTCTCGGCGACAATGCTCTGCCAGGCGCCCTTGGCAGCCAGGGTGACGTCGGCGTCGTCGACGCTCGTCTCCGTCAGCGCGTTCAGCTCCAGCTGCAAAAAGTCAAGACGCCCGCCCTCCTCGGTCGACCCGTTGAAGCCGCCAAAGCGGTACAGCCGGTTGCGGCTGATGCAGATGGACGTGCCGCCGCGGGGCAGACCAGGCGCCGACGGCAGCGCCTGCCACACACGCGTGCGCACGTCAAAGGCCCACAGGTCGTTGGTGCGGCCACCGCTCGCCAGGCAGCCGCCGTGCACAATGAACGTGCCATAGCCGTCGCTGTCGGCGTCGCGGGCGCGCGCGGCAATGTTGCCCACAATGGGCCGCTGCGGCGTGCCCACCTCGGCCATGTCACCCTCGACCCACTCCTTCCAGCTGCTGACACGGCCGCGCTTGGCAAAGGACGACGAGAGCGGGTCGTCGGCGCTGGCCGGCAAATCAGAGGCCGTCGCCGCGTGGTAGCTGCGGGCCTCGGGGAAGATGGGGCGGTTGACCGACGAGGGCGCCGCCGCCGTCGTGGCCACTGTGGCTGCGTGGCCCGTCTCGGGCACGGCCTGGAGCGGCACCGGCGCCGACGGGGCCAGCGGGTCCAGGAAGCTCCAGGTGTGCGTCTTGGTGTCAAACACCCACACGCGGCCACGCTCCTCGAGCGGCTTCATGTCCGGCCCGCCCCGGCCGCCAAATAAGAAGATGCGGTTGCCAATAACGGCCGTGGCGTGCCCGACACGCGGTGACGGCACATCGCCCAGCGCCGGGCCCGGCAGCGGGATCTCGTCGACGGCACCCGTCGAATCCTGTTCGGTGGCCCTGCCTTTGCCTTTGGCATCCTTGCTGTCGAGGCCGACCGCCTCGGCCGCCTCCCCCTGCCCCTCGCTGCCAGTGGTTGTGGTCGCCGTCTCCGCCTCCTCACCGCTGACTGTGCTGTCCGGTGTCACCAACTGCGGCTCGACAATGGCGACAGGGTCCGACTCCGGCGGCGGCTCCGAGATGGTCAGCTTGGGCGCCTCTGGTACCGCAGGCTTCTTGGCCGGCGCCGCCTTGATGGCATAGTAGTCGGCGGAGGCGCTGCCCGTCGGCAGGACCAGTGCGTGCATAACGTTGTCGACGGGTTTGCGCGCATTGACGCTTTCGCCGCCAAAGACGTAAGCGGTGCCGGCCACGACATTGATCGAGGACGAAGAGCGTGGCAGCGATGGAATGGCGACGCGCTGCCAGGTGCCCTTTAGGGAGTCATCCTGAGGGGCAGCGGTCTGGGACGACGAGAAGATATTGCCAAACGCGGTCTTGGTCGGCGAGAGCGTCTCCGGGAGCGACTGGAGGAGGTCTGTTGTGCGGCGTTTCAGCTGTTGAATTTGCTCCATTTTGGAATATGCGGGGAGTTAGGATGAGAGACTGTGAGAAGGGGATAATGGGAAGTTGTGGTGGTAGTGTAGAGACGGTGAGGAAAGAAGGAGCGTTGGAGACGATGACATTTCAGGTAATAAAGGAAGGAGCGAGGCGTCAGCAAGGAAGGAGGAGAAGTGGCTTGTTTCGTCAGATTGAGGAGGATCAGCTGCTGGGCTGGGATGACGACGGCCCTTGAGGAAACTGCGACTCTACAGTACGGAGGATGCCCTTGCCCTGTAATTGATGGTTGTTGTGCACCAATGAAGAAGGCGCAGTTGGTGCAATTGGCCTAGGCGCGCCTGCCCTGATGTGACGTAAGACTAAGTTGCGGATCGACAAGCTGGGCGGAACACGTTTCTGACCGTTTCAAGGTACCAGAACGTTGTGCTAGTGGCTGCTATGCGTCTCCTTGTCTCAGTGTAGTTAGGCCTGTGCAGAGGTTTATTTTGGTGTGATTACTTGACATGTAACGAACGCGCACGAGAGAATTACGCTGCCCTTTGGTGGTCGTTGAGGGAGGGACGAAGGACCAATTGTGCGTCGCTCTTGCCTTGCGGAGTGAATGTCTTTTTCCCATCCAAAAAAGGAAGTGTTAGGATGCGCGCAGCAGGAGAGGCAGGAACTTTGAACTGCGACTACATCAAAGGGAAGGGAGTAAGCAGAGTTTCAAAGTCGACGAAATGCGGACGTCTGCTTACGAAGCCTCGCTCTAACGGCATAGCTTCCTCGGGTCATGCAGGCTGCCTACATCTTCACGAGCGCACAAATTGACCTGAGATGAAAGATCATTAAGGTACAAGCAGTCGTACAGGCGGTCTGGTGGTGGTGAAAAGGCAGCACAGGACGGCAAGATGTAGGAGCCGCTGAGTGTATGGTTGGAAGTATTTTATACAGCCTGACGGAGAGAAGACAGGGCGAGACGCTGATGAATTTCACAATGTACTGTATTTATAGTATCCAACATGTATTTGGTGAATCTTAGATCGAGCATGGAATACATAAATAAAATGCAAATCAATGGAGCCGGCCTTGGGCCATGACTAGGGGATAGAGACGAAATGCATGCTGGGTGAACTACTACAGACGCTTTATCGCTGCTTGATAGCTTTTGACCAAAACCAAAGAACGTCTCGATGACGCAAATGTAAACCAAAGACACTGTAAAAATTTGAAAGAAACACACGCAGGGCAAGCCGGCCAAGGCCCTTCAAAAGACTACCATGTGCAACCCAAGGTATGGCATTATGGTGGCACATGGCTGGGCAACGAGTCCTGAATCTGGATCGGATGCTTGTCGAGACTCTCGTACCACTGGATAATGCTGCCGATCTGTGTGTGTTAGAAAACCAGTCGTGGAGCAGTCACATCAAAACGTGATACAGTTCGCATTACTTACTAAGAAAGCCCATGAGCCGATAAACGTCGACAGAGTCGACGCGTACGTCACAGCCGCGCTCGTCGCCGCGCCAAAGCCCAGCGCACCGCAGAGCGTGAAGCCAATGGCGCCAATCATGTTCCACAAGCCAATGTGCCAGCCCAGCAGATGCGGTGCCGGCAGGTACCACTTTCTCTGTGTCTCCAGCATAAAGAGCCAGCTCGACACGATGAAGCCCGTGCCGCCAATGACTTGCGGCGCCCAGAAGGCGCCATTGGTGCCGGCCGTCGACAGGCGGTCGGCAACCGGCGGCAGACCCGTGAACCCAGAGATCCAGAACACGGTGGCTCCAAAGAGCTGAATGAGACAGGCCCAGAAGCCCATTTCGCGGGCGTACACGGTGCGCAGCTCGGTCCACGACGGCCACCAGGTCCACCGACGCCGCTGGGGGTGAATGCGGGAGTCGTCGCTGCCGGTGTCTGAGCTCGTATTGGCATTGTCCAGGTCGCTGTCGGGGACATCTGTGATTGTTTTCCCACCCACGCTGCTTTCCGGGATACCGTCTTTCGCGCCACCCTGACCAACGTCCTTGTCCTTTCCGCGATGGCGTCCATTGCGCCGCCGGGAAAAGAGTCGCGTCCGCTCGACGTGCGCGTGCTTGCAGTCGTCCGGGCTCGGCTGCAGCGACAGGAAGCCGCTCTCCAGGGCCTCCTCGAGCGCCCACCCAAAGCAGTCGGCGCGGTTCTCGTTGACGGCCTCGAGGAGGCCCAGCACAGCACCCACTTCAAAGATGCTTGCGCCGATCACGGCCGTTATTCCACCGCCCATGGTCTCCTCGCCCGCAAATTCGGTCCAGGGGGCCGCCAGCGGCAGCCACACGAAGAACGAGTTGATCACCCACACAACTGACCCGATCGTGAAAATGATGGCCACGTCGTACGACACGTCCCAGACCGGGTAGCGAACGAGCATCTTCCACAAGATATGGGCGATGCCGCGCCATGAGTTGGTGCTGCGCGGGACAGCGCCGGATCCCATCGTGCCCTGCGTCTCGCCCTTCCCTCCTTCAGGAGACTGACCTCCATGGAGGCTGAGGTGCCGATGGCGGAAAAAATCGTTGGTGAGCACAATGGCATGGCGACCCTTGCGGTTGTCACGGCTGCGCCAGACCTGGTACGCGCCATAAACATGGCTTTGATGCTGTGTGGCTTGCGGGGACACCGTGGACGGTGGTTGTTGTTGTTGTTGTTGTTGTTGCTGCTGTTGTTCTTGCTGCTCCTGGGCAATGTTGTCACCTGGGATGTCGACATCGGCGCCGGCCGGCGTCTTGGACGGCTTCTTTGCTGGGACCTTGACGTAACGAGTCGTCGGATTCAGAAACGAAACGGGACTCGACGCGTGGTGCGCGTTGGCGATGCGCCGTGGCAGATGCGCATGCCGGTCTTGGCTCATGCTTGGCTGACGTGTGTCGGACGCAGTGCCGACGCGCTCCAATCGAAGACAGTATATGGTGGTCAGGGAGAGAAATGGAGCGTGTTCCGCAAGTGTCAACAAAAGAAAGGCGACATAAAAACAAGAAAATAATTAGGAACTCTAATACTCCAGGAAAGGAGGTGACGATACGATGTGTCGTTTGTCCCTTCCCTTGTTGAGCCCTGAGGAGATCAAGGTTTTGCCAAGAAAAGGAGCGACGGGAAGCCCACGAGATGGAAGGAAGGACCAGGACTGGTGCTGTTTCAGGGGGGCATTTTTCCTCTTGACGTCAGAACAATGTCGCTAGTTTTTAGTGGTTTTTAGTGGAAATATCCCAAAACGGGGCTGCCGTCATAGCCGGCGCCCCTTGATCTAAACGAGGCTGTCAAAACCCAACAAAAGCGTGTGCCCCCAAATGTTACTGCAGGGAAAAGGTCTGTATTAGTGCTCTGGCCCTAAAAGGGTCCTGAAACGACATACTTTGTATGCGGGAACTCGCCATCGACTCAGTTAGAAAGGCAATCATAGGTATGTTCTTCAATTTGGTTTTTTATGGAACACAGTATCTAAAGAGCCTTATCGATCGCTAATAAAAGGACACATGCTGCTTTGTGCATGCAAAAAAAAATAGATATATCCCAGAATGTAAGCTTTGATATTCCAACAACTCCAGACAAGGCCAAAAACAGAAGACAGAAAGATTTATGAAATGGACAAAGTGTGAGGCAATGTGTGGGCGAGAGAGAGAGAGAGAGTATGCTTGTTTAATAGGGAGAGATAATCCACGGCTAGCAGACATTAGTCTTCGAGACTGCGCTTGCCGGCCTCCTTCTCGCGCTGCTTCTGCTGGTGACGAATCACAAACAGCGTCACCGCGAGGCCGAGCCCGCAGGCCGCCAGCGTCACAAAGTACGCTGCACGGTAGCAGGCGAGGCCGTCGTCGCAGGACCGCTCGCCAGACGGCTCGACAACCGAGTGGGCGTCAAACACGAGGCCGTAGAACAGGTTGAAGATGTTGCCAGAAACAACGGGCGACAGAGTCATGAAGCCCCAGTTCTGGGACAGGCCGTGGATGCCAAAGGCCTCGGCGACAATGGATGGAAAGACGCCGAACAAGAAGCCGTAGCCGAGACCGGACAGACTCGAGACAAGGCCGAGGAAATGCGGGTTGGTAATGTTGATGGCGAAGAGCTGCGCGGCGACAAAGATTGTGGCCGCGATGACGAGACACCAGACCCGGCTGGCGTGCATTTTCTTCACCAAAAAGTCGGAGCCGACGCCTGCACCATGTCAGCCACAGCCAAATGCAGGTGGTTAGAACGTGAAACAGTGGAAGAGCCACTCACCACTGAGAAGACGGCCGGCAAAGCTGCCAATCGACAGGATGGATACGTGCATTTGCTGGTGTGCAATGAGGAAGCTCTCGTCAACAGACTCGTCGTAGTGCTTCCACAGGGCGTTGGCATCGTGGCCAATGTTGCTGGACATGTTAGAGCGTTCACAGGAAAGAACAAAGTAGACGAGGGAACGCCGGGGGACCTACTTGATCGTCATCAGGCCGATACCAGCGAGAATGCCCATAATGGCAAAGAACTGCCAGAACTCGACGTTGCGCAGCAGGTTCCAGCCTCGAATGTCTACACGGTGGGATTGGTCCATATCAACACTGTTCTGCAGCAGAATTTCGCCGGGCAGTGATGACGCTTTCGACACGAGGGAGGACGTCTCGTCCATGGGATCTTGGTCGGCATCCTCCGCGGCAAGCGGGGCAGCAAAAGGGTTGGAGGCGGACGCGGAGGTGGAAGCGGAGGCCGAAGCGGAGGCCGAGGCACTGCTGGAGCTGCCGTTCTCGTGGCTGATGGAGGCGTACGTCATGGCCGTCGACCGCGGTGCCTGCGGCGAGGACAGGTCGCCGTCGTTGTCGTCCACACCCTTACGGGCATCCTCACCCTCGTCTTGTCCTCTCGTCCCTGCACCCTCTGTGCCCCGATCTGCTTGGTCTTCATATGCGCCGTAGCTGCCGTGGGCATGATCATCATTGTCATCGTCTAGTGACCTACCAGGTTCTTCGGTCTGTTGATAGGCGCGCCCGCGCCCTCCGCCGCCGCCGCGTCGGGCCAGTTTTGCCTCCTCGGAAATGGTCCGGCGCAGCTGCTGCGAGTCGCTGAGCGCATCGTCGTCGGTGGCCCCCACAGCGTGGTAGTGGGAGTGGCCGGTCGCGGGTGGCAGCACGTGCAAAAAGAAGAAGCTCACAAAGGTGAGGACAAAGGTGCCAATGGCCAGCAGCAACAAGAAGGCGCTGGTGTCGCCGGGAACGATGAGCGACCCAAACAGCGCAAAGAAAAAGGCGCTGAGGCCAAATGCGGCCAGCGGGAAGGCGGTGGCCGTGCCGCGGTGGTGCGGCCAGTTGAGCGCCGAAGTCTTGACGGCCGCGGCAAAGGCCATGCAGCCGCCGAGGCCGGTCAGATACGAGACGAGGCACAGAAAGACCACGGACCCGGATCCTCTAACAAAGGCCTGCCGCAGCGGGAAGTAACCCAGAGCCAGCAATATAGAGCCGGCAATGACTGCAGGACGCGGCCCTCGCGAGTCGATGAACATGCCGATGGGCACGCCCATGGAGTACATGCCCAGGTTCCCGGCGAGGCCGATCAGGTTGGACTGGGTGGCGGACAGCTTGAGCTTGTCGGCGAACTGCGGAGCCCATGCAGAATATACGTACTGAAGACGAGAAAAAGAAAAAGACATATGTTAGACATGGCTCATCCTGCCGACACTGTTCATTCCGACGCCGAGACGTACGTTTGTTCCGCATGCTAATGAGATGACAGTGGCAGCCACGCTCGACACGAGGCGTGCCCTGTGGTCTGCCTGGTCGTGCATCTCGAGGGGCGCTGGCTAGGCTTGCCAGCTAGGTCGGGGGCGGGATGCTGTGCGAATCTGGGGCGGCGAAGACGACAACAGACGGAAGGCTTTCTGTCCGTCGAAACAATGGAAAGTAGTTCAGAGATCAAAGGTGGTGATATCGTAAGATCATGGCAACGAACGACTGTTGTCGGAGGAAGGCCGGTTTCGCCGGCATTCGGCAAATCGTGTGCCGAGGAGGGGGGCGGGCATGCACAGGGAAGGGTTGATAGAACGTCGGCAGCGGCCGATGTGCGTGCGGTGACACGATAGCTGCGCGAAATGGCGAATTGGATGGCTGCTGATACAGACGACGAAACGGAGATGCGGTGAAAAGGGATACTGAGAGACGCAAAGGAAAAAAAAACGAAGAGAAAGAAGGAAAGAAAGAATGGGCGGAAAGAAAATCGAAACGGGGAAAGAGCGGCTGAGGATACTGATGCGTACAGCTCGGATCGTTCTTGCTGTCTCATCCCTTCCTTATCGGCAGTCCACAGGGGGAAGGCGCTGGCGCAATCTCGTGGGTTGCAGCTTTGGGAAGGCGTGTAGGTGGTGGTGGAGCACGAGCACTTCGGATGGGTCGCAGCTGCCCTGTAGCGCGTGCACTTTGCTCTTAATGTGCACTTGGCTCCGGTCGGAATGGCTGTTGGCATTCAATATGGGGATGGTGTTGTGAGACCGATACAGGAGGACTCACAGCTGGAGTGACACCTGTTGCAGCCAATGCAAAGCCGCCTATAGACCAAGGACCCGTACTTGGCCGACATGGGGTCCCGAAGCTGTTGCGCAGATCTGGATACTCTCGTTGGAGATTCATGTGATATGTCATGTGATAACAAACGATCACGTGCACTTTTGCATTGGAAACATGACGCTGGAATGACCCACTCGGGCGCAGCGCTTCAGGTCTGCCTTGTCCATAGTGCTTGCCTCCTCTTTCGGCGCCTCGCCACTTTCCTCGTTCCTCGTCATCTTCTTCAACACAACACAACATCACCACATCACCACATCACAAACGGGTCGTCTACGCCTTTCCACGAGCTCGGATACCCTACTCCGAAACGATACAGCCATCGTCTACCTTCTTTGACAAACGCCAACCTCTCCGACTCTGTCGGTCGCCCCGCAACGCCAGCCGCCAGAATGGGCGCTCTTCTCTCGCTGCCGCTTCTTGCGGTGCCGAGTGCGGCAACGGTGCGTACAACTGCCGGCTGTTCTTTTCTACGTGGACGATTTCTGACATGCGTGTTTCTAGGTCCTTTCGTTTGCTGCCAGCTGCTGCGGTGCGGCGACGTGTTCGATGGTGTGCAGCGCCTGCGGGAAATGCGGCAACAGCGTGGCCACGCGCATCGGCTATGCGCTCATCCTCCTCATCAACTCGATCCTGGCGTGGATCATGGAGACGCCGTGGGCCGTCAAGAAGCTGGAACACCTGATGCTCGACTACGTCAAGATCAACTGCCCGACGGGCCAGTGCTACGGCTGGCTGGCGGTGCACCGCATCAACTTTGCGCTTGGCCTGTTCCACCTCATCTTTGCGGGCCTCCTGATTGGCGTGTCCTCGTCGAAGCAGCCGCGGGCGGCGCTGCAGAACGGCTACTGGGGGCCCAAGATCATTGCGTGGCTGGCGTTTATTGTGCTGTCGTTTTTGATTCCCGACGAGTTCTACCTGTTCTGGGGCAACTACGTGTCGCTCGCCTGCGCGATGCTCTTTTTGATTCTCGGCCTGATTCTTCTCGTGGACATGGCGCATTCGTGGGCCGAGTACTGCCTGGAGCAAATTGAAAACACCGAGTCGCGTGTCTGGCGCGCCGTGCTGGTCGGCTCGACGCTCGGCATGTACCTCGGCTCGATTGCCATGACGGTCCTGCAATACGTCTTCTTTGGGCGCGGCGGCTGCTCCATGAACCAGGCGGCCATCACAATCAACCTCATTCTGCTGCTGGTCGTGTCGGCCGTGTCTGTGCACCCCACCGTGCAGGAGTATAACCCCAAGGCGGGCCTGGCGCAGGCGGCCATGGTGGCGGTCTACTGCACGTACCTGACCATGTCGGCGGTCTCGATGAAGCCCGACACGACCGAGGACAGGCACTGCAACCCGCTGCTGCTGGCGCAGGGCACGCGCACGACGTCCGTGGTCATTGGCGCCATTGTGACGATGCTGACGGTGGCTTGGACGACGACGCGCGCGGCGACGCAGACGCTCGGCCTGGGCGGCAGCCGCACGGGCGGCATCCGCCTGCCCGACGACGACGACTTGGACGGCGCGCACGACGGCAGCAGCAGCTACAGTGCCCACGGGCTGGTGACGACGCAGCCGTCACGCCGCGAGATGCGCGCCGAGGCGCTGCGCCGGGCGGTGGCCGAGGGCAGTCTGCCGGCGGACGCGATGCTGTCGGACGACGACGACGACTCGGACGACGAGGACAGCGGCCGCGGCGGCAAGTCGGGCGATGACGAGCGCGGCAGCACGCAGTACAACTACACGACGTTCCACATCATCTTCTTCCTGGCGACGGCGTGGGTGGCGACGCTGCTGACGATGAACTACGAGGACTCGACGCGGGACGGCGACTTTGCGACGGTGGGCCGCACGTACTGGGCGACGTGGGTCAAGATTGTCAGCTCGTGGGGGTGCTACGCGCTGTACATATGGACGCTGGTGGCGCCGGTTGTGCTGCCTGATCGGTTCGAATAGTCGGGTGGCGTTGATAGTTTGAAATGTGTCCCTTGTGTTGCCTTTCTATTTTTTTGATTTGCCATTGTCTTTCTGGCGTTGGCATCTCACTCCCTGTATTATGCATTCGTTGAGCGCGTCCTTGCAGTCTTTATCTAAGTATATCAACTTTCTTTTGTCGCAGTATTATCGCAGTATTCATTTTCAAGGTCCTTTCCGAGGGACGAACCCGTAGCTCGTTTGTTCCCCACGTTACTATTGTCGGTACAACGTACTCTGTAGGTGAGAAATCAATAGCATCAATACATTGCGACTTACTGAGGCCTGCACACTAAGTTCGATTTAATCGGCCTTGCGTTTCGCAAAGTGAACGGCATCGAATAATGCATCTATTGTCTGTGGATACCTCTTCTCCATTCAGACTCCAGACGAATGCCAGTTTCCAGTTTCCATTCTACAATTATCATTACCATTGTTGGCCACATGAACCGAACAGAACTGCTGTTGATTACGAGCACATAGTACAGATTTTCATATATGTATATATATATGTATTGATCTCGAGCTCCGTTCTCGTGGTGAGAGTAGGTTTATCGACAGTCATATCTATAACAATCCAAGCTACGACCTAGGTCCTTACGTGAGGCGACGACATGAGCAAACGCAACAGGTGACTTCATTTCACAAAGACCACCTCTCCGATTGCGACAATGAACACGCAGTTTAGCCATGTCGGCAAGACCGACAAGCCAGAGGACGACAAGGACGACAAGGACGGGCCCCTGCAAGCTGATGTGGCGTTCACCAGCGTCACCGATGTTTTCAAGCAACTCGAACGCGCAGCCAAGGCCATGCCCGGCCAAGGACGCTTCGATGGCCTTGTGGTCGGCAGTATGTCACCCGCCAATTTTGACGTTTTGAGCAACGAGCGGGACCGGCGCGAACGCCACCTGCGCCTCTTTTTCTTGCCCGACCAAGAGACTGCGATTGTGACCGTCCCCAGCGCGCCTCACGAACAGGCGCACAGTCGGTTGTACACGTTGGTGGATCGCCAGCTGTTTGCAATGGGACTTGATCCAGAATGGAGGGGCACACAGGCGACCCGGTTCTCGTCGCCTGGTGGCGGTGGCCATGGTGAGGGGGACTCTGGCGGCGGCCTACGACGGGGCAACAGATACAACAACCAAAGGTGGCCAACTCTAGTTATCGAAGCGGGTGTTAGCCAGTCCATGGCCGCGTTGCGCGCCAAAGGCCGCTGGTGGCTTTCAGCGTCCAACTTCCATATGAAGGTCGTTGTTCTGGTCAAGACCGTCATCCGCCGGTCCTTGATCACGATAGAGAAGTGGACCGCTGAGCAGCAGTTTGGTTCGGGAAGCAACCGCCTTGGCGCCACAACCACGCGCCAGCAGCAGATGGAGATTTCGTGGTCCGGGCCTGGGCATATCCTTGACACGCAGCCCGATGACCGTGCAGCGGCGCTCTTCACCGTCGTTGGTGCATCTCTGGTGCTGCGGTGTGAGGAGCTTTTCCTGCGCCCACCGGTTGCTTCTGAGGGTCAACAGGATATCGTGATATCCGCGGAAGACTTGAAAGACTTGGCTAGCCGTGTGTGGGAGGACGTCGAGTGAGAGAGGCGGTAGAGTATGGGACAATATGGGTGAGGAAAGGACCTGACTTTACTCGACGAGACGCTCTCGATGCCGGTGGGGTGCGCAGGAGACAGTCCATTTTCTCTGTACGAAGTAGGGCCAGGAAGAGGAAACAGTGAAAACTGTTGTGGATGTACTTTGCTAGTCCAGGTTTGAATTGCTTATTATTGTAAAATATATGTTATGACGATGACTTTGCCTTCGCCCGCGTATCCCGCACTACATGAAAGTTGGCGACGCCGTCGTTGGCCAGTTGCGCGACAAGTTGGTGCTCCCACGCAATGTAGCCCTCCATGGCCTCGCGGTCGTTGCCTGTGCCCTCGTAGGGCCGCTTATAGACGTCAGTCGGGGTAGATAGCCAGCGGGCGTTGCTTGTGCCCGTCGCCTTCTCCAGAGGCAGCGCGGCGCTCGTCCAAGCAGCTGTGCCGCCGGCCAGGAACAGTACGGTACGCGGCGCCACGGCGTCCCGTGCGTCCACGAGGTTTGCTTGGGCGACGATGCCATCAGGCGATGTAAGAACAAGCGGGCCGTCGCCTTGGCCTTGGCCGTGGACGCGAACAAGAGCCTGCAGGTCCCGCGCGAGCTCTGGGCCCGAAGCATGCCAGGCACCGGGAATGTGGCCCTTGCGATAGGCAGGACTGCGCGCGAGGTCGACGACTGTGGCGCCATTGTTGTCGAGCAACGCCTTGAGATCCTGAGCCGCAACGGCAACAGCAACGGCACCTTCGGCAGGCGGTGGAGGCACAGATGCGGGAGAAGTCAGCGCTGGGTCAGGGAGTGCGGGCAGCGCCGCCGCATGATCAAAGACGTAGACCTCCCAGCCCAGCTGCAGCAACCACGAGGCGGCCATGCGTGCGCGCACACCGTCCGTGTCATACAAGACAGCCCGGGCACCGCGCACGCCCATCCACTCGTCCGTGGCTTGGACGAGCTGGCCACCGGGCGCCGACTGGAAGCCGGCAGGGTGGTCCACGGCATACTCGCTGGGATCGCGCACGTCGAGCAGGTAGAGCGTGCGCTCGTCGGCGTTGTGCGCGGCCAGCAGCGCCAGAAGCTGCGGTGCCTGGACAATGGGCACGCCGACATGCGCGGCCCAGGACGCGGCGTGTTCGCGTGCGCGGCGGACACCGTCGTCCGAGGGCGGCGGTACGCGCGCGGTCTTGCCCGTTTCGAGCGGCGGCAGACCACCGCGCGTCAGATCCTCCAGGGTCCAGCCAATGGTGCCGTCGCGCAGGGCCACGACTTTGTTGGGGATGGCCGCATTGACGAGCGACTGGGTGCCAATCAGGCTGCGCGTGCGGCCGGCGCAGTGGACGACGACGGTCGTGTCAGGCGACGGCGCCGCATCAAACACGCGGTAGAGCAGCTCGCCGCCGGGGCAGCTGCGGCCGCGCGGGATGCTCATGGTGTTGTACTCTTCGAAGCGGCGCGCGTCCAGCACGACGACGTCGCTGTCGGGGCGGCTAAGTAGCGCGTCAAAGAGGTCGCGCGGCGGGGCCGACGGCGTCGCCCGGATGGCCTCGACGAGCTCGCCAAAGGCCTTGGAGGGCACATTGACGTCGCGGTAGAGCTCGCCCACGTCTGCGTAGCCGGCGAGACCGCCTTCCAAAACGGAAATGTCTTGGTAGCCCAGGGCGGCGATGCGCGGGACGGCCCGTGCCGCATAGCCCTCGCCGTTGTCGTACACCACCAGCGGCACCGACGGCCGCGGCACCAGGGCCGGCAGTCTGGCTTCCAGCTCCGACACGGGCACGGTCACGGCAAACAGCGGGTGCGCGTCGGCATAGGGGCCTTCTTCGCGGACGTCGACCAGGGCCACCTCCAGCCCATTGGCCCAGCGGCGGCGCAGCGCCTGCGGCGTCGTTGTCCGGAGGGCCATTTTCGATACGACTCGCAGCTGTGTGCACAGCGGACAACAAAGCATCAATCACTTCATTCGGAGTCGATATTATGTATCCCTTTGACGAATTGCACATGACCCGTCTGCCACTGCATCGCCAAGGCTGCAGCAGATTCGGTTCGGACTTGCCATTTCTGGACGGCCAACGATTTGTGGATCGCAGTGTAAGTGCTGGGCTCTGTGTGGACTGCCCGGACGGTTTTTTGTGCCAATCGGACGGTTTCGTCTCGTGAGCGCATGACGCCATTTACCAGTGGTGTGGCGTCGCCCAGGCTGGGTGTGCGGAGTCGACAAGGGCGATCGACGGCTTAAGGTGGACTGCCGCGGCCACGAAACAACCAAACTCGTTCAACGGCCATTTCACTTACACAGTACTCCATATTCTGCTCAGTTCACCGTGTTCGTCGGCCATCGGCCATTTTTTATCTTGTAATCTTTTTATTACACGCCGATTTGAATGAAAATAAAGAAAGAAAATAAGAAATACGCCGCAACAACGATGCAGAATCCCACCAGACAAAAGCGCCAATCGTGCGAAGCATGCCGTGAGTGACCCCATCCTAGCCTCTTGACGAGTGTGCCTTTTATTGTACTCTGGTATTGCAATTCTTGTCTTGTCCGTGCACGCACTCACCGTTCAGGAACACGCAAACTCAAATGCTCGGGGTACACGGGCGAGAGACGGAGCTGCACCCGGTGCCTGGCCCTCAATGTCGTGTGCCACTACCAGGACAAGGGCATCCCGGGACGGCCGCGGAAGCAGCGCGGCGACCTGCGGGAGGAGTCCTCCAGAGCATCGAGGGGTCCACGCGAGGCACGGGAGTCGAGCGAGGCGCGCCGTTTTGCTTTTGCGCCGTCGCCGCCCGTGACGGACTCGAGCTCGGCCAGGTCGATTGACGGATCAAACGACGAAGGGCAGTCACATCCACCGCTGCAGACGGCGGCAGCGCACCAAACACACCGTCTCGGGGTCGACAGCTTGTTTCTGCAGCCGCTGTCGTTCCCCCTCTTTCCGCCCTCCAACGATGCGCTGCCAACGACGCTCCCCGACCCGAGCAGCTCGTCGGCCGACTTTGCCTTTGACCCCTTCCCGATCGAGCTGTTTGGACAGTGCCCCCTCGTCCGACACCATCACGGCGACGAGGAGACGCCCACGGCCACGCTGTCACCGCCGCAGTCGCCCCATTCGTCGCCACAGTCGCCCGCGACCTTGTCCTGCCACTGCGCCGACGACGTATCGGCGTCCGTCCGAGCACTTCGCCACCGGGCGCAGGCCGTGTCGCACGCCATTGTCGCCGACCTGCGCGTCGGCATCGACCTCGTCGAGCGGCTGCTGACGTGCCCCATCTGCTACGACATTAAGAAGGCGCCGCGGCTCACGATTGAGAATGTTCTTCTCATCGGCCGTCTGATGCACGAAGTCAACGCCGGCTACCGGCGGTACGTGCGGTGGGTGGGCAGCATAACAAGCGGCGGCGACAGCGAGAGCAGTGAAGACCGTGGACACGGAGGCCCGAAAGACACCGTCCTCGTGGGCGGCGCGGCGTTCGAGGTCGACCGCCGCATGGTGCAGGCGGTTGTCCGCCAGGGCTTGCAGGCCGACGCGGCACGGCTCACCGACTTGGGCGGGCGCTTTGCCCTGCGGCAGCACAACCGGCACATGGTTGGCCACGAAACGTGTCCTGACCCAGACGGACGGTGCTGGCGCGAGCGGTACGACATGGACACGGATCCGCTGGACATTTGCCCGCAGAATGCGGCCGCACGGACATTGACGCCGTGCTATCGCGTGGTGGACGCAATTTGTTTGGGAATCAAGGCATTTGCCGACGACGTAAACGGGCCGGACACGGCGGCGTAAAGCACCGAGGAACAGCAACAGATTGCCTTTCTTCTTCTTCTTCTTCTTGTTTTTTTTCTTTATTTCCTTTTGTCATTATTCAAATTGTACTGTATTCTATCATGTACATTAGGCATGCAACGAGGTCAACGAAGGCAATGAATGATCCACTTCACAGCACAGCTCCTTGACCGTGATCGTGTCCCTCTGCTTCTCCACCGCGTTCGCGCCACAGCAGGACAGCACACCGACACGGCAGAAGCACGACGACGTGACGTCGACGTCGGCATCGGCGAGCGCGGCCGCCAGCTGTGGCTCGAGCCGCGCAGCCTCGCCGTGGCGGCCCAGACGCTGCAGGCACTCGTGGTAGCCGTGCAGCGCCCACACGTTGTTGGGGTGCTGGTGCACGCGGCCCGGCGTGGGCGCCAGGCCCAGGTCCTGCGCGTACGCGTGCGCCGCCTCCTCGACAAACCCCTGCTCGAGCGACAGCGCCGCGAACGCGTGCCGCGCCGGCAGCATCCAGCCCCAGGGCTCCGCAAACGGCAGCGCGTCCTCGAGCGCCACGGCATCGCGCAGCCGGCCAAAGGCCAGCGGGTAGTCGGCGCGCCGGTACGCAATCTCGCCGTCCAGCATGGCCGTGGCAATGTGCAAAATGTCCGTGATCTTGTTGGGGAAATCGAGCCGTGTGGGCGGCACGTACGCCGCCGCCGCGCGGAACCGCGCGCGCGCCGCCTCGGCCTCGGCCACCCGGCCGGTCGCCGCATAGGCAATGGCGTGGCCGTAGTGCCGGAACACGTTGGTCACGCAGTACAGGTCCCTGTCGGCCTTGGGCTCGAGCCGCAGCACCTCGTCCCACCGCCCAAAGCGGATCAGCACGTGCACGCGCACCGCCAGGAAAAACTCCATCCAGTCGGCCAGCGCGGGCGCCTCGACGCGCAGCATCGCTTCGGTGATCGTCGCCTCCATGCGGTCCGTCGTCGCGAGCGCCGCCTGCGACATGCCGCCCAGCATCGCCGCGTAAATCAGCGAGTGGTAGTCGTGCAGCCGGTAGTAGCTGTAAAACGTGCGCCCGCCGTTGCCCGCCGCCGCAAAGTACTTGTCGTCGGCCACCGTCGCCCTGTGGTTGTACTCCACCGCGCGCCGGTAGTCGCCCACCAGCACGTCAATGTGCGCCGGCATGTGGTACGTGTGGCCCGTGTCCGGCACCAGATCACGGATCATGTCCGCTGCCGGCAGCGCCGCGGCCGGCGTGGCCGACATTTCCATCAAGTGGATGTAGTAGTGCGCCACGCCCGGGTGCGTCTCGACGCCCGGGCGCGCCAGGGCTCGCTCGAGGAGCGCGCGCACTTCGGCGACCGGCGAACTGGCAATCGGTCCGCCGGTCGCCGTATCAAAGAGTTTCCGCGGCGCCACGTTCATCAGCGCGTCGGCAAAGAGGGTGACCATGTCGAAGTTGGTGTCGTCGCGGCCGAACTGGGCGTACACAGTGCGCATGGCGTCTGCATAGGCTCGGTCGCACACGGCCGTGTCGCGGTGGGTGTTGTTGTCCGGATAGCGCTTGACGAGCGCACAAATGAGTGCCTTCTCCCACTCTGCTACGGCCGGGCGGGCCGGCCCGCTCGCCGAGCCGGACACGGGACTTGACCCTAGACCCACTCCCACTCGTGCCAGTGCTGCCTGCGCATATGTGAATGTGTCGTGGACGGCCTGTCGCCGGTCGACGTCGTTGAACAGGCGCCAGGTGCGGTTGTAGTTGGGGCCCGAGCAGAAGGCGAGGCCCCAGTAGGCCATGGCGCAGGCATCGTCGTGTGCGAGTACCTGTTTGTAGCAGGCAATGGCTTCGTCGTGGTTGAAGCAGTAGGTCCAGACGAGGGCGCGGCCGAACCAAATCTGGGCTTCGGGCGACGTCGTGGTCACATGCGGTGCGGCGGCCGACGACCGGCCCAAGTCATAGTAGGGTTCGGCGGTGGCGCGGGGCTTGACCCCGGACGACGCTGCGGCGGCCCCAGACGACGTGTCGGAGAGAAAATGAGAGCCCATGGTGTACAATGCGCACCTGTATGGCTCTGCTGGTCGCAATGGAAGGCCGGCACTGATTCGCTGTTTTCGGGGCTTGGACAATACGTCAGTTTTAGATGGAAAAGAAGGATGCCGAGCATGAAATAACAACATTGAATCACGGCATGCATTTTGGCAGTTCTTTTTTCGCCCCGACTTTTCTTCTTATCGATCAACTTCTTCCTCTCTATCGTTGCGGACGGTTTTGCACGCCGGTCGCCCGCCCGCGCTCGCGTGGTGTCGCCGGATCGCTGCACAACATACCCCACGCCAGACCGTCGGATCCCGCTGGCTGTCGAGTCAGCCGATGGTGCAATATGTTGCTTGGCATCACTTTGTTTCGTTGTGCTTTCTTTTTCCTATCTATCCACAGCCCTGGGTTCCCTCCACGTGGGGCGTCGTCTGTATAAACCTCCGAAACCCCACACACCTCGGACGGTTTCTAGGACACCCATGTTGCCACCGTAAAAACCGTCCGAAGCGACAACAGACACTCTCGGCACTCGAAGCAGGGTTACAGGTTACAGCACGAAGCACACAATTTTGCAGGGGCGTATATCTGTATGAAGATGTCATAATTCTATCCGACGGCGACACGAACACTGTTTGTCTGGGAACACTGTCTGTTTGTTCCTTCTCATCTCTCGCCTAGTCGTAGTACTTTGCCGATTTGCCCTTGATGACCTCCTGCTCCGACGCCGTCACGGGCAGCCGCTTGCCGTCCTTGCCAATGTTGCCCTTGACGCGCGCCTTGACCCACTCGCCCGCGGTGATGCCGACGGCCGCCTCGTCGTCGTTGGCGTCGTAGCCCAGCCGCGCCAGCACGGCGCTCTGCACGGGCCGCAGCTCGAGCGCGTCTTCGGGGCGCAGAAAGTAGAGCACGCCGAGGCGGTCAATGTGCGCCTGGTCGGGCGGCGGGGCCACGACGCGGTGGATGCTGCTCTTCAGGAAGCCGTTGGTCAAAAACTGCAGTGCGTCGGCCACGTTGACCGTGATGCTGCCGTCGAGCGGCTTGACCCAGCGCCAGCCGCCGTCGGAGCCGCGCACCTGCAGGGCGGCGACGGGCTGGCGGAACAGGAGCGTGAGGCTCCCAAAGTCGGTGTGGCCCTTGACCCAGACGTTGTCGAGCTTGGCGTTGTCGGCGGCGCTGCGGTGGTGGTACTTCATGTAGCGCAGGTGGCAGTCGGACAGCTCGTCGTAGCGGTGGTGGGCGGTCAGGGCGTCCTCGGGCAGCTCGAGAATCAGGGCAAAGAGCACGAGCAGCTTGCCGACGATGTGGTCGTGGATGTGGCGGGCAAAGTGCTCAATCTCGGGCCGGTTGGCCGTGATCACGGCCGGATGGGGCCGCTCGGCGTGGGCGGGGATGAACTTGGGGATGTTGTAGATTTCCGTGTTGTCGGTGATGCCGGGCGTCACCTCGCGCAGGCCCAGCGGCTTGTAGCCGTTGTAGCCGCCGTGCTCGAGGTCGGCGCGGTACGTGAGCTTTTCGGGCATCGGCAGCTCAAACACAGACTTGCCAATGGCAAACTGGCGGTCGACCTCCTCCTGGCTCAGGCCAAAGTTGACAATGTAGAAGAAGCCGACGGACTGGATGGCGGCCTCGAGCTGCTTGGCCAGGGCCTCTTTGCCGCCGGGCTGGTCGAACGTCGACAGGTCGAGCGTGGCAAGTTCGGCCCATTCGACTGGGAGGCGGGCAAAAAAGGTCAGCTTGCATCGACAGAATTGCAGATCGGCAGAATCGCTACCAAAAGAGTGAAGGAGTGAAGGTTGCCTGAACTCACGATCGTATGCCGTCTCGGGGACCTGCTTGTACGTCAGATTAGGCGCCTCGACGCCAGTCGGCGGGAGTGTCTCTACTGCGGCCATGGTGTAGATGAGCGTGTAGTGCTATGGTGCTAGAATGCTATAGTTCTATAGAGCGTGTGGACTATAATGTTTATCAGACGCGTGCGGCATACGACACACGACATCTTGAGCCAACAAGGCCACTTGCACCTTTTAATACTTTGTCCACGACGGAATTTCCGTGATAGCCTTGTCGGCGGTTGCAAGCCTTGCCCCAGTGCGAACGTCAAACGTCCGTGGTAAAGTCCCCGCATGATCGGCAGCATGACAGGTCCCTGAATGCGCTGAGTCGTGTAAGTCGGTGGACCGTGTTTCTTATCGATTAGAACGCTCCGGTCAGCCTCCAACGACGCCATAATGGCGACATCTTGCGCACGGCGGAGAGTATCATAATATCCTCCGGGAAGTGCGTGCAGGACGTGAATGCGTTTAAGACAAACAGTGTACTTGATATGGCTTAGAAGGTGTTGTATAGAGCCGAAACTACTACGTCAAACACAAAACAAACGAAGCTTTGTGGAGAGTGTCGGCCAACGTCTGACTTCCGAAGCTTCCTGGACGGTGTGTTTTTCTTCTTTTATCAATTAATTTCAGTTAAAATCAATTCAATATTCACAATCGTTCCCCGGAAAAGCCGTTTTTGGCCTTGTCCAGAGACATGCTTTGGAGCATCGATTGCATCACCAAACACGCCGGATGGATATCATGATCGGTCGTCTATTTGCCGTGCATGTCCACGGTAATAAGATATAAGAGCTGCAAGCTACATAAACCTTGTGAGAACGGCATGTCCACGGCTATTGGCAGTTGATCATCCAACAATCCAACACTGTACATAAGCCATAGCCCTCCATCGGCCATTTATCGGCACTTCCTTCTGCCCAGCCTCCTGTCCTCAACGACACCCGTCGATATCATGGCCGACAGCAAGGAAGCGGCCGTCAGCGTGCAGCCGTCGCCGGCTGTGTCAACCGACGGCGAGCTCACTGTTTCCGGCTACGACGGCGGCCACCACCTCCATTTTGCCCAGCGCGGCGCCGAGGTCGACCTCGTGACGGTCGGCGCCAGCACCGACGCGGACATTGACGGCTACGACGCCGCGCGGATGCGGGCGCGGTCGGCGCTGACGGCCGCCGAGGAAAAGAAGCTGATGCGGCGGGTGGACGTGCGCATGATGATTCTATGCTCGCTCATCTTCCTCATCAAAAACCTCGACTCGGCCAACCTCTCCAACGCGCGCATCATGAACGCCGGCACGCCGCGCAACATCATGACGCAGCTGAAGCTGACGTCGGACGAGTACAGCCTCTTGACGGTGCTGTACTACGTGCCGTACATTGTCCTGGAGGCGCCGTCCAACCTGCTGCTCAAGCGCGCGCGCCCGAGCGTCTGGCAGGCGCGCATCATTGTGTCGTGGGGCATTGCGCTGCTGTGCCACGTGCCCGTGCACAACAAGGGCGGCATCTACGCGACGCGCTTCCTGCTGGGCGTGTTTGAGGCCGGCATGTTCCCCGGCGTCATCCTGCAAATGACCTACTGGTACCGGCCCGACGAGATGTCGATCCGGCTGCTGTATTTCTGTACGTGTGGGACAGGCCATTCTATTTTGTGTATTTTGTGCCGCTTTCGGGACGCGGCTAACAGCGACAGACTGCCTTGGCAGCTTCTCGGGCATCATCAGCGGCCTTTTGGCGTATGGCTTTGACTATGCCTCTGGCCACGGCGGCCTCTCTGGCTGGCAATGGTGAGCGCGAGCCGACATCGTACCTCGCGTGCTTTTCAAGTATATTGACCTCCCTCTCCCTTAGGCTCTTCCTTGTCGAGGGCATCATCACCGTGCTGATCGGCATCGCCATCTACTTTTTGCTGCCTGACTGTATGACCCCTCCACGGCGCTGTGTGCTTTTCTTCCGCACTTCCGCACCACCTTGACCCATGCTGACAATCGCAGTCCCCGACACGGCCAAGTGGCTGACGCCGCGGGAAAAGGCCTTCATCCAGGCCCGGCTTCCGCCCAACGCGCCGCGCGCCGACGAGCTCAACTTCAACCTGCGCGAGCTGACCGCCGCCTTGAAGGACAGCCGGCTCTGGCTGTTTACGTTCATCTGGGCCTTCTTCACCGTCGGCACCAGCGGCGTCTCCTTTTTCCAGCCCACTGTCATTGCCAATCTCGGCTACACGTGCGTTCTTCGTCTGCGTTCTGCCTCTTTGACCGTTGTATCCTCTCTTCTAACACCCCCCAGGACCATTGCGCAGGCGCAGCTTCTGAACCTGCCGGTTTCCATCCTCAGCATCATCCTCATCGCCCTCACCGGCTACTTCGCCGACAAGAGCCGCCTGCCCCGCCCCGTCTATCCGCTGACCGTCTATGCCATTGTCCTCGCCTGCTACGGCGTCATGGTCGCCTACCCGTCCGACGGCGGCGTCTACGCGGCCACCCTCATCGGCAACTCCGTGTCCGCCACCTTTTATCCGCTCATGTGGCCCTGGCGCGTCCAGACCACGGCCCACGCCACGGGCTCGGCGTTTAGCATCGGCTTCGTCAACAGCTACGGCCAGATCGGCGGCGCCATTGGCCCCCAAATCTTCCGCGCCAAGTACGCGCCGCGCTACCGCCAGAGCTTCACGGCCGCCATGGCCTGTGTGGCCGGCGGCGTTGTCGTCACGCTGCTGACGTGGTGGGTCACGCGCCGCACCGAGCGCGACACGCGGATGCTGAAGCGGGCGCGGCTGACGGCCAGCAAGAAGGGCATGACGGTCCTCGAGGATGTGGTCGACCACGACGTCGGCGCCAAGAACAGCGACAACGACAGTCTTTGACGGGAGGTGGCTACGAACTAACTGGTAGGAGTAGAAACAAATTGTTGGTGATAGACGAGTAAATCAATACGCTTGAATACTTTAAAAAGATATACGCTCATGGATGCTTATCCAGGCAAAAGAGAAATTCTTGGTACAACTGAGATAGTAAATGCACGCCACCGTGATGTTTATACAGAAATGTTTATCGGATTTGAATTAATGTAAAAGGACATGCAAACGGATGCATCATGAACCGCATCCCCTCAAATCATACAATGGGGCCAAACAGTAAAGTACACAGCAATCAACGCCAGAACAAAAATGTACAAATACACATATGCAACAACGCCGGCTTCCCTCCTCACCCAACCTATTGGTCCTCCGTCAGGGCCTGCATGACACGCTTGTAGAACTTGGCAGCCTGCAGGCGCGGGAACGAGATCTCCTCGACGAGGTAGTCCGGCAGCTGCTCAATGAGAGCGGCATCGCGGCGGTCGTCGAGCTGCGGCGTGTACACAAACTGCGCGCTGTCGTCACCGGCCGCGCCATCGCCTGCATCGTCCTCGTCGATGCAGAGCTTAAAGTGCAGGCTGCCGTTGCGCCCCGTCTGGATGCAGTCGTACATCTCGCGGCCACCCTGGCGCACGGCCGAGCGCACCAGCAGACCCGTCAGGTCGCCGTACAGGTCTTCCTTGAGCTGCGCCATCTGGCTGTTAGCCTGCATGGCCTCGACGGCGGCCCGCGCGTTGGCGGGCGCCGACGACGCCTTGGACGACGCCTTGATCGCGCTTCCCGGCACCGCCATGCCGGCCGGCAGCGCCGGCATCTCGGCGGCTGTGCGTGCGGCGGCCAGTTTCGTGGACAGCGTCTTGGATGCCGCCTTGGCGTCGTCGAGCGCCTTCTTGAGCTCGCCCACCTGGGCCTGCAGATCCGCTGCACGGGCCTCGCTGGCCTCCCAGTCCCGCCGGACCTTGGCGCCATCCTTGGTCAGTTCGCGGAACGACGCCAGTTCGGCCTTGAGGCTCGCAATCAGGTCGTTGGATGCTGTGGTTATGTCAGTCAGTCAGTGCTCTCCTGGGACAAAAGGACGCATACGGGAGGGGCTGGTAGCGCACCTTTGGCTCGGTCGTCGCCTTGCTTCTTGAGCCGGTCAAAGTTGCGCTCAGCCTCCTTGACACCAATCTCTTTGAGGTCGCGATACCGTGCCTCGAGAGCGTCGTATTTCTTCGTCAGCTCGCCCAACCGCCGGCGCACCGACGCGTCATCCGAACCACCGGTTGTCGTCGAAGCGCCGCGCGCATGCCGCGCGTAGGATGGTGCTGGCGCGTGCGGCCGGCTGTGGCGCTGTGGCGACTGGAACACGCTGCTCGCATCGACGCTCGCGGGCTCGGTCGGCTCAATCTCCATTGTGTCGGTCAGCTCCGTGTTGGTGGCTGCGGTGTTTTCGTCCATGTCGGCCGTCTCATCGCCGTCCGTTGCCGTCGAAACATCGCCGTCAACAGTGGATGCAACCGATCGTCGTCCCCACTTGGCCGGCTTCGCGGCCTGCTGGTCGTCGTTCTCGTTTGTCGTCACCTTGGGCCTCCCTCGACCGCGCTTCTTTGGCACAGCCGGTGCATCTTCTGCCTCTGCCTCTCGCTCCATGTCTACTTCGGACGCCACCACGTCTGTGACCGCAGGTGCTGCGGCCTTGCGCCCTGGTCGCCCGCGTGCCTTGGCTGGTGCTGCTGTCGTCGGCTCGGCTGGCTCGACGGCCATCTCGTTGGTCTTGTCAGCGAGCACGCGCTGGCTCCGTGCTACCGTTGTTGGTTTCGCTGCTGCTCCTCGTCGTTCACCGGCACGACGCGTCGCGGCCGTCTTTTGCGCTGCCTTTGTGACCTTGCTCGTTGCTGCCGCCGTCGCCGGGGGCCGGCCTCGCTTTGCTGGCGGCATGTCGCGAATGGATGCGGACGCTGCCTTTGTGTTTGTTGCCGCCGCCTTCGCCTTTGCTGCGTCCACGGTTGTCTTGCCGCGAAACACTCCTAGATCGTCGTCCGAATCCGACTCGACCAAGCTCAGCAGGTGGGAAGGTGCCTTTGTTCTCGCCATGTGATGCCGGAACGCGGACAGGGAGATGAAGAGGGGCGGATGATGGGGCAGTGGACGGGCGGGTCCAGGTGTGTTTTGTTTTGGAAGAGGAGCGCGTCAAGTTGTGAGACAATTCGGGCGAGAAAGAGAGCAAAATAGAAAGGAACGACAGCCTTGCGAAGAATGGCGGGACCAAGCCAATGTGTGCTGCTCTGCCTGCGGAGAGAAAGACAATCGTCAAAAAGAGGAGACAAGGAACGTGGGCAAACGTCAAACAGTGCACAAGTCCACACAATGCACATCATCGACACAGATTGACCACAGTCAAAGGACATTTGCGGTGGAAAGGTGGGAGGCAGCTGGAGCCAGGGACAGGGGCACTGGTCAGGCGCTGATTGGCTGGCCTTGTGTGTACGCGATGGTTGTACGGGCAACGCGTCCAGTGGCAGTTTCCTTACGGACCCACTTTGCTCTTTCCCTTTTCGGAGCAGGGACATATTGGAGGAAAGAGCAAATGCGCACGAGGGAGGACCCACTTTATCACATGTGATTGGCCCGCGGCTCGAACCATAACCTCGACAGGAGGGCTCCTTCCGACCCTGCGACGTAAGCCGTGTGCGCTGAGCCCAGTGGTCTTTGGTCGTTGCCGCCACAATGCATCGGTGGAAATTGGCCCGCAAAACTGCGACACAGAAAACCACTTTAAAGCCATCGATCCTCGGCGCGACCCCAACGCGCTCCTCCGGCAGAACCTGTAGCCTTGGTTTTATGGCAGTCGACTGCTTTACGATTCCATCCAATTTCATTGTCACCCGGCGTTGTTTCCCACAGTCGCCTGCGGTCTCCTCGCCATGTCGGACAGAAAACGAGTCGGCGACTATGTGTTGGACCTTGTGTTCTTCGCTGGAATGGTGAGAGATTCCGGTCTTCCTGGTTGTCCTGGTCTTCCTGGCATCCCTGACGGGACAAAACGTCCGACAGACTCGAATAGAACGGAGAGACGGAGAAAGAGAACAAGACACCCGCTAACGTGGACCACAGACGGCCACCGCCTACTTCCTCGCCCGAAACGTCCTCTCGACCTTCTCGTCGCATTTCGCCGACCCGGAAAAGGAGAAGAGCGACCAGAACCGCCGCAAGGCCAAGGCCAACCTGCAGCGCCTGCTTCGGTCGCGAGACGCTCAGAATGGCGACGGTGACGGCGACGACGACGGCGAGGGGGAGTCGGGCAGCGGCGGCGACAGGAACGGCGCGTCACGACGCGATGGACCGCGACCCGAAGACCTGGAGCTCAACGAGTACGAGAACATGATTGCGATGGAGGTCGTGGCGCCGCAAGACATTTCCGTCGGCTTTGACGACATCGGCGGCCTCGACGACATCATCGAGGAGCTGAAAGAGTCCGTCATCTACCCGCTCACCATGCCGCACCTCTACTCGCACGCCGGGTCCTTGCTGGCGGCGCCGTCGGGCGTGCTGCTCCACGGCCCGCCGGGCTGCGGCAAGACCATGCTGGCCAAGGCGCTGGCGCACGAGAGCGGCGCGTCCTTTATCAACCTGCACATCTCGACCATGACGGAGAAGTGGTACGGCGACTCCAACAAGATTGTGCGGGCCGTCTTCTCGCTCGCCCGCAAGCTGCAGCCCGCCATCATCTTCATTGACGAGATCGACGCCGTCCTGGGCACGCGCCGCAGCGGCGAGCACGAGGCCAGCGGCATGGTCAAGGCCGAGTTTATGACGCTCTGGGACGGCCTGACGTCGGCCAACGCCGCCGGCGTGCCCTCGCGCATCGTCGTGCTCGGCGCCACCAACCGCATGCACGACATTGACGAGGCCATCCTGCGCCGCATGCCCAAGAAGTTCCCCGTCACGCTGCCCGGCGTCCAGCAGCGCCGCCGCATCCTGCAGCTCGTACTCGGCGACACCAGGCGCGACGACGACGACTTTGACTTGGAGTACATTGCCCGCGTCACCAGCGGCATGTCCGGCAGCGACCTCAAGGAGCTGTGCCGCGACGCCGCCATGATGCCCATGCGCGAGTTTTTGCGCGCCCACCGCGCCTCCGGCAAGCGCATGTCCGCCATCAACCCGGCCGACGTGCGCGGCCTCCGCACCGACGACTTCTTCCCCCGCAGCGCCGCCCTTCCCGTCGGCCCTCTGCCCCCGCGGACGGCCAAGACCGGCGAGGCCTCCGAGACCCAGAGCTACACCACCACGGAGGACACCGGCAGCCGGCGGAGGAGCAACCGTCGGTCCTCGGCAGCGTCGTCGTCGGCCAAGCGGCGGACAGGAGCGTCCAAGTCGGCCAGCAGCCGGAACGGCGACGACGACGAGTACGAGGATGTTGATGAAACCGCCGACCAGGCGGACATCGTCCCTGCACTGGACTAGTCGCAGCACGCGGCAAGCGGAAGACGACGCAACCGACCTGCTTTAGACTGCGATAGAGGGATAGATCGAATCTTGGACCTGGTTTTATGTGCTGTTTCTCTGCTTGTTCCCCCTGCTTGTCTTGTTTGTTTTTGGTTTTACTCTATGACGGGATTGGGGAGTTTCCACAGGCTATATTCTACTCTTGATTTGGGATACCGAGCATACGACGGCGTTTTTCTTCTTTCCTTGTATGGTCTTTATTTCTGGTAGTTTATGAAGCCCTCTATCGCACTATTGTGAAGTCAATTGTAATAGTACGAATGGCGATGAAACGCATATAACGTAAAAGGCAATATGCCCTTATCCGACTATGACTCTTACTTTGTGCCCCAAATGGCCCAAATGGCAGTCGCGGCCGGTGCTGAGCACGTCATTTTGCAATCCAAATTCCTGTGGCGAAACAGGTGCTAGCCTGGTACTTTGCTCATCCCATTCCTTTCACCGAAACCAATGTACCTGCAGCCCGCTGAGACAAGTTGGCGGGGAAGGTGCGGTTCGGTGAGCACAGAGCACCCACTTGTGGAACCCGACAGCACCTGCCAAACTCCGCGCATCGGCTCAATTGCAGCAACCACCACCAAAAATGGCCACAAAAATTCAGACAGGGAAGGAGCCAACAGACTACGTCCACCCGTCATTCTTCGAGAGACACACGAAAAAGCGGTCGGCGGACTGCAGTTCAATTGCAGCCAATCTCACGGAATTCGCAATTGCATCGTGAGCACGCCTTGCAGCACAAGAGCTTATTTTTGCATTCTACCTCCATTTCTTCATGTCCCCTGCCGCATACTAAAACAGAAATTCCTCTAGCGAACGAATCCGCCGTCGCTTTTTTCCCGCCTGCCGTCGTTCGCCCCTTCCCCCCTTTCATTGACTCTGCTCTTTCCTCCCTGTCTTGATCTGCCGAAGAAAGTCCAACCTGACATCAACAATTTCTGGCAATTGTTTACATCGCTCAATTGCTTCGTATTCCCTTCACCGCCACAGGATACCAAAACCCCGATTGGCCGTCTTATCACTGGTCCGTTGGAACATCGACTTGTTTTGTGTCCGATTTCCGCTTCGCTCGCTCGACCCGCCCACCAGGGACGTCCCGTGAGTCACGCGAGTCAGAACGAAAAGACGAAAAGACGCAAAACAGTCCATCGTCACTTCGCTCCCATTCAATCCTCACATCTCTTTTTTCAACACCTCTCTCCATCCTCCTCCTCCTCCTCCAACACAATGGCCGACAAGCCCGTCTCCAAGGTGCTGTCCCGCGTCGACCTGGACGGCCACAACCTGCCGCCCTCGCCCGCCCCCTCCAGCCCGTCCAACGGCCGCCGACGCTATGCCCTCGCAACCGAGCTGGTCTACACCGAGACCAAGGACCAGCACGGCGCCTCCAGCATCCCCATCTACCAGTCCGCCACGTTCAAGCAGACCTCGGCCACCGGTGGCAGCGAGTACGACTACACCCGCTCCGGCAACCCCACCCGCACGCACCTCGAGCGCCACATGGCCAAGATCATGAACGCCAATCGCGCGCTCGCCGTCGGCTCGGGCATGGGCGCGCTCGACGTCATCACCCGCCTGCTGTCGCCCGGCGACGAGGTCATTACGGGCGACGACCTGTACGGCGGCACCAACCGTCTGCTGACGTACCTGGCCCGCAAGCAGAACATTGTCGTGCACCACGTCGACACGACCGACGTGAGCGCCGCCGTCGCGCGCGTCTCCGACAAGACCGCCATGGTCCTGCTCGAGACCCCGACGAACCCGCTCCTCAAGATCGTCGACATCCCCGCCATTGCCAAGGCCGCCCATGCCGCCAACCCGCGCGCCCTCGTCGTCGTCGACAACACCATGCTCTCGCCCCTGCTCTTCCACCCGCTCGACGTCGGCGCCGACATCACCTACGAGTCCGGCACCAAGTACCTGTCCGGCCACCACGACATCATGGCCGGTATCATTGCCTGCAACGACGCCAAGCTCGCCGACGAGCTCTACTTTATGATCAACACCACCGGCTGCGGCCTGGCGCCCAACGACTCCTTCTTGCTCATGCGCGGCGTCAAGACGCTGGCCATCCGCATGGAGAAGCAGCAGGCCAACGCGCAGACGATTGCCGAGTTCCTCGAGCGCCACGGCTTCCGCGTGCGCTACCCGGGCCTCGCGTCTCACCCGCAGTACGACCTGCACTGGACCATGGCACGCGGCGCGGGCGCCGTGCTGTCCTTTGAGACGGGCGACCCGGCGCTGTCGGAGCGCATTGTCGAGGCGACGCGCCTCTGGGGCATTTCCGTCAGTTTCGGCTGCGTCAACAGCCTCATCAGCATGCCCTGCCAGATGAGCCACGCGAGCATCGACGCCAAGACTCGCCAGGAGCGCCAGATGCCCGAGGACATTATCCGGCTGTGTGTCGGTATCGAGGACGTCCACGATTTGATTGACGATCTGCAGCGCGCAGTAAGTTCCTACCTCGCCTTGTATTTTCGTGCCATGGGCAGAGTCATATGTTAACAAATCCAGCTCGTGCAAGCCGGTGCCGTCACTCTGTCTATTGACGGTTTCGAGGCAAACGGCTCTGCCCCTGCGCCTGCGGA